TAACTTATCAATGGTTTTCAAAGGGCTGCCCTAACTCCCAATGTTTTTCTTGTGAGTAGAAAATTATCATATTACTTTTCTCGCCCAGGGTGAGGGATTGTCAGTCTCACTGACTAAGACTTATTTATTAAAAGTCCTTTCGTTCCTTCTACGCTACGCGCTATACGCTTAGGTCTGCATCTGGTAGGACGGCGAACTCCCCGACACCCGGAGTGTCGCCTGCTGCGGCGGCTGAGGAAGAAAGTGTGATTCCTTCCTTGCTTCGCAGAAAGAGGAGATGTCTTCCCTGTTCCTCTGCGCAACATGGGCTCGACTAAGGCTAAATTGATGATAGGTTCGAAATTTTCTTTATGGGGTTTTAGTAAATCTTTAGAAGAATCTAGGAGATTATGCTATATACATAAATAATAAAAAATTGCGACTTGCTCTTTCGGTGAAATTTTTGGTTACGTATGTGTACCGCATAATCAATGTTATCATGATCTCGTGGAAATGATGTCATACATTTTATCCCGCTTATTTGTACTAGACAAAAAACTGTGCGACGTTCTCAGCCTAAGCAGAGCACACCACCACCTGCTGTGCCCTCCTCCGTTGAGTCCTCACTGTGACGACACCCGCCCGCCCCGCCTACGTATCATCAAATAATGTCTCAATTATACTTATCATTTTGTTATTAGCTTCTGTGCCTTTGGTTAATACATGTTATTTCAAAAAAACACAGTTTAATTATGGTGTTATTATGTGCCTAATTGCCAAGAGCCACTTTATGAGAAAGTGTTGATTTTTTTTTATTTTTGTCGCCAAATTTTAGCTTTCTGGTTCTCCTGATATTATTCACGCCAGCGCAGAAAAATTGGCATAGCGAAACCATAAGGGTTCCCAGTTTACAACGGAATTAAAAATTGCTTATCCTTTCCTTGATAACTTGTTTTTTACTTCATTTTTAAATATGGCAGGCGTGTTTTTAAGTTTTTATTTATTATTTCGGTCATTTTAGTGATAAAATCAATGAGGGCGACCCTACGATTTCGTGTATTAGTTTAGCATTTGCAATTCTAAACGTTTAGGTACAAAATTACATAAAAATATTAGTAACATTTGTCCACTAACGCCATCTATCGAAATTCGAAGAAGTTGCTCGTGCTCGTCGAAGAAATAAATCAATCTCACAATAAAAATGTGTTTTTTTTTTTGAAAATATCTCAAAGTAGATTCCTATTGTGATATATTTTTGTAATCTGCTTTTCAAACGCAAGATAAATAATCTTAAACACATGCTACTTTGAAAACTTCATATGTATTTGTTAATGAAGCACCATAGCTACCCCATTGATTTATTTAAGACATTTGCCTGGAATGATTTTAGGATTCCAACGATATGCTATATGTCTTATTCTGCTCAGGCGTTTGGAAGATACAGTGGAGTAAAGAAAATCACATAAAAACCTACATACGTACATTAACCCTAACTAAAAAAACATAACACACCTTTTTTAGGCAGTCGTGTAGTAATAGTTTTACTTCCGGAAAAGTGTAAGGAATAATTGAAAGTTAAAAGTAAAAAATACCGTTTATATAGTTAACATAGTTCGGATACACGTCTCTTACGTAAAAATGGATTTCAAATAATAAGTAACAAATAATCTGATTATCAAACTGATTGTAAAAGCGTAACCATGGACTTATTGCTCGTTCTTCCCCTTCATAATCTTAACTTTGAAACGAGAAAATATTTATCTAGAATATACTCTTTTGCTTACAATTAGTTCAGAATATTAGGTGCCGGTATTTCGGGCGGGAGTAAGTGCATGAAATAATGTTACTATTTATACAGTGTGTATTTGAACGAGGGACTTATTAAAACCCCCAATAGTTTGTGCATAGACTTCAGCAATAAACATAGAAACAATAAAAAATACCCTGATTAATGACGAACAAAACCGTTCCAAAAAATTCGTAAAAATTTCGCAACGTTTCGACACCCTAGCGCTTATCGCAGAACATAAGCGCGGTCAATGACCGACGCCGACGTAGCATGAATGCGTTTTCCCTTCATTCCTTAAATCTGGCTCAGGACAGGCAAAAAAATATAGGTACATCAAAATAAATAAGACGTGATGCCTCACCGTAATTTTTGCGTATTTAAAAAAAAATGTGTAGGTGGTCACGTACACGCACCTCATAGTCCGCGGGCGCTCCGTCATGTTGGTTGTACAAGATCCAGTAGATATTTAATATCTTCTTACAACATCTCACTTACTGCATTATTTAAAAATTTTAAACACGATACACTGTCAAGTCGTTTATCAATAAAATAAGGGCCTATTAAATTGTTATTTATAATACATGCCATATTTATTCTCCAGTGGGGCCCACATATAGATGGCTTGTCGAAGAAGCTCAGTTCTGCAGCACATGCCGTTAAAAAAATTAGAAATTTAACAGATGTAGATACAGCGCGGTTAGTTTATTTTGGTTATTTTCACAGCATCATGTCATACGGTATTTTGTTGTGGGGGAATGCTGCTGACATCCAGTCTATTTTTGTTCTGCAGAAAAGGGCTATTCGATCAATCTATAATCTTAGTCCGAGGCATTCGCTCAGAGAATTATTTAAGGAATCTAAAATAATGACAGTTGCCTCTCAATATATTTATGAAAATGTAATTCACGCTCATAAAAACAAAAGCTTATTTAAGAAATATAGTGATATACATAATATCAACACGAGGGGGATAAACAAATATGTTGTGCCTGCCTCCAGGCTTCAGAAAATAAGTAGTTCGTTTAGGTGTCAATGTATACGCTTTTACAATAAAATTCCTAGCGATATACAATATATATACAATTTGAGCCTCAATAAATTTAAAAGTGTAATAAAGGCTAAACTTTGCTGTAAAGCATTTTATAAAATAAAAGATTACTTAGAGGATAGTCAGGCTTGGGAATGAGCCGCTGTAATGTCTGCACAGGTCATGTTGACATGTTTGTAACATAAGTTACACTTTTATATACAATTTGACATTACGTTTATTTTTTTTATACAATGACGTGATCACCTATTGTGACATTTTTATTTTTTATTTGACATTTTTTTTTTATTTATTTGTTGACATTTTTATTATTTTATATTATTGTTAGTGTAAGGACCGTGTGAGACTTGTCGTGCTTTTTGATCACCAGTCATCTGCGTTCTGACAGTTTGAGTACTTGCGCGACCCACCCAAATGTTCTTTTGATCGGTATTGTTCGTCGGACAACTCAACAGCACTAGCTATACTGGTTGCAAACTGACACATGCGTGCCTGTCTTCAGAACGGGTCCACTTAAACTGGTGTGGTTCTTTCCTCAAAAGACCACTACAGAATGAACTTGCACGGTTCTCTCACATTATGTTATTTTATATTGTCTGGACTTGAAAAGAGACTGACCTCTGAGTTTGTTTCGGCATTTCTTCTCAGAGTAGTCAGATAGGAAATGCCGGCTTCATCTAGTTTTTCACATATAATTTGACGTGTAAAAGTGCCGTTTTATGGCCTATTTGCAAAAATAAATTCATTGTTTATTTGCACTAAAGCTTTAGTCATAAAATCACTGGAGGTTCATGGTCATTAACCCCAAATTCCTAAACGGATCTAAAATAGTAAAGGGTGCATGTCTTCGTTGTGCAGCAGCTTCCACACAGTCATGTGTGATACACCAAAACGCCTTGCAGCATTTCAAGTACTTTCTTGTGGGTTTTCTTCGAAGTACTCGAGGATGGCATGTTGTAGGTCGACTGGGTATAGTGCTGCTCCTCTTCCTTGAGCGGCACGGTAAACTGACCATACGTTCGTAGACGCTGGTTGACACCTAGCATCAAACTGTATGATGGTATCTGTCTGTTGGGGTACATTTCTCTGTACCTACAAATTAATGGCAGCTCGCACACGATCATTTGATAGCGCGTAGGCACGAACCATATTCCTATATTCTTCATTTGAATACTGGGACGACATTATTACACTACACACACTACTTAACACTTAGGAAATGCACTTTATGTAAATTTGGTAAACGGGGATGTTTACACAATACGACAATGCGGCGGCGAGCAACCCTTACTCGCCGTCCGCCTCCCCGCGCTTACAGCAGCCGGAGATCGTCTCTCTATCCCCGACGCCCGGAATGTCGCCGCCGCCGTGTCTGGTAAGCTCGTGCGTCAGGCGGAAGGTGAGGACGCCGTGGCGACTCTCAAGCCACTCCTCAAAGAGGGGTCTTACCGCTGCTATAATAGCGTGCCCGGCCCTCGGTTGCGACAGACGTTGCTTCCATTCTGTGCCATAAGATCGCGCGATGTAAAAATTATTCGTTCTTTGTTACTTGCAAAAATTTCGTTTTAATGAAACAATGACTTTATCTTTGCAAATAGACCATAAAACGGCACTTTTACTCGTCAAATTATATGTAAAAACTAGATGAATCCGGATTTCTATTAGTAGATATAAAGTTTAGGTATATTTTCGAAACGTATTGAAGCAACTGCATGGTCATAATCATTGGCATGTGTGTGTGTGTGTGTGTGTTAGGGCTCGTGTACACGCCGCCACTGCTCCTCTATGTGCTTACAACTCTTACATTTGTACAGTATAAAGTTGATATAATTATATCAATACCTACTAATATTGTAAAGAATTAAAAAGTATAACAGTTTAAATATGTAAAAGTAAGTTTAAATGTAGGGGTATTCTTAGAACCTTCTTCATAGAATTCTTAGAACCGCTGGTCGAATTTCTTTCACTGATAGATAGCTATAATACAATGTTCCTAATTGCTATAGGCTATAAAAAATCACGCTACAATCAAATGGTGAAACCGTGCGAGAATTGCTAGCCCTATGTACAAACAACAACAATTATTTTGTGTAGTGATTTATTTGAAAGAAAGTCACTCCATTATTTTGCTTACACTAAAAATATGTAAAATAATCAGTAACATATAATAAAAAAATATTTCAGAAGCTCTACTGCAAAGCCGGCCGCTGCCTCATATCCCTGACCTGCCCGACGGGGACCCCGGGCCGGGCACGCCGCAGCCGCTTGACACCGCCAACAGGTGACACCCTCCACTATCTCCGCGATGAATGAATGAAAACTTTATTTGCTAGAATATAGGTTATACATGGTGACGACAATTTTAGAGTTTCACTATATTCGACATACATCAAGTCGTGCAAAAAAAAAAAAGTCAAAAATCATTTATTCCAATTAGACCTTTACAGGCACTTTTGAACGTCAAACAAAATTTAAAATAAAAAATAGTGTCAGTCTGTCGGTCAGTCCTCTTAGTGAAGCTATTTGCTCGTTCCAAAGTGTAGATTCCGATGGAGAAGAACGAGCAAGAAACTCCATGGTTACTCTTTTTAAATCAGTTTCACATACAGATTCCTTTTACAAACAGTTGGTTCAATTATGTGAGAACAGTGTAACACTAATATTTATTCAAATATAAAAATAAAGTAACCTTAAGGACAATAGACAGTCCGGAGCTGACCAGTCCCAACTGACGGCGCTCGTTCACGAGCATGACACGTACACCAGCATCGCCCAACTCAACCATATTATAGGGAATTAAGCGATCCAGCGCCCATGCCACCGCCAGTGTGACCTTTCAGTGAGCATGACAATTCCAAGCTGTTATAAGGACCGACATTCTGCTAGTCTAACCAATGGTTACAGGTTACAGGGCACTCACATTTACAAATTTATCAAGTTATAAATAAAGTTATAAGTTACAAATATTTGTGACAACTGGGTCAAAATAATACATAATATTTAAACATGCATTTCATACACAATTAATAAAAAAAATGGCGATGAATACATAGGCGTTGTTATTTAGCTTTAACATACACTCCACGCTGGCCGAAAAAAGGCGTTGATAGTTTATAAGGTTCTATTTTTTATAGAGTTCTGCCGTCATCGTACGTATTAATGGCAAAATAAGTGTTCATGTACGTTCCAGGTGGACATCGAAGGAGAACCTTCTAGCGCACCACGAGGAGGACGACCCGCAGCTGTTCGTGGCGCTATATGACTTCCAGGCGGGCGGCGAAAATCAGCTTAGTCTCAAGAAAGGTATTATATTTCCGTCATTTACGTATGCGCATACTCAAACAGGATTCATGGAGTTATTTTTACAAATTGTATTCATATACATGTCGCTCCTTTTCTTCTGAAATTAGTTTGTTCAGAATAAGCAACTGGACGTGAATGTTTGTTGTCGATGGATGCTCATCAGAGCATACGTCGACTATTGCCGGTGTTCCTCAGGGGTCTGTTCTCTCTGCAACTCTATTCCTGCTCCACATTAACGATCTGTAGAGAGATACCTGCCCAGTGCTCGGGCTAGTAAGGAGCTAATCCAGTCTGAAAGGGAGGCTATGGTAGAGCCTACGAATGTCTCACTTCAGACAGTTTTCAAGTGGGGCAGAGCTAATCTGGTAGCATCCAACGCCACCAAAACACAGGCGTGTCTATTCACCGCCAAAAGGAGCCCGTTCTCCTTGGCTCCTGTTTTTCGGAATGTATCCCTGGAATGCACCGACCGCCTTCAGTTCTTGGGGATGGACATTGCTTCAGACCCCAACTTTGGGCGGCTCATTGAGTCCAAGGCTGGAGTAGCTGCTAGAAAACTTGGCGTGCTTGCAAAAGTTCGACGGTATTTCACACCGAGTCAGCTTCTAATGTTGTACAAGGCACAGGTCCGATCGTGTGTGGAGTACTGCAGCCACATATGGACTGGTGCTGCAAAATGCCACTTAGCGGCTTTGGATTCAGTGGAAAGGCGTGCAAAGTGATTGGTGATCCGGATTTGGTTGGGTCCAATCTTCAAAGTCTCGAGCACAGGCGCAGAGTAGCCAGCCTTGCGATGTTCTACAGGATGCATTTTGTAGAGTGTGCTCAGGAATTGCACGATTTGATTCCGCCATCCCAATTTCACCTTCGGACATCCTGGCGTACGGCAAATATCTACCCTTACGTTGTTGAGACATTTGCAGCCCGGACTAAGCGTTTTGCGTCGTCGTTTATACCGCGTACATCGAGGGATTGGAACAGTTTGCCGGCTGCAGTCTTTCCGTCCAAATATCTTCAAGGCTAGAGTGGATAGGCTCTTATTAACCTAGTGCGCCTTACCATCAACGATTGCATCACTGCTTACCATCAGGTGGGATCGCAGCCAAGTACTAGCTTATAGCAAGTAAAAAAAATTGATCGCCATGATGAAAGAGTATCAGTCCATATTGCTCACCGCCACGACAACGTTGAAAGGACTACTCTAGTACCTTTACCGCACTCGGGCGGGAGGGAGTGTCAGACTTACTGACTTACTGACTAAAAACCCTAACAACTTCCTGTTGCTCTGGGCTGAGGTCGCGGGGAATCATTGCGCTTACCCCGCAACCCCGGCTGAACATAAGCCCTATAGGGCTTATGTTCAGCCGGCAGCCTGTGGTGGTCTATTGGCTCTTTGAGGCGCGCGCGGAACGCTACGCGCCGTACGCTCGGGCCTGGTTCTGGTCGGGCGGCGAGCTGCCCTTACTCGCCGACCGCAGGATCGTCCCATGGTGGACCCGTATTATTGTTCATGAAAGATGGAATGCGTGTTAAACTAGCTTCTAAGGAAGCATTAGCTTTTCAAAGACATGAAATAGTGACCGACGTATAATTATGGGTTCTGTATTATGGCCTAATTTAAACAGCGGACCACAGTGCTTCATCAAATTGGGAAAATTCCCTGATCTACACAGTAATAAGGCATGAGTGCAGTTTAAAGAGGCGACCCGCGTTTATTGTGGCTGGAGATCGTCCCTTTATTCCCGACGCCCGTAGTGTCGCCTATTGCGGCGGCTGGGGCGTGAGGAGGATGATTGCTCCCTCACGGGGCCGCCTCCCTCTTTGCGAGCATAACTGCTTCACAGAAGGAGGAGACGGCCTCCCAGTTCCTCTTACTCCGCACCATGGCCTCGACAAAGGCCGGGCGCGAGAGGTCGCCGCCGCCGATCACTTCCCTGAGGACACGGCGGTGCTCAGCCCAGGCAGAGCATACCGCCACCGTATCCTCTAGGTGGTCCTCGCAATGACGTTGACGACACTCGGGCGTTTCCTCCCGCTGGATCCGAAACAGGAACCCACCGAAGCTGCCGTGCCCGGTAAGGACCTGCGTCAGGCGTCAGGCGGAAGGAACAGCCAATACATAATTATGTATTGGCTGTAGTAGGTATTGAACAAGTTGCAGGTAAATAGTGAAGCAGTACCTAACGAAACGATAAATTGTTATTAATAATGATGGTTATTGATGAAGCGTATAATAGGCTCACCCAAATAGGTTCAGTGAATTGAAAGATAGAGAGTCCCGGGATATTAAGGCTCAATTTATGTTCTGGGGATTTCTGGGTACAAAATACCCAATCTAAATCTATATGTTGAAATTATTATTCGCCAGCCAATTAATTGTTTTGCAAAGAGTGGAATTTATCTTATTTTAAAAGTATTAATATTTTGACCAGTAAATATAGCTAGCGAAAAGGATCACTGGATGCTGTGAAACTTTAAGCAAATCATTTATGTACGTCAAAAATAACAAGGGACCCAAGACGCTACCTTGAAGCACTCCGGTATAGTACTATTTTTGGGCATGTATTAATGCATTTATTTATTCCAACCACCTGATACCTATCATTTAGATAAGATTCCAGAAGTTTATGGGTCGACGATGATGACGACCCCTTTCCATAAGTGTATAATTTATTCAAAAATGCTATATTAATTGCCTTATTCTCTCTAAAGCCTTTTTGTTGTTTCGCAGCTAGATTGTGCTTCTCGAAGTGAGTGTTAATTGCGTTATGCATGTATTTTTCAAATATTTTAGAAAAGTGGGCATAAGTGCTATTGGTCTGTAACAAGCACAGAACAGAAAATTAAGTAGAAGTGCCCCTACACTCTTTCAAAAGGAAAACCAGTGTCGCCAAAATCAAATTGCCCATTACACACATAAAAAACAGCTATCTAATTGGGTAAAAAGTTGAAACGCAACTTTAGCAAATCATCTTCAAAATGTTAAAAATTGAGTCTTATAACAATGAGCGAAAGTTGTTATCATTTCACATGTCACAATCAATAAAGGCCTCTATCGTGTAAAAAACTTAAATAAAACAATTTACAACGGGTTCAGCCACTCAATGCTAGATGGCGCTGTAACAAATTCATTATATTCAAAACGCTGGTTAGCGCAGCTTTGAAATAGATGTCATATTTGTATGCACTTGTACCAATAGACATTACTATTTTGGTACTCAGATAGGGCAGGGTATCCCAATATACCGATGTTATTCATTGTATTCGTGTGAGCAATATAATTTATCGACACGACATACCTACAAATGATCAGTAATGGAAAAAGGTTCTAATAGAAAAAAAAAGAAAAATATTAACATTTTTTGAAGATAAAAATGTTTTTGGAGATGGTTAAGTTATTATTAAAGATTTCGATTTTAACATATAAAAGCACTACGCGCTCCTACAAGTTTTATCTCCTTTCCTACAAAAATAGAATTATTAAAATCGGTTCATAAATAATGGAGACGAACAAACAAAAAAACATGTCCGGCCGAATTGAGAGTCACTCTCCTTTTTGGGACTCTGTTAAAAATCATGTACAACTTTATAAAATAAAAATGGTGATTAACCACCCGCACCTACCACAGACGGATGTACGCTGTGTGTGGTTAAAACGTTGATGTGTCTATGCAATCTTAGTAATTAAACATTTATGAATTATACACAAAAATTGACAAAAATCAATTTTCTGAAGGATGATGATGAAAAATTATCGATACGAACCTAATTTACGAATGTGTCCCATTCCTAAATGAGTAGCGTCGAAACTACTGGAATGTATTGTATATAACGTCACATAACGAACAAGTAGATTTAAACTTAATTGTTATGAAAATAAGGCCCTTTATAGTTTGCATTGAAGTAATGAAATGTAATATTTTCATTAAAATCAAATACAGGGTTACAGGTTAAGTCGACCGTTTCCCGTTAAGAGCATGTAGTTTACATCGGTCCTGACTGATTTGACTATGAAAGACCCTGTCCGAAATCTAACCGTTTTTGAGAAATTTGAATTTTATTGATTTTTGAAAAAAATCCCGATTTTCGGTTATCGGCTTGATTATCAAAAAATTTAGAAGTGCTATCGTTACTCCAACCATAATTGTTTTTTTTTTTGTAAAATAAGATGCTCTATGGCCTCAATAACTAATATTGTACGTAAAATAACGAAATAGGTTGTTGTGAAAAATTCATTTTGAAATTAAGAAAATTTATTTTCTTTAAACGATAGTTAAAAAAAATAATATGGCACGTGTTTTGCAGATGTGCTTTATAATATCTACGTTTCATCAGCTATCCAACGAGGTATAACAATCAAGGTTTGCTTAAAAAATTCTAGACCAAACTTAGCTTCCAAAGCTACCGGGAAGAAAAAATAAAACATAGGACATGTACAAAATACGAATTTATTAAATTAGAAATCGCAAAAAAGAAGGTAATTGTGCTAAATTACAATAAATGTTCGACGTGTCCGCCTCTTTTCTGAACACATCTCCGCAGTCTTTTACGGAGGCCACTTTTCACCACACCTGTAGTAAGATTTCTCCTTATTGGGTTTGCGGCATTGATTATTTTTTCCTATATTATATGGAAGTGCTATTCCAATTTTTTTTATAATCAAGCCGATAACCGAAAATCGGGATTTTTTTCTAAAAATCAATAAAATTCAAATTTCTCAAAAACGGTTAGATTTCGGACAGGGTCTTTCATAGTCAAATTAGTCAGGACCGATGTAAACTACATGCTCTTAACGGGAAACGGTCGACTTAACCTGTAACCCTGTATATTTAAATTTAACAAAGGTAAATACTCAACGATGATACGATACTTCACCAAAAGACACATTTTTTTTTGCTTACTTTTTTGCAGTTGAAAACCGCGCAGCAAGGCATAATTTCTAATATATTGCGTGTTTCTTGGAGACAACCATGACAACGGAGCGAACGATTCTGACAGCGAATGTGCCAAAATGTTGTAAATCTACACATCATGTTGACTATAGTTCGTTCCATAATTAGAGACAACAATTTGACAACAGCAAATGACAACTACAAAATAATGTGCCCAGATTTTTCAACATAGTGATGGGCCCGAGTACGATGTTTAAAATAAAATACCCTGAGCAAAATAAAACAACGTTGCGGTGATGTTTTTTATAGTTTAGTCGTAATTCGACTAATAATAAAATAATAATAATTTAAAATAAAAATGCGAAATCCAAGACTGGCTAAAAGAAAAACATTATATTTGAGGAACCTATGCTGAAAGCCGAGCTGTTGGAGATTCCCGAAAAGAGAAGAGTAATTATGAACGATACGTCGTGGACTGATAACTGCTAAAACGGGGATCACTATTTTACTTTTGCCTCCTTACCATTGTGATTTTAACCCGACTGAGTTAGTATGGGCACAGGAAGGTACCAGGGAAAGTAGCTAAAAATAATAAAGCTTTTAAAATGCATGAAGTCTAGAATATAATTTCGGTTTTTCGTACAATACCGGTCGCGGGACTTCACTATTTATGAAATGGAAAAAATTTGCAACACTCGAAATGTTAAATCGTTGTCTCTAATTATGGAACGAACTATAGCGCGCGATGTCTGAGCGGCACTTCCACTGTATTTTCTATTCCGTGGTCTTCCTTGTTATTTTTCTTAAAAAGTGGCCTTAATACGGATTTTTTTAAGTTCAGTCGGAAACACACCAGCTCAATACACAAGTTAAATAATGTGAGTATGTGACAGAGTACTGGGCTGATGATGGGAGCAACTTCCTTTATTGAGGATGTTGTAATGTCATCATATCCAGTATTTCTAGTGTTTTTAAGTAAGTTAATTATAATATTTAACTTTCTTGGGAGACCTGTTTCTCGTCATCGTTCACTCCGGCCAGCCAACAAAGGCAAGCCGTAGATAAGGAACGGAACCTTGCCTCAAGGTGCCCTACGGGCTTATTATTATACTATGTTTGTTCTATCCTTTCACGGCACCACAGGGTTCCGGACCTTTGGAAGGCGTACGAGGAGCCGAAACCAACTCGATGAGGCCCGTTGAACAGTTTTAATCTAAATGTGATGGGACATCAGCGGGCAATTATCCCTGTATGCACTATATAAGTGCACCCAAGGACAATCCCCGGTTGATGCAAGACTATTGTGAAATGTGGTAAAAATTGATAGGGTTATGAATATGGGTTGCTATGGACTGGTGGATATGATAACTATGGAAATACTATGGCCCCTGCCCCTGACCAATATTGATACATACGGATAAACAGGCAGGGGGTGACTGGCAAACTCAATTAATGGGCCCCCGGAAACGGCCGCTAGCATGTAGCGACACGGAGGCAACATATGTTGAGCTACTTGGGGAAGGAGAGGCATCCCACGGCTATCAGAGCAATCCCGGAAGTACGGTCAAGACCCCTACCAGCACCTTACTGAGATACATCCTTCCCCCGAGTCTCCTTCAACTCCTACTCTTGCGAATCTCCACTCAAGCCAGTCAATTAAGGCAAGAATGAGGTAGGAGGGCTTGTTCTTCATCAATGTTCACTCCAGCTCGTCACGAGGACTAACCGGAGAAAGATGAAGAAGATACCTCCCGGGAGTCAGGTCCGTGGGGTCGCCACTGCCCAACAGCTCGCCACAAGCTTATTATTGACATTTTCCACAACTGATGAATTATTATTATTGAGTAAATGAATTGGTTTTATTAAGGGCTGATTTTTCAATAGTCATTTAATTTTATCTGAAGAATAAAATTGTTTACTGTCTTAAAGAAACATTCTGTCGCGACATCATAATTATTCCGCAGATAACTTTTATCTGACCATTGAAAAATACGCCCTTAATAAAACCAATTAATTTGTTGTCAATGTAAGTGTTACTCTCTGGTCTTGTTGGTTAAGGTGTGCCAGTTTTCATATGACTGGACGCTATACGTAATATATACATATTTCGTAAAACTAACACAAGTTGCAAAGAAACTGAGGTTCTTTTTAACAGATTAATGTTAAAATCACCGCAAATAATGGTTTTAGTTGTTTTTCTATTGCGTAATTTGTAGTGAATTGTATGAAGTATGTTGAAAAATGCATTAAGTTCATTTCGTGTAGCTTTTGAAGGTCTGTATATACATAATATAATGACCACATTATGACCACACTCAAGGATAGGGAAGACATTTGAGGAGTCATCCAATGTCTTCCCTAGCCTTGAGTGGAGCAAGAGGAAATGCCACCCCGTGCCTTCTTCCACACCAAGTTGGGCTGCAGCACATTGCATGTCCAGCTGGATAGCGGGCCTAGTGGGCACCGTCTGTGGTGGCTTTTTGAGCAATCCATGTCCGTCCAAAAAAAGCAGAGCAGTCATTTGATGAAGTTTTTTTTTTCACCTCAAATAATATCTTTTATTTTTATTTATATCAAACTGTGATTTATTCGCTGATGAATATAAAGTAATAATGTGTTTTTGTATGAGCCTCTGCGAACGAATAGTTTAATATGTATTGTTTTGTTTATTCATATTTTATTCTGCAATTTTATTTGTGTTTTCTTTTATATTATTTTCTTTTATCACTCTGTGACAATGTAAATGGTTTGTAAACCGTTTTAACATAAAAAGAAATCTTCTAATTTATTTCGTTGCGGGGTCCAAGATAGTCATTCATGCCCATAAGACGCGCCGGACTTCAGTGTTCTCGTGTTTTCATCATTGTATTTAATGTAGATCCTGTCTTACAAAAATTGCTGCGGAACTGGGAGGTTGCGGCGGGCTTGTCCCTTAAAAAAAGCTTTAATGTTATTGTGCATGTTGTGGCCAGGTGAACAGGTGCGAATAAAGAGCTACAACAAAAGCGGCGAGTGGTGCGAGGCGCACACGCTGGGCGGCGGCGTGGGCTGGGTGCCCAGCAACTACGTCACGCCTGTTAACTCGCTCGAGAAGCACTCCTGGTACCATGGACCAATCTCACGCAACGCCGCCGAGTACCTACTTTCTTCCGGTATCAACGGCAGCTTCCTGGTCAGTCAATTGGCACTCTTTTCATTACGTCAGAAATATCTTATAGAATTGTTTTAAAATACTAAACTTGTTAGTCGAACAAATAAGAAACGGCGTGTCTGTTGGCAGGTGCGCGAATCCGAGTCCAGTCCCGGCCAACGAAGTATCTCGCTGCGATACGAGGGCCGAGTCTACCACTACCGCATTAACGAAGACTCGGACGGAAAGGTAATGAGCATCTCGAGCGTGAACCGAGCTCTAGGGAGCACCATGTTTGATGCAGAGCTACATATGTGTTTGTGGCAGGTGTACGTGACATCCGAGTCCAAGTTCGGCACGCTGGCGGAGCTGGTGCACCACCACTCGGTGGTGGGCGACGGACTCATCACGCAGCTGCTGTACCCGGCGCCCAAGCGGAACAAGCCGACCGTGTTCCCGCTGGCGCCGCCCGACCACTGGGAGATCGACCGCACCGACATCGTGATGAAGCACAAGCTGGGCGGCGGCCAGTACGGCGACGTGTACGAGGCCGCCTGGAAGCGCGGCAACATCACCGTCAGTACACGCTCTGTCTAGTATTGCAACTTTTTAATGAGACATCCGTCTTTACCTAGCAAAGTACCCTCTTCGATTTTAAGGCATCCGTCCCCTTTTATTTATTTAAGAGTATTTAAACTGTTCCTTATCGTAAGCTTTAGTAACGTCAAGTAGAATTCCTATTGCGTAATCTTTATTCCTTATTATGTATAGGTCTCCTTGTACGTATTTGTACACAGCCTAGGTCGCGGATCTATTTCTCCAAAAACCGTTTTGGCAATCGTCTGGCACTTAAAACGAAAATTTACGTTCTATAGTCGATTTGAGTTAATTAAATGAAAATTATTTCTTTGACGTAGTCTGTATGCTTCTAATCGTGTAAAAATCAAAGAAAAAAATGGACGGATTCTTTAAAACCGATGCACACGCCAACAATAAAAAGTGGTCGGCAATAACAACAATATTACACATTTTTTACTTTTATTAGTTAAATAAAGTGTTACGTGCCTGACGTCACGTTCCTGACTATGCGGGCTTGGGTTACGGGATTGGATGAAATGAAACACTAATACCGGTTTTCAGACTTTCTATTGCACTTAAGTTACAGCGTCCACGGAGTTAAGTTATCGGCGTTCCTCTCCAGCAGAGTCCGGCCGACTGACACAACTTTGCCGTTCACGCTGACTTAACTCACTTAACTGACTGCACTTCACTATTTCACTGCACTTCACTATTTCACTCACTTTTCTTCTTTCTCACTTCTTCCTTTTCTTCCGAATCGCTTTAGACTTAGAACTCAACTGCCAGCGGTGAGCCGCAGTTCCGGTTATATACCCCCGGTCAGGTTCTAGAACATTCAATTTCGTTATTCTTTTTGATCGTCATGCCTCCAGAACCTTCCAATAATTTCGTTATTCATTTTTATTTATTCTCCTTCTCGCTCCTTAATTTTTCATTACTTTCACTCAAATATTCCAGAAAGTTCGACAAAACTTCCATCAACTAAAAAACTTCATGTTTACGGCGGGACTCGAACTCGGGGTCTCTGTGGTGTAATCCACACGCCTTACCGATTACACCAATTCGTGTTGACAATTCACGACGAAATTTACAATCTCTAGGCAACGTTTGACAACCATCCATTGACGTCATGATGTCAAAGAGTTTTCTGTCACACTGCCCCCCTCTTAGATTCGCTCGTCCCGAGCATCGTTGCTGCCGTAATACCTCGCCAACCTGTCTATATGGACAACTTTCAAAGGGCTCCTTGAAGACTTCCGAATTCTGTAAGTAATGTCATTGATCTTCGTGACTATCTCGTAAGGACCTTCCCAACTCGGTTGCAGCTTTGGAGATTTTCCCTTCCTTCTGACTGGATTATGAAGCCAGACCAATGACCCCTCTTCAAACCCAACAGAATTGGCTCGTCGATCATAGCGCGTCTTTGCGCGATCACTAGCTTGAAGACCGGCCTCCCTGATCTGCTCATAAATGTCCAACATTTTTGCCCTTAACTCGCTTATGTAATCGCTAAACTCGGTGCGAGAGTCACCAGGTGGACAGCCCGATACAAGATCTGCCGGTAATCTCAATTCCCTTCCAAAATTTGCAAATGCAGGCGTCTTTGCGGTACTTTCATGTACAGCAGTCCGATAGGCAAGCAAGAAGAGAGGTATGTAAGTGTCCCAATCTCTCTGATGGCTGTCAACCACCTTTGCTAAGTGTCGCTCCAATGTTTGGTTGAAGCGTTCGACCATTCCATCTGACTGTGGATGATAAGGGGTCGTTCGAGTCTTATGGATTCCCAAAAGTTTACAAGTTTCCTGGAAAACTTGGGATTCAAAGTTCCGTCCTTGATCACTGTGCATCTCCAAGGGCACTCCGAATCGGGTGAATACCTCGTTTACCAACTTCGTGGCTACAGTTATTGCCTCTTGATTCGGTATGGCAAAGACCTCCGGCCATTTTGTAAAATAATCCATAACCACTAAAACGTAGCGATTGCCCGAATCAGTGATTGGAAATGGTCCAGCGATGTCTAAGGCTATTCTCTCCCAAGGCATACCAACATTGTAGATTTTCATCGCCCCTCTGCTTCTTGTTTGTGGACCCTTGACAGCTGCACAACTAGTGCATTTCCGGCACCAATCTTCGACGTCATATTTGCAATGCAACCAATAAAATCTCTCCTTGATCTTCACCAAAGTCCTCCTAATTCCCAAATGTCCTCCAGAAGATCCATCATGGAACGCTTTTAATACATCCCTTATTTTTGAACGAGGCACCACCAATTGCAAATGCTCGTCCTTGCCGTTTGTTGATTCCCATTTCCTGCACAGAAGTCCGTTATGCAGCGTAAGGCTTTTCCACTGTGCCCATAAACCTTTCGTTACCGCGCTATATTGGGCGACGTCACTCCAACTTGGCTTGTTACCACTTCGTACCCACTCCAGTATTGGTTTAATATCTGCATCTCTTTCCTGTTCTAATTTCATCGCATCATCTCCCCATGCCTCGTCAACAGTATCAGTCCTTATCACCTTAAGAAAAGCAGTTTCCTTCTTGGCACAATGCTTGCAATCTTCCACGCATTGTCTCGATAATGCATCTGCGTTGCCATGAATTCTTCCTCCGCGATGTTCGATATCAAAGTCAAATTCCTGAAGTTGTTCCAACCATCTGGCTACTTGGCCTTCGGGATCCTTAAACTGAAGCAGCCATTTCAAAGCAGCGTGATCAGTTCTGATCAAAAATTTCCGTCCCAGTAAATACTTCTTGAAATGGTGCAGAGTTTTGACTACGGCCAGCAATTCCCTCCTGGTCACGCAATAATTCCTCTCCGGCTTGGATAGTGACTTGCTGAAGTAAGCAATAACCTTCTCCTGCTCACCATCGCGTTGTGAAAGGACACCTCCTATTCCAATATTGCTGGCATCCGTATCAACTACGAATATTCCTTTCGCGCTGGGGTATCCGAGAATTGGTGTGTTACAAAGCCGTTCTTTTAGTTCTCGAAAGGCTTGCTCACAATCCTCGTCCCAGATAAAGGCACGTTTCTCCTCTGTCAATCGATGCAATGGCTTGGCAATGTCCGAGAATCCTTTCACAAACCGCCGATAATACGAGCACAATCCAAGAAATGCCCGAACTTGCGTTTTGTCTTTAGGTGTTGGCCATTCCTTAACAGCGACAGTCTTGGCTGGATCAGTCTCAATTCCTCTCTCAGAAATAACATGTCCTAGATAATTCACTTCGCGCTTGAAGAAAGAGCATTTTTTTGGACTCAACTTTAAATTTGCTCCACGCAGCTTGTCGAGTACCTTTTCCAATTTCCTTAGATGATCGTCAAAATCCCGTCCAACAATGATGATGTCATCGAGGTAAACTAGGCAGGTTTCGCCCAGCAGTCCCACCAGCACCTGTTCCATCAAACGCTCAAAGGTTGCCGGTGCATTGCATAATCCAAATGGCATCACCTTAAATTGCCAGAGTCCCTTCCCAGTTGAGAATGCGGTCTTTTCCTTGTCCTTGGGATCCAAATCCACCTGCCAATAGCCGCTTTTCAGATCGAGCGTTGAAAACCATTTCATGCCACTCAGTGTGTCAAGTGTGTCATCGATTCTTGGTAACGGGTAGCTATCCTTCTTGGTTACATCATTCAATCGTCGATAGTCTACGCAAAACCTCGTTGAACCATCTTTCTTCTTGACAAGCACGACAGGTGAACACCAAGGGCTAGAAGAGGGCTCTATCACGTCATTTTTCCTCATATCGTCAATCATTTCTTCAACCTCTTTCTCACGAGCGAATGGTATACGTCTGGGCCTTTGACGAATTGGCATTGTATCACCTGTGTTTATTTTATGCTTCACCAAACCAGTTCGGCCAATATCACCATCGCTTCTTGAAAACACATCAGAGAATCGAAGAAGTAAATTTCTAGCTTTCATAGTCTCCACTTTTGTCAGACTTTTGTTTTCGTCTAAGATTTTCGTTACAAAGTCTATTCCCGTACTGTCCTTCTTCACAAGATTTTCCGAGCATTTTCTTATCCAGGCCACTTCTTCCAATACGCCCACAGGCTCTCCTTCTTCAATCGTAATTTCTGAATCACTGAAGTTGAATACCGGAATGCGGTTAACATCAGATGACCCCACGACAGTTCTTGCCGGTAGCCATGAGTTTACGTGTTCCGATTTATCAATCACAGCGCACCTTCGAGGTAAACTTCCTTCCCTCCTCCTAGGTAATGCAATTGGTACGAGAGTCTGTGATTTTGGTGCAAGAACAGTTCTTCTTAAACAGCAAACTTTTCCCAGGGTTCCACCCTTCATCGGAATTTCCTCAGTTCCACATAGTAATACTCCAGATTTTAGGTCGATGTTACACTGGTGCCCTTGCAGGAAGTCAAGTCCCAGGATGCAGTCATCCAGAATTTTGGCCACAATAACCTCATGTCGATAAACACGTTCCCCAATGTTGATTGTTACATGCAGTTTTCCACTTATCGGTATGCACTGGCCGGTAGCTGATTTCATTTGTAGGCCAACAATTGGTTTAAGGTGTTTCCTGATGTTGTGCTCGAGCAGCCGAACATTTATCACCGTCCTTGAAGCTCCAGTATCTAATGTTAGCTGACTGTTTTTCCCATTTACTTGACCGTCTATCACCAGAGTATTTCCATCGTTGGTTTGCTTGATGTAGATTGTTGGGGTTGTTCCACTACCAGCCGGCGCCCACCCCGCAGCCCTGGCTGGATTTAAGTTTCCCTGCTGGTCAGAAGTTGAGACCGCCGCGTCCTTGCGGTTCATCTTCTTCGGGCAGTCGCTCCGTATGTGCCCACGCTCTCCACATCCATAGCACATGAAGTTCCGACGGCGTGGAGGTACCTGCTCCGTTGTCGTCATTTCCCGCAGACGTAAGGTACGGGAGTTGCCACGCACGGCTTCCACTTCCAATGCATGGGCCAGAGCTTCTTTCATGATCTTGTGATGGCCCAGATGAACAGCAGCTCGTACTTCTGGGTCCCGAATACCGTCAATGAACGCTTGGAGAAGCGTGCCTTCAATCATTGACGGAGTCGACCGGAAAGCTCGACGTACAAGTTTCTCGATTTCCACGGACCATTGCTGTAGGCTCTCATTAGCACGCTGAGTACGCTCTTTTAATTGCGCTCTGTACACGTGCTCGAGGTGGCTGTCTCCAAAACGTGCTTCAAGTGCGTCGAGGAGGGCACTAAAGCTGAGATCCCCACTTGCGCCGATAGCTTCCAGCACTGAGAGCGCTTGATCACGGAGGGCCAGGGTAAGGGCTGACTGTGCTTCCTTCTGAGTCCAACCATAAGCCTCCATAAGTGTCTCAAACTGTAGCTTGAACGCAGTCCAGGATGTTGTTCCGTCGTAATGGGGAATCTTGAGCCCTTTCGTTGCGCTTAAGGCCGCATTTGGGGCGTCAAAAACGGCTGCAAGACGGCTTCGGCTCTTCAAAGGGCTTGGGTTTGTCACTTCCTGCTTGATTTTGGAGATCTCTTCTTCCAGTCTCTCCTCTATCGCCATGACGCGAAGTTTCAACTTGCCTAACCCTTCCTCCACTTCTTGTACCCGTTCGACAGCCTTTTGCAGTCCCTTCGTGAAATCTTTATGCATGTCCTCCAAGCGACGCGCTTGCTCCTCTTGGCGACGAGCTTGATCTTCTTTCAGCTCCCGCAGCTGTTCTGACTGACAGCGTGCTTGCTCTTCTTGGCGGCGCGCTTGCTCTTCTTGGCGGCGCGCTTGCTCTTCTTGGCGGCGCGCTTGCTCTTCTTGGCGGCGCGCTTGATCTTCTTTCAGCTCCCGCAGCTGTTCTGCCTGACAGCGTGCTTGCTCTTTTTGGCGGCGCGCTTGATCTTCTTTCAGCTCACGCAGCTGTTCTGCCATCATTTGCCGCAGCTGTAGCAGAAGATCCATCTGCACAGGCTTGGCTTCTGCATCGCTGGTCTGAGCTGCAGCACCCTCTTCCCTCACACGCTGCGCTTCTGACATAGCACGGGTACTCACTCCTCTTACGTCCTGCGGCACTAGCGGCATTTTTCTCCAATCCCACTTCTGACACCAAATGTTACGTGCCTGACGTCACGTTCCTGACTATGCGGGCTTGGGTTACGGGATTGGATGAAATGAAACACTAATACCGGTTTTCAGACTTTCTATTGCACTTAAGTTACAGCGTCCACGGAGTTAAGTTATCGGCGTTCCTCTCCAGCAGAGTCCGGCCGACTGACACAACTTTGCCGTTCACGCTGACTTAACTCACTTAACTGACTGCACTTCACTATTTCACTGCACTTCACTATTTCACTCACTTTTCTTCTTTCTCACTTCTTCCTTTTCTTCCGAATCGCTTTAGACTTAGAACTCAACTGCCAGCGGTGAGCCGCAGTTCCGGTTATATACCCCCGGTCAGGTTCTAGAACATTCAATTTCGTTATTCTTTTTGATCGTCATGCCTCCAGAACCTTCCAATAATTTCGTTATTCATTTTTATTTATTCTCCTTCTCGCTCCTTAATTTTTCATTACTTTCACTCAAATATTCCAGAAAGTTCGACAAAACTTCCATCAACTAAAAAACTTCATGTTTACGGCGGGACTCGAACTCGGGGTCTCTGTGGTGTAATCCACACGCCTTACCGATTACACCAATTCGTGTTGACAATTCACGACGAAATTTACAATCTCTAGGCAACGTTTGACAACCATCCATTGACGTCATGATGTCAAAGAGTTTTCTGTCACAAAAGTAAAGAATGTAAAAACCTTATGCCGAGTGTGACTCTTGTCAAAATCACGGCTTGAATTCGTCTGGGCATGCCGTCCACCACGTTATTAATAACGTTTTAAGGAATACGTTCCCACTCTTTTGCAATGACTACTTTTAGCTCCCTAACGTTTTGTGAAGCAGGTTGCACTGATCTTACCCGTCTCTTTAGAACATCCCAAGCATGCTCTATTGGATTAAAGTTAGGACTTCGAGCTGGCCAATCTAAACGACGGATGTACAACGCTTCCACGTCGCCAGAACGGTGCGGGCGAGCATTGTCGTCCATAAAACCATCACCATCCTCAAGTGCAGTAAATGTGGGTTGTGCATGGAACTAATACTTTCATTATGTACCGGTGTGCATTATACATGAATAATAAATTCATTTTCTATAAAAACTTAATCTGACCGGTCCGTCCAATTAATTGCTGCCCAAAACATAACGTAGCCTCCGCCATAAAGAGTGATTGCTGCGAAACACACTTCCGCATAGCGTTCCCGTGGTCTTCGCAGCACTCACCGGCGTCGATCCTCTCCACACAAAAATCCATCTTTATCAGGCAACAATACTTGATTCCAGAGTCCATGAAGCACAGTTCTGAGCAAACTGAAGTCGAACAACTCGTTGCTCACGGAGTAATTAAGGGCCTCGAGCTGGGCGGTAACTCCAGATATTCCGGCTTCATTTAGTTTTTTACATATAATTTCGATGGGTAAAAGTGCTGTTTCAAGACATATTTACAAAAATAAATTAATTGATTCATTGGCAGCTCAAAGCCTGCTAGCCAGCTTTTGACCGTCCATAAGCTAACTCAGCGTAGCAGTACTCCTCTTATGTCTTCAAGGCTCTTCTTCAGCTCCACATTTGACACCTTACGATTCCGTAACGCCTGACTCGCCAAAAAGCAGTCATCTCTTGGCTCTGTGCATCGTTTTCTTCCCGAACCGGGTCTTTTGACCGAACCGGTCTCTTGATACCACATTTGGACAGTTGAACGACTCACATCATTAACAGAAACAGACGAAGTACAGTGATAACATATGACGGGTTGGTGCGCAGGTGGCGGTGAAGACCCTGAAAGACGACACGATGGCGTTGAAGGACTTCCTAGAGGAGGCGGCCATCATGAAGGAGATGCGGCACCCCAACCTGGTGCAGCTGCTGGGCGTGTGCACGCGCGAGCCTCCGTTCTACATCATCACGGAGTTCATGTCGCGCGGCAACCTGCTGGACTACCTGCGCACCGGCAGCCGCGACTGCGTGCCCGGCGCCGTCGTGCTCATGTACATGGCCACGCAGATCGCGTCCGGCATGAGCTACCTCGAGAGCCGCTCCTTTATACACAGGTACACAGTACAGATTAAATGTTTTCATCGCCTATTGCTTTTTTACTCACTTCAATCAGCTTTGAGACAGCTGCATAATTAAAAAAAATTTAGCAAATGTTTGAAACATTTGAAACAACTAAGTCAAAAGTTTCGCAGAGTTCGACTTCAACATAAACCTTATTGACATCTCGCTAAATAGTGTATGTAAGAAAAATATTTAGTTAACGTATTATTTAAAAAAATAATGCAATTGCATATTTCTTCTCAAATAAATTAAAAGTAAATCAGTAGATGTTTATCAACAAATTATTGACGGTTACAATTTGACTTACTACTTATACTGGACAATTAATTGACAAGAAACATTAAAAAAAAATGTCGATGGACTATGCTATGGTTAAGCTATGGCTTCAGTAGGTACAATTTTTGATTTTGAAGTTAACGTAAGCGTGTTGTGAATTGCAATTACATACATTGTAATACTAAGTGAACAGTTTGTAGCGCGGGTTTTGATGACTGCCTCACACCGGTGCAAGCGAGGCTTTACGTTTATCAACATGCGGTTTCTACAAAACGTACTGCTCACTAAGGGTGCTACCGAAGTTTGGTGACTGATTGAGAAGGAATCTCCATCCGTGCTTGCGTGTCATTACGTCCATTGTCGTATTGGAATATTATACATTTAAATCGCCAATCCGCATTGAGTAAGCGCGGTGAGTAATGCTCATTCCTTCTCCGTGTGATAAGTACTTTGCTCAGCTATGGCTACTTATAGGATGATGATAATGATTTCTGTACTATGATAATATAATTTACAACTTTTTATTACTTTTCTCAGCAAGGGTAAAATGTGAAATGGCTTATGAATAAAAAGTGTACACTCACCCAGGCAGAGACCTATACTATCTATGCATAGGTGCATGGTAGCTACTATTTGGGCAAACTGTACATTGTTTCGTATCATCTGTAAAGGAGAGGTTTGTTGCTGGTGTTTGTTGTTGGCACGAAGCAACCGCTATACAAATAAAGAAGCATTGTACCTACATTGATATATTGCATTTAAATTATTTAGAAACGTCGTTTTGATTTCGTTTAATTCCGACGGTTAATTTTTGAAAAGAGTAAAACGTTGGTAGCCTTCGTGCCGGTGCGCAAACTGCGTTGCCGGCGCCGGCGCGTTACGCAACACCTCGCGCACCTGTAAACACGTAACAACGTATTGTTTGTATTTCCTTATCGGTCCAACTAATTATTGTTACGAACTAGAAATTTGAACACCTTACCGCAGATCTGCTTCTGTGTTTGAAATTGTTTTGTGAATAAAAAATAAAATAGAATAATATTTAATTTGCACTGGAATTTAGGTACAAAATAAATACATTGGCGATCCTTGTACATACCTTAACTTAGGCATGCGAAACTAAATACATTTAGGAGAGGATTAAGTTATTCATGAGCCATTGCTCGTGATTCAGTACATTGTCAGCGAATAAAACCATAAGGTGAGATATAAGTCGTGGCAAGTCATTAATATAAATAAAAAATAGGAAGGGCCTAACACATTGCCCTGTGGCACACCATACCTAACAAATCTATGTTCAGATACATATTTAACGTCGTTTTGTTTTGACACATTTTAGAAATTTCGGTGAACTGTTTTTGACTGCTTAGATAAGAGAGATAAAGAGGTTAAGCATACCCGTAATGCTCAACTTCCTAAGCAGTGTTTAGGGTTTGCAGGTCGAAAGTTGTTGTTATATCAGTTAGAATGGCACAAACTGGTATCTTTTCATCAACATTTGTCATAATTATATTCAATAGATCATAAACAGCCGCATTTATTTATGTTCTCTGAATCCCCTTTGTTATGCACTAACAATATCATATTAACTGCAAGGTTTGTGCGTCGGCTGGGCAAATGGCTGCCGTGCAAAGTGTCTGGTTCGATTCCCGCACGGAACAACTCTTTGTGTGGTCTAGAAATTATTGTTCCTGGTCTGGGTGTGATGTGTATGTGAAATTGTATGTTTGTATACGCATCCTAGAGACACTGGAGAAATTCATGGAGAGGGACAACGTGTTTTAAGAAAAAACAATTGAAAGCAAATTATTTATCGCGTCATAAAAGATTTTATCTATTATTTTAGAAAATTTTTATTAAGTATAGCGATTGGCCCATAATTTGCTATCTCTTCTTTAGCATTTTTTTTAGAAATAATCCAATTGCATGTGTGCCTTAAATGTAAAGCAATGTCTCTCGATACGAATTTTATGACCTTGGATGAAATACAATCGCAGCCAGTACTAGCTTTATTTTTGAAGACTGTATCGCTCTTATATCGTCTTGCGGTACAACTGGATGCATGAACATCGAGTGCGTATTATGTGCTGCGTTACAAAGTCAAGATATTATTTGTCTGGTCAATAAAATGATGATGATTTGCAATGTCTACTGGATTACTAATTATGGTATTATCAACTCGTATTTGGGAAATAGGTTGTGTTCAGATGCTTTTGGTTTATTATTTGAGGTATTAACGAAATAGTTATTTTGCAAAGTCTTAACAAGTAATTATGAAATGAATTTTATTCTCGCCTATATTTCCATAGCAGGTGCCTTTGTTTCCTACTGCACAATCTGATGCTATGAAATATTATTTGTTTGTTGCGTTAACAGTTATTAATTCGTAAACGAAACAGAGATCGAATACAAGAGATGATCACGCTTTTTTATCCGCCAATATTTAATTCTATATGTTTTCATCACTTGCAAAAGCTGTGCTGTGTCGTCAGACATTGCTAAGTGTAATATTTCTGATTTACAATTAAATCTATAACTACGACCAAAATGATGTATACAAGAGTTGCTGCACATCCTGGCGGGCTGCCGTAATTCCAATGTAACATTATAGCCTAACAGAAAGCCTTTAAAGTCTAGACTCATTCTATTTCTTTTTAAGGTGTCTATATGATAATCCCCGTATGTTACTATTTTCTTGTTACATTTCATACGTGCAGTTTTTTATAAATACCATTAATTATTAAATTGTATTTTGTCCATTGTATGCCACAGCGTACCGCGACATTAGCTAGAGAGCGACGACATAATATATTAGAAAGCATTTTATACTTTGCTGAGATTGTCTTGTATAAATTGCAGCTACCTTGTACTTTGTTATATTCAATAGTTTGTCATGTCTAGTCTTTACAAAGTGTTCTGTGATACAAATAACATCTATTCCTTTTCCTTCTGTCATCATTCTTGAAGATGGACAGTGAGCAAGACGGATTTATTGAATAGGCCTGCAATGTTCTAATGCAAAATACCTATTTATATTAAGTACCATAAGCAAAAATAAAAACATTATTATCACGCGTATCACAGAAAGAATTTTCAATAGGATAGTTTTTTATGCCAATTGTTTGACGGTTATAAATGTCGCATACATCGGTAGTAACCGGTCTACACATTTTAGCTGCAACTGACGCCAAAAGAGTGATTTGGCACTTCTAGGTTTTGTGTAATGTGCACACAAATTGCTGGAATGATTACGTTTTTACATATTTTATAACTACATACAATTATAAGGCAATGTACAAGTATTGCAGTAATGTACGCGGCGCGCCAGTTCACGCCACCCAATACTCTTCAAAACATGACATTGCTCTAGCATCGATGGAGCTCAAGCCATGTTGAACTGGAGACGGGGCGTCATCTGATATTTTAAATCCGTTGAGTGTGAAATGTGACTAAATATGTATATTTGTGTGTTTTCAAGCAGCCTACCGAGTGACGTAAGGCTGTAGTTGTGTACAGTATTATAATTGTTGCGCCATTACTCAGTCCGTCTTGTGTGGATGGAACCTTACTTACTTGAACATTAAAAGCACCCAAAGGAGCACCCAAAGGATACAGGATTATAAAAAAAACCTTATGTTTATTAATTCCTGTTAAAATTTATTCGTATTATGCTATTTCACAAAAACCTTTGGTAGACATGCAGGTGTAAAAAGATAATGCGTACAGAGTTAAAAAATGCTTTGATACTGAATACAATAATGAAAGACGAATCATAATTAAAATAGAATGTGAGTGTTAGAATGTGACAACCCATGTTGCAGGGACCTGGCGGCGCGCAATTGCCTGGTGGGCGAGAACCACCTGGTGAAGGTGGCGGACTTCGGGCTGGCGCGGCTGATGCGCGACGACACGTACACTGCGCACGCCGGCGCCAAGTTCCCCATCAAGTGGACGGCGCCCGAGGGGCTCGCCTACAACACCTTCAGCACCAAGTCCGACGTGTGGGCCTTCGGCATCCTGCTCTGGGAGATCGCCACGTACGGCATGTCGCCTTACCCCGGCGTCGACCTCGCCGACGTGTACCACATGCTCGAGAAGGTAATCGAATCGCATTCGTGTTTACAAATATATGATCCGTTACATAAATAACAATCGCAAACAATCGCATTGTTTGTATGACGGCAACCATTCCAGGGCGTGACTCGATGCTCCGGCTGACGCATTCAGACAATCAAAACAAACATTAGGTAATCTAAAAAGTTTATTAAAATAATTGAAATATAAAAAACAAACGAAACGCGCGTCTCTCGCCTCAACAACTCCGATTAGTTCAATAAGATGTGTTAGTTTCAAACTACAAAGTACTATACGTTTTTGCATTTCTTAGAATGGAAACTGCTTCGGTAGTCGAATAAACACATTGCGCAACATCTCCCATTGTACGGGCGCTCGGCGGCGCTAGCAGTGCGAGGCGTCCGTGCACAGGTGCTTCTTGCACAGCGTGCACTGCGGCCGGCTGACTGCGATACGCGAGAATATCTCGGACGCCGACAGCTCCTTGCTGAGCTTGCTGCACATCGAGTACGACACCGTCTTCTTGGAGAAGTCCTTGGCGGGCACGCACGTGCGCGCGCGCACCGGCCCTATCTCCTGGCCCGTCTCCACTGCAAGCATAGCACGCGTTATTGCCCCGCCTTCCTATACGTACACTCACGTCTGACGCACGGTACTCACCCAGCTTGGCGGACTCGGACGTGATGACGATGCACAGGAACGCCATGCCGGGGATGTAGCAGTCGATGTTGGGCACCTGCGCAGAGGAAGGCGTTATAGGCGAGGCGGCGGGCGGCGCGGGGCAGAGCCCGGCTTGTACTCACCGTGATGTTGGCGTAGTCGGGGTGGTCGGGGTCCCAGCAGCCGGGGTGGTCGAACGACAGGCAGTTGTAGCACTGGATGCCTTTGGTGGTGGGCGAAACGAACTTCTTGGGTTTCATCTTTTTGTGCTTACCTGGAATATAAAGCTCAATTAACATTTTTGAAACGTGTATTATTATAAATTAGTTGAAAGTATTGCTATGAATACTCCCAAAAATGATGAATGAAACAGCTTGTATTCAGAAGTGATAAGAAGTGAAATCTTACCGAGCACGGCTACGGAGAAGAGCAGGAAATAGACGATAGTGTTCTTGAAGGCGATCATGTCGAATGAAGGCGCGGCTGCGACTGGTGGCGAGACAGCGCGCGCGCCGCGTTTATACCCGCGCCAACAATGCGCCGCTATCGCGTGCACAGGGTGCTCCGCCGCGCCGCGCCCGTATTTACCAAACACCTGCCTCAATACTGAACGACTTGTCGCAAACGCCGCTAATTCTCCTAAACTCATGCTATTATTTCCGTATGTTTTCCGTTTCTGTGCCTGTGAGAACACAGACGAACTCTGATTGTACACTTGCGTCTAGCCTTTTAATGTTGTTATACAACTGGAACGGTACAAGTGTAATTGACATGAAACGTGTTTGGTGTTAATAAGATGTATGTCGTGATTCAGTTTGTCTACAATGGTTACAAGTTAAGCTTGGTATGGTATTAAAAGTAAAAGCTGCGTCGGCCGCAATAAACGGCAACCTGCTGTATAGGGGCGATGACGAGCGCTGTATGTTTGTTTGTATATGTAGCGCGACGATTGTTTACGCGGCGCTGACGCGGAGAGCGCCGCGTGCACTAATCGCTCAGCAATGCGGCCCGCGCCCGCAGTGCGCAGCTCGTACCCGGCGACATGAGTTCCGCGGTGCTCCAATGTCGCTCGTGTCTTCCGATATCACTCGCGGCTGTGTTATTATCTTCCTGTTGTCATTCAACTGCTCTACACTGGTACCCCAGCTAGCTATTTCCTGGCCTGGGTCTTGTAGTGCCTTTATCACACGTATAGAGGGCCTGCTGCAGGAAGAAATGGCGCTCACACACTATTCCACGCCTTGCAGACCATCTGGTAGGTGGGCGTCCGCTACAAGATCCCTCCTGCAGATATGGGCAACCCAATATCGTTTCAGGTTTTTGATCTAAGAAGCTACGTAATACATTGCTCATTACGGATTTTATCTTTAAGAGATATTCCAAGCATAGTAGCATCTATCCATGGCTCGTTGCGCAACTTTGAAAGTATGCTGTAAGTGTCCACATAACAGGTAGGACGCACTGCTGGAAGCTGTGGTTTTGTTTAGCTCCATCATTAACGGGAAATATTGACAGTTACATGTTGTTTGACGCTGCTATACACCGACACGAGTCGCGACTTATTCACTCCACTCTGAAGTGAAACGAACCATGTGATACATGTGCTGATAGTGTGTCTGGGGTTGGTACAATCATGTTGTACTTTTTATCTTCTTTATATATAAAAATTTCGTGTCACGTGTTTGCCCGCGATGGACTCCTAAACTACTGAACCGATTTTAAATTTGATTTGCATTCCGTGTGCATTTTGATCCAACTTGAAAGATAGGATAGCTTACATCTCAATTAATAGTCACAATATTATTTATTTTAGCCACAGCAACGCGAGGCTGGATCTGCTAGTTTCATATAAGGAGGCTACGTATTGATGTTTGGTATTTTAAATAGTAATGACAGAACCGTGTTACAATATCGGTCGAACTATTTAAACGATAAGATCTGTACACAATGCAATACAAGGCCTTATTGTGAAGAATTCGCAAGGCGTGTTTATGTTTTGTCTATTATTAAACTAGGCAATTGAATAGTATTAACTGCTGAGTACTGACTGCCTCGCTGGACGAGCCATCCTCACGATCCTACTTATATGGGAACGAGCGAAGCGGAGTCGTAAACAGAGGGCAGACAAATTCAATACTTCTGTCAAACGTGTTGTGATGTCATGTTTTATTCATTCATTTAGCAAATAAAATACTACGACATTCGTTTTCGAATATTTTATTTCATTGAAGTGTTGAAATATTTTATTTTAGTCCGGACGTCATAATGTCGATCACATGAACGCAAGGCAAACTCGCACGAGACCACCTGGTCGCGCGGCGAGCTACCCTTGTCCGCTAAGTTTGTATGTAGTTTATACCATAAAATGATGGCTGTGTTTTTCTGCAAACACAAGTTTTGTGACTGAGCTAATACCAGTGACATCGTGTTTCTTACATTGCGAACAAGAAATATGCACCGCGTAGAAGTCGTAGCTAGCGTATTACGGGAGAGCTTGGAGCTCACGGCAAGTTCAGGATCATTGAATATATTTTTCAATAAACGTGACAGAATGAAATAAAAAAAATTTGAAATCATTATTCCTTGTATAAATGTTTTGACATGAGTTGATATTAAACAATAGCTAAGACATGTGCTATAGTTCGGCCGTTCAGAGAATTCGTTCCTGACACCTATCAGTTAGCCACGACTAGTGATGGGCACAACATAACACAGAGTTCGTTACCGTTCCACCAAATTGAACCCGCGTTATTTTTAAGATTATTTTCGTTTTAAATTGGCGGAATCATTTAAAATTTATATTTTAGTTATTTAAGTGGAAACCAAAAAATGTGATATTAATATAATAAAATTGTTTTATTTATTCTTTGTTACAAAGTTACAATCTGTTTTTCTATGCAATAAAGTACATTGAATTGAACGTGCGTACAGAATATTAATCAGAATCCGATTCGCTTGAGGAGGTGGTGTCTTCATCATCATCTTCGCCTACATGTATAATTTTATTATTATCAATGACAGAATCAATCCTGATATTTTTAGTCTTCTCAACAACCTTTGCCAAATCATCTCTAGTGACTTCCCCGCAGGCTTCTTTTAATAGGGTCATCATCTTTTTCGTGCTGAATGGCGGGTAAGTATTTTGGCGGGCGGCGTAACCTTTTATTTGAGCGCAGATTAGCTCAGTCGCGTTATATTGGCAATGATACGGTGGAATTCTTAGAACGCGATGACCGTACTCCAGAGCCAGTTCATCGATTTCGTATCGCACATTTGCCGCCGTATTTTCTTAAACTAATTTAATTAACTCTGCTTTTAGCATCTGCATATTTGCGTCAATGCCTTTTGCTTGTAACCAAGCCACCATTTCTTCTTTTTTATTATCTTGGGTACGTGGTTTCTGTATTTGAACCGAGTGATAGGAAGCATTATCCATGAATATTACAGAAGACTCTGGTAGGTTCAGGTTTGTCCACGTTTAGGCATTATTATCTATGCACCAAAAGTAAAAATAACGCAATACAAAACACAATCAAAGTCCGATTTAACGCCGATGTTAGTTTGAAAAGCAGAAACAGTCCATTAAACGAAAGTCGGGTACTCAAATAAAAACAGATCGAAAACACTTGAACAACGTGGTCTATGCGCACGAAATGACATCAAACGACTGTTTTAGGGTCACAAAATGGCGGCCCATAACGCCATTTGGGGTTACCATTTTCAACCTAAATATAAAAATGCTACTTTCTTTCGCGCGTTTGGTTTGGTCATAGTTTTATTTAATAAAAGTTGTCTACAGTCCAATATTTTCAAATTCTTAAAATGAATAACTATTATTTTATTAAGTATAACTGTATAAGAACAGATTACGATACTGTTATTGCCTGTTATTGTTAGCACAACACTACAAATATAAAGTGCTGACTTGGACTTGAAAAGAGACTGACCTCTGAGTTTGTTTCATCTAGTTTTTCACATATAAATTGACGTGTAAAAGTGCCGTTTTATGGCCTATTTGCGAAAATAAATGCATTGTTTCATTGTTTCATTGACATAACCTTATAATAGCGCAGTATGGATTTAGAAAAATATTGTTTACCAAGTTATTTGACACTCAGTTTGGAATAACATTATAAAATTTATTGTATTGATATAATAATGTTGTTTTAATGCTCATCAATTGTTAAAACGGTAAATAACGCGCAAAAATATTTTTATCGTAACTGCAACGCCATTACAAAGTTACGTCGTCAGTTCAATCGCGACGTGTCAGGAACGCATTCTCTGAACGGCCGAACTTATAGTACCACACAATACGGTAGTTTCCAACTAGTCAAATTCAATACTTTTATCCAAATGTCAAAAACGATACTTTTCTATGAAATTTGTACGAAAAACTGAGGTATGACGTCATAACAGTTTTGCGTCAAATAGCTTAGGTACTTATTTCTGAATAATGAGCTAAAAAAATCTAAAACTTAGTGTATCGATCGATCGATGAATAAAAGTATAGTTATTTTTCAATATTTTATTGTATTAAAACGTCGAATTAATTTATTTTTAACCTAGGACACTACCCAATTGTCACACATGTGTTTGTGTCTGTTTATTTGAATAAGGTGTCATTGGAGCGGATTGTACATTGATCTGGTGTTGACCTCATGCCAAATACTTCAGCGCCTTACATATATATAAGTCTTATCAAGTAGCCATTTTCATTTATTTCTCACTAACATCAACTAAATCATAATGAAACACGAAATACCATAGATTTTAACTTTTAATTTTACTGCAATTAGTGTTGGTTGTTAGAATGTGAAATATTTTTGTCATACTGTTTTCTGTTAATTTATTTCCATTTACACTGAAAAAATGTAAGGAATCGTGTAGAAAATATGACAAAGTTTGTAACGCTCTGTTTCGTAAATGTAGACTCGTGTTGAGCCCCGGTCATCCCAAGTACAGAAGACGCATGCGTCAGCATGTTTATAAACATCAGGTTTACTTCATTTCTCTTGTATTGTGTTGCTCAGAAGATTATTCTCAAGCCCGTGCACAATAGACTAATTGTTTGTGTAAACATGTGTCTCTATTATAACGAAACAATGACGTCGCAGGGCTACCGCATGGAGTGCCCGCCCGGCTGCCCGGCCGCCGTGTACGAGCTCATGCGCGGCTGCTGGCAGTGGAGCCCAGCCGACCGGCCCACCTTCCGCGACATCCACCACGCGCTCGAGCACATGTTCCAGGACAACTCCATCACCGAGGGTAACGCATCCGTCTGTAGAGTAGTCGCTAGCTGGCACAGTGCCGCGCTAACTCGACTCTATGCGCAGAGGTAGAGAAGCAGCTGCAGGAGGGCGGCGCCGCGTGCCCGACCGGCACTCCGCAGATGTCGCTAAAGAAGGCGGGCGCGGGGGGCGCGGCGGGCGCGGGCGAGGGCCGCGCCGTGCAGATGCGGCGCCCCACTAACCGGCGCGGCAAGCAGGCTCCCACGCCGCCCAAACGCACCAGGTACGCAGCGCCTGCGTGTCACATCCGAAGCTGAGATTTGAGTATTTGGTATGATGGTGTTTAATTAAAACCAAAACAAATGAACGACTGCCATGTTCCAATAGTGGCGGTCATCGTGTGCTCCTTTGTATCAGTCATCCATTTTCGCGCCGATAAATAGATACATTTTATTGTTGATACTAGCGATGTCGTGTCATCTACTACCAAGTACTCAAATCCCCATGGCCCTCAGCTACAGCGATACAAAGAAGCTACTCTCTTTGCCGGCTTGTAGCTCTGTCGTCAACTCCATCGGTAATTTCTACCAAAATGTGTATACTAGTTAGAACTGACAATGGTGTGCTGGGAAAGAACGGGCCATGCGTTTAACGACAGCGGCTGTTGGACGGCTCACAGTTAAATGTTTATATATATGCAAATAATAATGAGCCAATTTTCGTGCAATAGTAAACATTGAACTCTTATGAATATGGGTGTAAATGATCTGTATATACATTTAAAATCGTGCATATTCCGAATTGCAATAAAGAAGAAGCCAGCGCCTTACAGTTGTAGAAACTCATACTCACCTTGTACCAATGATGAAAAGTGCTGGAGTTTGTATTGTTTTGTGGAAATAACAAGAAATGTTTGACAAAACGAAGTAAAGTTCGGAGAAACCGTAGAATGCAGTAAGAGCCGAGCGTAAGGTAGTGGCGGTTGTTGCAGCTTGCTGTCGTCGTGCAGCTCGTTCCGCGAGTCGCAGTACGCGGCGGACGACGCGGCGCCCGAGGACCCGCCGGCGCCGCTCAACGGTGAGTAGCCGCCCACGCGCCGCCCGCGCCTTACGTGACATGCCTTATAACTAGCCTTTTCTGTTTGTTGTCCGCTCGCTCAGCCGTGTAGCGATAGGGTCTCACACATCGTAAGTATATCATGCGTTTCGGATACACACTATTGCAATGTTTACCCATCATCTTCCCATTAATATAAACTAATGGTAATAATGTGAATGTGTATACAGGCTTCTTGGGTGCTTGGTTAAACGAGGGATCAAGGCTCGTATAATGTCCACGAGCATGTTACCCAGTAGAAATGATTGTGGAGTTGTGACTCAGTCGTAGTGCACGCCACTCGTGTAACTCGGCACCCGCGTATTTTAGTTGGTAACGATTGGAAGATTATTTATTATACAAATACGCGCCGCATTGTCATATCTGCTTACATTACATTTTTCATGCCTTTCAGTTCGCATTCATCACAATTGAGTGTATGACGGTTTTATCAGTACCGCGCCCGTGTCACAACGGACTGACAGCTCAAGCTCAAGTCTACAATATATATATTGCCTTAAATACGACCTGTTTAGATTTTCCCTTATTTTCAGATATTTCCCCGTAATTCCAGAAACTGACTTATAAACTGTCAGTGTATGGGGACATTGCGCCGATGTAATAGTTATTTGAAAAGTAAACTAAACAGACAGATCAAACTGTTGGATTTTTGTACTATCATTAAAATGTTGTGTATGTTGAATAAACAAAACGAATCATAGCTAAACAGGGCCCGACCTGAGCCAGCGATATGTGTGAACACGTCGCTCAGCACTATCATACCTTACGTGTACATGTAGGGGTATTGTTTTAACGTTTTACTGTCGGCGTGATTGAAGTGAGTATCCATGACAAATTCCGAGTAAACATTGGTTAAAGAATTAAATCAGGGACGGACTGACAATCAGCCATGGTGAAATTAACAGAGCTTCAATAGTTCCTGAAGTATTCGGCCGCTTATTAGATATTGTTTTTTTTGTTATATTAGGAAATAGTACATCCGTATTATAAAAAAATTGCGACGTTGACTGATGGAAATGCTAGTTCAGGGACACGATCTGCGGGTCTGCTGTGTACCCGTGGCAGAGCGTCTACTCAGAACTTGTGTAATCTGAAGTCTTTGAAGATTAACTTTAAAGAAAGTAGCGTCGTTTGCACAATATTGAACAAATATAGGCGCGTCGCGTGTGTAGGGGCGCGGGCAGGGCCTCGTTGTTAGCGGTGTAGTGGCACGCACTTGTTACAGTAGGTAGTGATGTTTGGGTGACAATGACCTGTGTGCCCCAATCTCTGTCCCTTCTTCCTAGTTTTGTACAAGTTTTACTCTCATACATGCATCGCCTTTACAGCCAGTTGTGTAAAAATGTACCAACGCATAAGACAAGCTCCACGTTTGAATAACAATTAGAAATTGGCCGTATTCATTTTTTCTAGATGTCTAGTGTTTAATGTTCGACAACATAAATTGTCAACACATTCTTTTCTAACTCATAAGCTTCTCTATGGGGATAGATTTAATAATACATGTAACATATTGTGTATGCATACTCATTTTTTTAATATTATACACCACACGAGATATCGTAAGTGATCCCGCAAGAAGGCGTTTAGTGTTCCGACTAGACGCCTTCTTGCGGACTACGAAACTCGTAAGGTGCGAGTTTCGAGTGCGCACGAGAAACTCGGTGAGGAAATGGTTCTCGCACACCGCCGTCGAACATTTCATTAAAGTCAAAGTCAAATAATTTATTTAATAATCAACTATTTGACAATTGTAAGTAAGTAAGAACAACTAAAACCACATCATCCAGTTCTGAGGATAATGTAATACTGTTGCCAGCACGTTCCGTCCAACTTGTTTACTTTTGTAAAGCAAATAGTTAATACTTTTATTCATTCATGTTCAGACATATACTCTGGTTGTAAGCTAATATTCAATGTGTAGTAGCGTGTTTGGTACATTTTGCTGAACTGGTTTCAAGTTAATTGTAGCAGTGAGTAGTTGTAGCAGTTTGTGCAACTCTATAGTACCTTTACATTAACAATATATACATTTTCCAGAGACGTGTGCGTGTGTGTGTCTTTTATCACGTGTAGGCTGTTTGGTGATGTGTATTGATGTGGGGCGGATTCGTGTTGAACAGGCGGGGGCGGAGGCGCGGGAGGGGCGCGGGGCCGCGAGGCGTCCTCCGAGGGCTCGCTGGCGGAGGGCACGCCCGACACGGACGAGTCGGGTGGCGAGCCACGGCACCGCAACAAGCGGCGCCACCACGCGCACCACGCCCAGCACGCCGCGCCGCCTGACCAGCCCCACCACAAGGTAACCCAGCCGCCTCGTGCAACTTTAGCTTAGGGTTGAGTTGGTTTTGTAAGTAATTTTATTTGTTGTAATATTTGAAGCAGGGGGTCCAGGTGGCGGCCCTCGAGGTTCAGAACGTAAAACGTGCCATCAACCGCTACGGCACGCTACCGAAGGGCGCGCGCATCGGCGCCTACCTGGAGTCCATGCGGCAGTCAGTGGCGGGGGGCGCGGGCGCCGCCGGCGGGGGTGCGGTCGGGGCGCGGGACGAGGCGCGCTCTCTGTCGCCGCGCACTGCGCGCGCGCAGCCCCACATGATCCGCTCTAACTCGTCGGGCGGTGTGACGGCTCCCGCGCCGGCGTCGCCGCGCGCCCCCCGCGCCGCGCCCCCGCTGCGCTCGTTCGCGGACAGCCCCGGCAAGCCGCGGCCCCGGCTGGCCGAGCTGGAGTTCCCGCCGCCGCCCGCCGACCTGCCGCCGCCGCCCGAGGACCCGCAGCCGCCGCCGCCGCCGCCGCCGCCCGACTGCTGCCGCGACGCGGGCACCGACACCGGCGACCGCGGCCTCGACGCGCTGCCGCTGCCGCCGCCCCTCGCCCACGACCGCGACGACGATAAACTCGCCAAGAAGAACATGAAGGAGATGCTCGAGCTGAAGCTCGTCGCTGAGATTAAGGAGCGCGCGGATAAGAAGAAACATCGGCAAAAGGACTCGCCGCCGCCGGACGAGCTGGTCGACATGCACACCTCGTTCGGCGACCCAGTAACACGGCTCGTGTCCGAGCTGTCAGAAAGTCTCAACATGGACGCCTTGCGCCGGAAGCCTGAGACAGCTACAGCCGCCGCCCGGCATCACGACGACGCCAAAGAAACTGTCTCACCGATAGATCTCAAAGCCAGTCTCAGGAAAACTGCATATAACAACAGTGTCGACCAAAAAAGTACTGAGATAAAAAATAGCACTGATTTTAAGGCTCAACTCAAAAAAGTTGAGACAAATAAGAAAAACTTGGCCACATCCAAAGATGTGGAGGAGTCTGGACGCGCAATCATTGACTTCAAATCTCGGTTGCGGAAAGTAGAGAGTAGCACGCCGGCCACCAACGGCACCAGCAAGAAACCGGAGCGGTCGCCGGAGGAGCAGCGCGACGAGGAGCGCAAGCGCACCGAGAGCGGCTCGCTGGAGACCAGCGGCGGGGACGACGACGACAAGCGGCGCAGCACCGGCAGCATCAGCAGTCTCAAGAAGCTGTGGGAGAGCAAGGAGACGGACGAGCGGCTCAGCCCCAAGGCGCGCTCGCGGCCCGACGAGCCTGACGCGTCGCCGGAGGAGCGAGGCGCGGGCGTGGCGCGCGCCGGCTCCGTGGCGCGGCGCCGCGACGACAAGCCCGCCGTGCCCTGCAAGCCGCCCGTCAAGGGCAAGCCCGCCAAGCAGGGCATCTACGCCACGCCGCTGCAGCCCGCGCCCGACGACGCCGACGACGCCGACCTGCTGGCCGCGCTGCGCAACACTCTCGATTGGTGCACTAACGAGGTACCGCCCGACATTTGCTTTCCAAATCGTCTAAATATATAAAAGGAGAAACTGGCTGACTGACTGCCATATCAACAACAGCCTAAACGGCACTTGAAATTTGAAAGGGACCTAGCTTAAACACTATAGACTTGCACTAAGAAAGGAATTCCCGAAATTCCCACGGGAAAGGGAATTAGCGGGAATATTCCTTTGTATGAAAAAACTAAACCGCTTCGGCCTTATTACAAAACAAGGTTTTACTTTAGTCTAGGACTAAACCATTGAGCCAGTTTGTGTATTTCGAATTGAAGGTAAATGACAATAAGATTCAAAATTCAAAACCCGACTCAATGTTTTAAACTTGAACTAAGTATAAATCTTGTTTTGTAATAAGGGGCCTTAAGTTGTATGTAGCGGTAAAAAGGTGCAAATTTACTTCTTGACGTTAGGAACACACCTACATTTCTTAGATAACAGTGAGTTCTTGTTATTCAATATGAACCTTATGTCTAATAGCAATATAGCTCAAATTAACTCTATGTTTTAGTTAGAAAACGTTTGTATGTGAAAAAGAAAAGCTGCTGTTTTTAGGCAAAATTGATTGAAGACTGGACTAGTTGTGGTTGATATTGGTGAGTAGCATTGCGCGAGTGGAGTGAGATGGTATGGGTCGGCAGGTGCGTCGCGGCGGCGGGCGCGGCTCGCTGTGGCGGCTGCAGACGTCGGAGCGCGTGGCGCGGCTGGGCGGCGCCGTGGCGGCGGCCGGGGACGCGCGCCGCTGCTCGCCCGCGCTGCGCCTGCAGCTGCGCGCCGCCGCCGCCCGCCTCGACGCCGAGGCGCGCGCGCTCGCCTCCCCCGCGCCCCACAACCACCACCTCGCCGACGGCGTCGAGCGCGCGCTCAAGGACCTCGCCGACATCGTGCACAGGTACTCGCGCCCACCCACACACGACTACAAACTATATGTTTACACGTGTACACGCACGCACTCACGGCACGCTCTACACGTTACAGATAAGCGGCCGCTGCGCCCCCATCCCGGACTGTACAGCGCGACACGCGCGTCCCCGCATCGTCTCCAACGTCTAGATACTATCTCATCGTCAGTATAAATGTAACTGATCTCAAAAGGAACGCGTAGTTTTTGTAGCAACATTAATTACTTGGTAAGTGAACGTTACTCCTCGATAGAAGGCGAGGCGACAGCTCGCTGCCTGCATCGTCAGTGCCAAATGTATGTACACTCGTACATTCCTCTACTCGCGATACACACTCACTTGGTACTGTTCTGTTTAGCATTTAAATAGTAATATTGTACTACGTAGTAAGTATACACGATAGAAGACTCGTTCTACTCGGACCAATATCGATGCTTCTGTTTGAACGTGGCAGTGCCGTCACTCAAAGACTGTCTTCAACTCGTTTGTATTGGGCCTATATATACGGTATCATGTACTTGCATTGTATACTTAGTTAGCGTCTTCATTGGACCATCGCTACATTCGATATACCATTCTATATACATATAATTATATATATTACTTTAATGTAGTGCGAACAAATAAATTGTCAAACATGAAGTATTTTAAGTTAGCGTACTGTGATACGGCTTATAATGTAATAATAATTATGCTCAATATTTTCTTTAATATAATTTGTATTAATCGAAGTTGTAAGGTATTTGATTAAACAACGGATCGATGGCAGTTGCATGTTAGCGACGCCATTACTGTATCATGTCTATGCTAGTCTTTATTATTGTAATAAATGTACGTAAGTTGTCTGCAATAGGAATGTGTACAATTCTTCAGCCTATTTTAGTACCTACTCAATGTATCATTAAGAGTTTTGTATAATACGAGAAGCTCGCCACGCCCTCTGGCCGTCCGCTGCCGCCGCGTCCGCTTCATGCTCGTGGTCGTTGCGTCACTCTACATGGCCGCGATGTTGTTGTTTCATGCCAAAAACATAGCATTGGCAAGTGAACATATGAAAGCCGTTTGGTGTTATTGGAATAAAATGTAGTTTGCTTTCAGTAAACTTGACCATTTACAGTATTTAAAGTACCCTCGCTCCAGTAGTCATTGTCGTGGTTCTATAAAGCACCCTGCCAGCGCGAGGCCTCATACAAAAAGGCGATGCGAGTGGCAGCGGCGGCGGGCGAGGTCGGGCTGACACTTAGTTATCGTATCGTGAATACCCGCCATAGTGCCCGCCCGGGGCTCGCTACTATATCAGCTTGTGCAGTTTGTATCTCTGCTCTGGATTGCACCCCCTTAAGTCCCTCCTATGTTAAGTAATAGAATCCAAAGATACATAACAGGTGTCCAACTGTAATGGAAATTAAATGATTTCTTTAAAACAACACATTTTTTTACTTTCCTCATCCTGTATTCTAACTAAACTCCCACCAACTTCTACTCTCCGTCTCAAACAAACACTTTTTGTTGTGTTATTCTAGACAAAAATATTACACCTTTGAAAAATATCTACTAAAAGGTACCGTAACGTTAGCACTTAAACCTACACTCTAACGGCTCATTTGAAGTGTATCGAAATAAATTCCAAAGCGACCTGTTTTATAATTTTGAAAAAACAAAAGATTTTGTTCCTCCTAAAGTGTTTTGACGAATATAATTTCGCAAACCACTAAATATATGAGAAAGATGAGCCGTGCATTTACCGTGTTACCGTGGTAATGTAACTGTTCTCAAAACAAGATTTCTGAAATTCAAAAAAAAAGTCAAAAATCATTTATTCCAATTAGACCCTTACAGGCACTTTTGAACGTCAAACAAAATTTTGAAGATATAGTGTCAGTCTGTCGGTCAGTCCTCTTCGTGAAGCTATTTGCTCGATCCAAAGTGTAGATTCCGATGGAGAAGAACGAGCAAGAAGGAGTTTCTTGCTATGGTTACTCTTTTTAAATCAGTTCACATACCGATTCCATTTATAAACAGTTGGTTCAATTATGTAAGAAAAGTGAAACACTAATATTTATTCAAATATAAAAAGAAAGTAACCTTAAGGACAATAGACAGTCCGGAGCTGACCAGTCCACCAGCATCGCCCAACTCAACCATATTATAGGGAATTAAGCGATCCAGCGCCCATGCCACCGCCAGTGTGACCTTTCAGTGAGCATGACAATTCCAAGCTGTTATAAGGACCGACATTCTGCTAGTCTAACCAATTGTAATAGGTTACATGGCACTCACATTTACAAATTTATCAAGTTATAGTTGTTATACAATATAATGCAATTTCAGTAAAATGGAGAAGTCCCGTTCAAGCAAAATCCACTGGAACGTTATTTATTTTGGTGTAGGTTTGCTATCCTGTGGAGCAGGACCAGCATGTCTCCAAGCATCTTTATATACAATATTATCATTCGGGGTGTAGTATGCTTTTCTACATAAAGTTTTCTCTACACATAATTTAAAATTTATTTTATTTAATTGTTGTATTTCGCCTGGGATTTTGTTATAACATTTAACACTGAATCCCATAAATGACTTGTGTACATTTTACCGTGATTTTCGGTCTCAAGTAGCCGTCGTCTTCTCTTCCGAAAAGCATTATCCTTGCTTGCTCTGCCTATCACTTAAAATGGGGTGATAAAAGAATTTTTAACAACAAAAGTAAACCGACTTCAAGATGTAAACTAAAAAGCACAAAATAAATTTTCTCAACATGTTGTCATTTAGGTAAATAGAAAATAATATTAATAACATTTTTTTTTAAATATTCCCGTAAGCATGCTTTGGTTGAACATATCTAGGTATCTATTATATTAAAGGCGATGAAGTTCGTGAACTGGATACAATCAGGGACCTTGGCGTTGTATTTATTTGGCAGGAAATTAACTTTTAAACGACACGTAGATAATATAATACATTATTTATTTGAGATGATTTAATATTATTAAATCTTCTAAAATGTTGGGTTTGTCTAAAGAAATACGAAACAGCTTAGAAGTTGGAAGACAAAAATCATGCTTTAGAAATTGCTTGGGTCGAACCGTTTTGGAATATGGTAGCGTGGTTTGGCTGCAATAAGTTGCACATTCGTTGCGCCTAGAACGTTTTCAAAAACGTTTATTGTGACATCGGGCATTTTCTATGGGTATAGCTAAAAAAATACCTTCTTATAACAATAGATTGAGACATTTTCTAAACATTTCCTTAGAGGAACGTCGACGTCTAAATGACGCAATTTTTGTATGCAAAGTTATGGCTCACAAGATTGACTGCTTACAAATACTGAGGACTTTCAATTATACCTCGCAGTCAGATTACACCACTGCATCCACCAGAATGCAGTTGCAGAATCAAAGAAGACCAGTCTTAGGCTTTAATTCTCTTTTCGGGACATCTTGAAAGGTTATTAATGATTGCAGTGGCATTTATTAATCTTCACTTTAACTCGGTGAAATAATTAAATATTTATAAATATCATATCGATCTGTATTAGACATTTATGGAGTCGCGTGTTTGCAATAATAATTTAAGATTAGTTTAGATAAGTCTGCTTGATTAATTTTTTCTCTCACATATGTAACATACCCTTAAATCATGCGGAGTTTTCGTGTAAGTGATTGTTACACTGTTGTAATCTATTTTATGTGATGTTACTATCAACACAATACCAGAGTAAACAATTGTTGGTGAACCAATAAATAAACATCACCAGCCAGGGTAGTGGGTCAAGCGCAATAATGTGAGCCTGATACTCCCTCTCGCCCTAACGCCTTAGCTTTAAGATAAATATATGTACATAAACTTCAAGACTTCAAATTCAATTCAATTCAATCACTCTCCAGGCTATGGCAAAATCTCCCCGGCAGACGTTGGTCAGTAGATACATCGTCAGCTGATACGAGACGAATATCATAATGTAGTTTCATTGGGATATACTTACGCTGCGGCAATATGCAAAGTCAATATGTGTGTAAACTTGTTGCGCTACAAACTACAACCACTTTACAAAACTGCAGTTTTATATATGTTTATTTCATAGAACATAATTTCATACAAATGTTACTGAGCAGCAGACAGAGGACTCGGTCCTGGGACAGCTCCCTTGGAACACCGGATACATACGGTTCTCCGCGGTGTTTTTTTCTTCGGTTTCGTCGCCCGGAATGCGGACACTGCGCTTTACTGGCAACACCGCAACACTATACTCGGAATTTTAATTGCATTCCAGATTTGACAATTTCAGTGTTGCAACGCTATGACACGTACTAAATAGTGACGTTGCGAAATTATTCGATATGGAAATCAAATATTTCTGAATCGATTCCTCTCGTTTATAAATTTACTCTCGTAAACTAAGTTTATCAGGAAATAAAATATTTCTGAACGGATAATTTAATGTGACCATGAAGGAACATGACAAATAAAACAGACATTTTATAAATTGTCACCGTCATCGCTATCGCTGTTACTTTCTGTAACATTTATTATGAATTGTGTCTGTGATATTTATTGTCAATTAACGCTTACCCATTTTTTCTTCTTCTTTGACAACATGGAATGCTTAGACCATTCGGTAGCCGTAATTTTTTGAATGCCTTCCTGAAACTGATTCACTGATTGTTTATGGACTTTTGTGTTCATCACTACTGTTTTATGTGGTATCATTATTTCACAAAATGACAGTAGGTCATGTCAAATCAGGAATCGAATTAAAGTTCTGACTATAGGAAGAGATTGGAGGTGGCACTAAAAAAATCGAGGCTCTGTGTGTTCATAGGGCTCGGAGAGCCAGCGGAGTCACTCTCGGACTTGTCTTCGACTGTCGCCAAAGCTTGATTTCGCGGTCGCTACCTAACTTACGAAACGTAGACAAGATACTTTTCTTGTCAGTTGTAGACGATAGTGGCGTTGTTAAAACGATAAATAATAAAACATTGCTAGGATTAAATATTTTTTATTAAGTTTGTTACATTACATGTGTTCATTGTCTTAACACAGAAATAGAATAGGCGCGAAGCGCTGCCAATAAATTAACTAAATAATGGAATATTCTAAATGCATTTGTATGAGTATGTTGGTTACATCAGCCATACCCACATGACACGAGTTTAGTACACATATTGGTACTTACATAGCTAATTAAGTTACAACACTGGAATGTCACATAACTCTAGGCCACCACGTGACGTCACCGTTAGTAAGACGCATCACGAAGTACGAGCGCGCCAGGCAAGCAACGCAATTTCTCCATTATTAAGTATGTATTATCAGCAGGAGTAGTAATTCACAATGAGCCACGACCGTCGAGCTGCTCGCGGCCGGGCCTCACGCATTGCTTCACTTCTTTCCAATAAACTTTTTTTATTGGACATTTGCAATGGCACCGGTACTTTAAGTTCCGAAGGTTATCAATTACAAAAAAAGGATTTATAAAGAAGTAAGCTATATTTTAAATTTTTATCACAAAAAGGTTTAATTCACACAAGGTTTATATTTACAGTTATAGTTTCGATGGCAGTCTATGTAGGCCTAGTTCATGCCTAGCTGGACTCAGGCTGCGTATACAGTTTTTTTTATTTAGGTATGCCAATCTTTTTGGATGTTTTTCATCCCTTATTAGCTTGAAGCTGTAATTGCTACTCAAGTTACTTTAAGTTGAGCTGTGGTTGTGTTGCATCCAAATATTTACGAAATGATTAAGGATGCATTGGTAACACTATAATATAATGCAATACATACGTACGACTTATATTTTGAAATGTTCGGATCCATTGAGATCATTGTACCTACACAATCATTATACATTAAGTAATATCATTAAAAAAATAACAAAACAATTGATTTTGCCGTCGCGTAATTGGTATATACCTACGGCGAGATAGTGGACAAATCCGGCCACCTAAGGAGTTACTTGCAAACAATTGATGGTATGCCAATGTTAAATAAATAGATAAGTGCACTGACACATAGCAACAAGTGTCAGTAACGAGCGCAACCAGGGCGTGCAGCTAGTGCGGGCGCCGCGTTGCACTGAGAGCGAGGCAGCGGTCTGCACCTGCTGACGCGAACAGCTTCAACACCACGTTCAATATAAGTTGTCTTCCAAGTTCTGGGTAAATGTGAGGAGTAGGAGAGGGGCGCGTCGTTACATATATCGGGGTAGTATATTTACCAAAGTTTGTTGTGATAGTATTTAACATCAAAATATCCTTTATCGGTAAGCTGCGAGTCCCGGCGGCTGGCGCCGGCGGCGGGCGTGCCGGCCGACGGCAGGCCGGCGGCGGGCTGCGCGGCCGCTTGCTGTACGTCCAGGGAGCCGGGCCGCTCGATCACCACGGGACTGTAACGCATGGGCCCGAGGGCCCGCATCTCATCTCGCCGCTCCTCAGGCGGCTGGTCGGGGTCGAATTCATACGCCTCAGCATCGTATTCTGGCTCCGACGGATCCTCCCAATCATCATCATCCCACATCTCCCTGGGATAGTAGCGAATAGGCTGGCTATCGTCAGCGACTGCAGCGCTAGCCTCGGGAGCCTCAGCTTCGGCGGCAGCGGGAGACTCCGAGCTGTGGTGTAACATCCAGCAAAACACTTGTAAACAAATGCGCACTAACGTGTGGACAGCGGCTCACATCATAACGCCACACTAGCAGATCCATGGCGTATAAAGATACTATTCATTTGAAATAGCAGTAAACATAAGTCCAATACTCAATAAGTATATTTATTGCATTCCACAGGGCGAACTTAGCTGGTAGGGTACCTACACAAGTACAGCACACACCAGCTGATAAAGTTGTTCAATACCTTCTCGACTTAATTTCAACAATCACTTTAATATAGAAACTGTGAATCATGTTTTACAAATACAGGTATTTAGTAGAACACAGGTGCGCTGTTGATAACTTTGGCGCAGACGAGTTTCCGAGCTTCTGTTGCACCGCGGCCCATACTAGTGGCGCCGCCTAGCGTAGCGAGCGGATGGACAAGCAACGACAACATGCAGAATTACGAATAAGTAACTGAAATAATATAATATAGTCGTATAAGGAGCCCGGCGAGGTACCAGCGATCCAATCACTTCAGATGCTTGTCGACGGATCACTTCTAGTTCTAATAAGTGAGCACGTTGACGTTGTCCTAAATGTTAGATCGCTAGTAGACACGTACCGGGGTACATGCTGCTGACATACAAGGCGGTATCACGCTGGCACGTCGTGGTCCACATTACTATGATGGCCGAGCGCCCCCAGTATTCGTACACAGCTGATGGCATTGATGGCGTAACTAGCGCATGTTACGGCCGTGCAACCTGCCACTCCACACACACAATACGTATTATTTCACGATTGTATTTCATTGAACTGAAATGAAATACTGTCACCTGAAATGTAAATGATTCAAAATATCTTCAATCCTTTAGCAACGACTATGACTAATACAATCGCTGTGCCTTGTGTGTTGTGACTGTTACTAATACAGGGGCTGGGTCGCCACGGTCGCACACATACGCATCACGGAGACAAGCAATAACATGCGCTCTAACTACAACAACGCTTATAATATAATATAAAATAAAGCTGCGTCGCTGAGCCACACGCCTGTGTCACCGTCCTATACTGGCTGTACACAGGACTTACGACTGATGTACTGTACAACGTACCACGACGTCTCACTCTACATGCAATGCGCCGCGGAGTCCGCGGATCAATCAATGCGAGGCCATTGCATCTAACTGTGGATGTCATTTAAAATTGTCATAAAAGGTAAACTTTATAAAGCATTTTATAAAATATTACTTAGAACATAGTTAGGCTTGGGAATGAGACTGTCTAAAAAAATGTTATATTGTTATACAATATATCATAGCTGTATGCGCTGGCAACCCGACAGCGTATTTCCTATGTCGTCCGCTAGAGCACGCTAGGTAGAAGATATTGAGTATTTTGACAAATTTAACGTATTGGCGATTATTGATAGTGTGATGGCTGTGTGGGACCTGCCTTTTCTACTACTAGAAATTTAAGTTCTGGCAGTTTCGAGTATTTACTACTCAAATGTTGTCCGACCTACTCAAATGTTGCGTTGGTCGGTAATATTTGTCAGAGAATTCAGCAACACCTGTTATACTACGTAAACTACAGCACGATCTCTGGAGCAGCTGTCAGTGAATTCAATTTGCAGTTCAATTTGGCACTATACTATAATTATTTAGTTTATATATTTAATTTTATCGGTGCGTATCTTCTGAGTTGAAATATACCCAACAACAGGCGCGCCCATACTTATTTATTTATTTAGTTATGGACAACCAGTAGCTGTTACGTTATTTCTTACATCTATACTTTAAATACACGATTATTAAGTTAATTGTACAGTGTTTAAGGTGTCACATCCACATCATGCTCCAAATATTTTAAGTGACATAAAAAATAGAATTTTTATAGTTGGCGACTTTACATTCTGCGCGAGTCAGTGCACATGTTGGAAGCACTAGTTTCTACACTGAATAGGTATAGGTAATGAGTTTATTTGGAAGCAGTCTATTAGATTACTTCAAACAATGAGACTCGTATTTTATTTTTTATTTCGGAATCGAACATTTTGTCGATACATTAGTACATTACTTTGAAATATTGTGATAGGTCTCGACAGACAGTTCATTTTATACTGAGCGGTAACGAAGCAACTTCCCACTCTTAATTACAAAAAAATACCATTATTTTGTTCAGTATTTGACTGACAAACTCATAGGGACTCCAAGGACTATAAATACCTGCCTAGTAAAATAGAGTTTTGCACCTTGCAGGAAAAAAAACGATATTTTGAACATATTAATAATTTATTTTGTCAATAATATTAGCGAAGTATAATTTATTAATTAAAAATACTGAACGTAAGTGTTAATTGTAACATGGAAAGTATAAAATGTGGAATATTTGCAGACGGACGCCGAGTGGCGGTCGGCCGTCGGGACGCAATGCTGTGGGAAAATCATATTGTTTCTGCGTCTGCTTATTTACAACTTGCAAGGCAATTTGACATAGTTACCGACGATGTTTCTGTTGCTGCCAACTAATGGAATCTAATGTACGAGATGACAGCTGGCAATAACACGCTGGAAGAACACAAAACTATGCTCGCAACACTAGTTCAGTATGTAGCGTCCCCACACAGAGGCCGCCGCCCTCTCTTTGGAGCATCGACTGAAAACTTCACTAGTACGAAAGACCCACTGGTATCGGGCATCTGCCTGGCGAGCGGGCGTGACACTTTTTGGTTGAGTACATGCAACTGTAAAAAATAATTTCCGAGTCACCCTGCTTATACCAGATATATTACAAACTTCAACAATATAGTCGAATAACTATAAGTAAATAAAACGAATACTTTAAAGTATTGAACTACTGGACTAAACTGGTGGATATTGCACATCTCATCATACAGTCATACTTTAAACCTGGACCCGTCGAGAGAATGGATGGAGCGAGTGATGGATTATGTGAGGAAGTTATCATAACACGAAGAAATACAGTACGTAACCACCTTCATACACCCAGTAAAACAATGCGCATATCTCACACACGCCGTGCCGTTCAAGACAAAATACATCACAGTTGTAACGTTGAACAACATTTTGATTCTGTAACCTCACTGGGGAGACGCAGCGACACGTAGTGGGCCGATGTTGTCGGCCGGCAACGGGCCAATGGCGGAATGTGTCCCTCGCGTGTCACACACTTAAAGTGTAGGTAGAAGAGGGCTTTCATATGTATGTACCTACTTCACACTTTGTATTTTTTTATTAATAATGTTGTGCGTGTTGCATAAAGCAATAATTGGACCTTTGGATTGGAATAACGTCCAAGAGTGCCTTGTATAAAATCAAGTCTGGTTCTTAATTCATCATACCATTTTATACTCAATAAAAACAAGCTAAATTCAATAAGTCATCAAAGTAGCACAACCGTGATGCCATGTATGGGTCCCATTGATCCCCATAAGACTGGTTGTAGAGCAAGCGCGCCGGCCTACTGGCAGAACTCGACAGTGTGTTAGTGTGTGTGTGTGTCGATGGCGTCGCGCGTCACGGCGCGGCGTCGCGCGGTAAGTGATCGATCGGTCGCGGTCGCCGGGCGGCGCGCGCCCTCAGTTTGTATTCATCGCGCGACGCGTGCGCACGTAGCTGCAAGCAACGGTAACGCAAAATAAACAAAAACAAAAAAATAACTAAAATATTTCATGCAACATTAGCACTCATTCAACATAGTAAATACATGAAAACGAGAATAAATTGATGTGTCTGACTGCGACCGACATGTTACCGGAGGGGCCCGTGACTAGTTTTGGCTGCAGACATGATATTGTATGTCATGTTCCAAAGTACTTTACTATTCATTGTTTAAGCATTGATTGAAATCAATGGAATGTGTGGAGTATGGGACAAGCTAGCGGGGAGCGTACTGGTTATTTTTGGATTGGTCAATTTTTGAACGGGAACCAAATATTCCATTTCTGGTTCAAATTAAATAGATCCGACCACTGTTATCAGGTATTGGTTACTTGGGGCCCTTGTCGAAAAATCCTTGTTTATTATACAGATGTCAGTATTATTCAGAATAAAATGTTAAGTACTACTAACATGGCAGTACAATGCCAAACTCTATTGAATCGTTTTGATAATAATTAATAAGTAACTGAATAACAATTAATATTTATCAAAATACTTTCGAACATGCCTGTATGTCGATGCTGAACATTTCCGACAGCCGCGACTATTGCAAGGAGGATGCAGTGCCACTAACATGTTGGTCAGCAGTACAGGTACAATATTTCTTAAATACGTTTAAAATTAAGTTATACATTCTTGTATCTACCCAACGAATGTTCTAGTGAGTGTGAAGTGCGGACACAACACTTGAGCGAATGAGTGCAACCTAACTACGGACTGAAGTCCCAGCTGTAGGAGGCGTGCAGCGTGGAGGACCAAACTGCTTATGAGGAGTTTACAATGGGGCAGTGGTGGGAGGACGCTTACCGTCTCGCCGCGTGCTCGTGTCCGGCGCCGTGAATGACCTGCAACAGGCCGCAGTGCACGTTACTTCTGCAAGGCGTCTGTCCACACGCTGACAGCAGCGCGCCGGGCCGATGCCGCATCCGACCCGTCAAACTATGCTCCCTCGCAGCTAACTATTTCCACCATAGTTTACGCACTACGTGCATCACCCCTCATACGATTACTTTTTGTCATTCTAGAATCTATCCCGGAGTAGACTTACGGGACCAATGTAGGTAGCCACAGTATCACTTGGACGCTCGCGCTAAGATACCAACACGAATTTTAGTTTTGTATGTCAGGAATTATCTAAATTCTTCATGCATTTAACATCCATTTTATGTTTAGTATTTTCGTACTGTTAAGTAAGTATTTAAGCACAACTTTTGTAAGAACATCTAGGTGATTCAGTCCAAGTGGATGGAAGTGGATCGGACTTGTGCGTCCCCAATATCCAAATTCTGCCCCAATTTGTTAGACTCGCATTGTCACGGATTCGGCTTCGGATGCGGATCGGGCGGAGAGCACACTTATATTTATTTGACATAATGTGGGTTAATATAGTACTTGACAGTTACTTAGGTATACTGAAAACAAATAATGTAAGTATACGAATATTTGAGTTCAAATTGTATGTATAGTTAACATTATACAGTGATCGGCTGTGTACTTACGTTAGCGATCGCTGAAGCAGGTTTCGGGGCGGCGAAGCGACCGACGGCAGCGGCCGGGGCAGCCGAGGGACCGCCGCCCGAGTTACTAGTACAGAAAGGCAACCATTTGACAGCTACACTAGGCGAACTAAGGGCGACCAGCAAATGTACTACACTAACGAGGTCCGCTTGCTGGCTCGCTCTCTACAGAAACGGTGTGATACACAGCGCGGGCAGTTTACTGCAGCCACAGTCGCCTGCTCGTGATACTTAGTCCTCCAGGTTAATGATATCAAGGCGAACAACGAGACTTGTCGTCAACAACACAAGGTTAGGTTCGATTAGAACTTCGTGGCCAGCGGCGGGGAAGTGGTGGATTAAGCCATCACTTTTTGTGTGACTACGCTGCTAAACTGCTTTACTATTGAAAGAGAACCAAACGGTATCTATGAGCAACAATCAACACCTCTGAACTATCGGCTGACATCATGTTCAATCAGAGAAACCACTGACCTGATTTCTTCGTCGGACCGGTCGAAGAAGTTCGGAGCCACAGCAAAATTGTTATTTTGCCGAATTAGTTTTTCAATGCCGAAGTTCCTCGACAGAAATTTCTCCATCTTCTCAGAAGGACCATCAATAGCCATCTGCCACGCTGTGACCTCCAGCTCCTGGGAAAAGAGTCAAGCATACAGTGAAGTGACTTGTTAATAAATGTCTCACGAGCTGGGATGGTCCACTAGACTAGTAACGTAACAGATGTAAAATTGGCGCATTTAAGTGTGAGTTAGCCATGCTTCAGCACGGATAAGTCGGCTCGACCAGAGTGATACCACGGCCTCGCAGAAAACTGGCATGAAAAAACCACAGCGTTTTTTTTCACCGTGTGAGTGAGATTACCGGAGGCCCAATCCTTCCCCTTCCCCAATCCGTAATCCCCAAAGGTCGGAAACGCACGCGTAACTCCTCCGTTGTTGGGCCGGCCATGGACACCCCCATGGGTTGCGTTGATTGCTTACCATCAGACACCCGCTCAAATATTTGTATTTAAAAAGTGTACGGAGGCTCACGTGCAGCATGTAGTCGTAGAGCATCCTGCCGAAGCCCATGCGCTGGCGGTCGCGCACCACGTAGAAGTCCAGCACGCACAGCGGCTCCACCTCGTGCACCACCTCCTTGCTGTCGAACAGGAACAGGTGCTTGCGCCCCACCTTCAGTAGCCCTATGATTTCTCCTTTTCCCCTGCACAAATGCGTAATTATATAAATATATGGTCAATTTATACATTTACATAAATAACATATTATGCTTTTTGTTTAAACATGTAAATACTTAGGCATAAACGAGACATTTGTGTAGAGCTACATTCGCACAGCGCAATCGCAACTTGTTTACTACCTCAATAATAACAAAGAAAATTGAACAGAGGCAATTTTTATATTGATATAATTACAGGAGCGACATTTTCAGTTTCACAAGAGCAAAGCCGCCGACAATGAAGAACAAATAAAAAATTGGTTTAAATGGTGGCATGTGTCCCGTAGTGCGACGCTGGCGTCCGTCTGCAGCTTCCATTACTGGCCACACATGCACAATCATTGTTCATACAGAAATGACTTGACCATGTAGTGGAGCTTTTCTTCACGCGAGACAGCCGTATACTTCAATTAATTTAGGATGACTATTTCACTATAGTTATTTTAATACCCATTTTTTATGTTTTCTGAATTGGGACTGTTAACCACCATTAGCAATGTCAAAAAGTATAGTAAAATGTGCAGTTGTACCAGCTTTACACGACTACGGGGCTCCTTTATTGTATCGACTTGTAAATAAGTGTAAACGTCATCGCGCACTGGCGAGCCAGGCGGCGCGGCGGGCGGCGGGCTGCGGGCCGCGGGCAGGCAGCGCGGCGCGGCCCGGCCATGCAGAACGGAATGCTCTGACGCCACTCTAACTATAGCGAGCCGCGACAGACATCTATGCATTCATAGATATATTCTTGAGTATTACAAAGAGGTCATTGAATTGACAATAAGAGTCGACAACAAGGCCTTTAAACTGTACTAAGGTATAGAAAAGTTCGAAGATTAATGTTAGAAACGAGTATACCTAATGGTGGCATGATGAGCTTAGCCTTAATCTTGTGATAATTATATGACAGGGCAACCCACAGCGCGAGTGTAGAGGAAGAATGCTGTGCACAGCACTTAGGCCGTGCTTCTTATAGCAAATTGTACGACGTCGTGTCTTACTCTTACTTACTCGTTGCGGGTGCGCCATGAGCTGTCTCGAACGTTCACTCGTTCGTATCTTATTTATGTTTACTTTTATTCCTAGTATTTACTTTCCCGCAATTAACATTACGTATATTAGTCATTTCATTTAACTTTTTAATATTACTCTCCAATAATGTTTGAAACATGAAACGACCCATATGGCTAGAGGTTGTCCTCGAGGTGAAGTTAGAGCTGTGTACCTATCATGCCAGCAAGTCGTGACTGCCGGCTGCCTCACTGGCAACTGTCCGATAGAAATCTGTAGCGATGTAGGCGCGTTGCGTTTTGTCAGGAGAAAGCATATATTTACCGCGCACTGCTAGCGGTATATCGACGTCGTCGTAACATCGTAGCTGTTGGAAAACTATGTGGGTGACTTCGCGAGAGCTGAATATTCGCCATGAGCTTGTTTATTGATACAATAGTAACGTAATATACATGTAAGTACTCTTAGAAGTTGCAATCGCAGCAGCGGTTAGTGCTTGCACAGCTCCGCGCAGCAGTAGGGTGGACATCAGTAGTATGCAGACACAGCGCAGACTCGGGATTAACCACATAACGCTAAACAAGTTCAAATTGGGCAAGCACAGTTTAATTGTCAAGTAGTAAAGATCAGGTACTTACTCTTTGCCGCGATGATCTTTGAGCAAATAAACAATGTGGCCAGGGTTCTTGCGCAGCTTTTCCGCACTCGTTATTACTTTATTCAAGCCCTGGGCTGAGGCGGACTCCTCCCCGAGCTGATCGATAATTCTTGCAACGAGATCTTGTACAGCCCTGTAACAATCAACATGATTCTGTCAGGGATTTGTTTGTAAGTCGTCGCTTGGGACAGACGCGGCAACACTAGATGGGGGAAAGTATTTTGTACTCTGCCGTCACCGCATGGCCAACGTAACATTCAAACAATATTTGTGCGTGCACTCTGCTCACCCCTTCAGGGAACAAAGACAAGATGTTGTGTCAACAATAAGTAGCTAGCTTATATAATTGACAAACGATGGCGGTTGGCGGGCGCGGGCAGCGCGGGCGGGAGGGAGCGAGGCGCCGCGCCATCGATATTGATTCATGCGCCAGATACCTGTGTAGGTACTTGCTGGAGGTAGGCACCAGCATCACGGCAACCGTCTCCCGAACCACCCCGCAAGCTAACTATTACAATATTTTTAAAGCTGTTACTATTGATCCACTGTTCGATACTTAACGCCTATTGTACGGTAACTGGTATAGGCACTATGAACTAGATCATTTTGAATAAAGCGCGAAGTTTGTATAATTTATATGCATGTATCGCATAATGTGCAGGTGGAACAGGACCTTTATTGTATAGGTGGAGACACGTACCAACAATCTGACACCCAACAGCAGACCGTTTTATTTCATTCAGTTATTTAGCAAAAGTAAAATTTTGACACACATAACGATATAGGCCTCGGGAGTCGAACCTGAGAACCTTAGTTCGGCAAGCGAACGAGGCAGTCGATTGTGCATATATAGCTAACTAGCTTCTCCTGCGTGGTTTCACTCGCTGCTTGGCTCCTACAAATCGAAGCGTGATATTTTATAGCCTAAAGCCTTCCTCGATAAATACAATAACAAACACTAATTATTCAATTAAACACTAATTATTCAATATTAATATAATCATATAAGTAAAGACTGGTCTATGTAATTGTGCCTTTGCCTCCAGTTTTGGACACCATACACTCTTTAAAAGCGTGTCACAGTACACACACGATATAATAACTATTTATTTAGTCAAAATAAAGATTTGTTCCCGAACACCTGATTCGTAAATGATATATTGTGAGAGTATGGTCGACGGTCGTACATATCTGTGTACAAACATTACAAAATGATTGAAATCACTTTGATCGTTTTTGTTACGTTACAATATCAAAATTGTTTTCTTTTTTTAAATAATTACATCAATGATGGATGGCACGATTGAGATTTGTTGAGTTTTTTTTATTACGGAGAGAAAAGTTACCAAATGACCTTGTTAGGGCGACAGGGAGTGTCATTCTTACTGACTAACCACCACCTGATCCCTATACATCCGCAAACCCCGGCTAGTAACCGGCCTATAAGTCTTTAGGTATAAAACGAGATTGTACGAGCAAAGCCGTACATTGCAGTAGTATTGGTTTTATGCTGACATCGACGCGCAGCGAAATACATAAAATACGTGTATTAATTCCATTATTTATTAGTATGTTAGTTCGATTGGGCATCAGCTCCGGCCATTTTCGCCGCGGGTCGATCATGTTTTTTATTTCTATCATTTATCATTTTTGTGTATTTGAGTGTAAGGAAAACAGACAATAGAAGACTTTATCATTACCTATCAGTTTATCATTTCTAAATGTACCTTACCTGTTCAGAGATCAAATAATTGTTTACACCCATTCAGAAATCTTGATTAATCTTTTAGACTTTTCGAAAATAGGTTTATTCAAAAATAAAGACAGGTAGAAAAACATTGTACGAGAGTACTAGGCACTAGAGTGGCTGTATTCTAATCCTGTGTTGTGAAAATGGCGTAGATAACAGTAATAACAGTGGTCGTCTGACTGCTATCACTGCTATTTAAAAGCTTAGACTGCCCGAGACCCAACAATCAGTGCCTCTAAAATATAAGCTTAGTTGTGGACTGCTTCTGGACTAGAATTAAGTACTCAGACCATTAGGATTTTTTACACCAGGTTGAAATACAAGCGAGGAGACTTTGAACTCACAGCAAAGACAGGGATGCAGATTGTAATGGACTAGAATCTATCACAATGAAAAAAACAACAATAACACTCGACTTGACATATTTGTGCCGGGACATGTGTGGCAACACTGAAAGACAAAGAATTGCAATCGGAACCATTCAAAAAAATAAGTATCTTAAAGGGTGGTATAATGATTGGTGCTAGGATGCCGTTGATCCTGTATTGTGCCTCAGCCAGCTAGCTTGACATGTACATAGAGCCTTTTGGAATCGTTAGGGAAGCTGTCAGTTGCCACAAGACAAGCTTAATAACAGTCTCACTATGGCAAGAATGCGAAAATTTTGCTCTCAAAGTGTTTTAATGTGTGTAGTTCTTGCTAATAATAGAAGTTACCAAGTCTCTAAATAGCTTTACTCAACTATTGTGGTTTTGTTAAACATCTTAATACTTAAGTGGGACACAATGTTTAAGCACCAGCAGTGACAGAGTATTATAATAGTATATGGGGTTTATAATACCCTGCTTGTGGGATGCAGTGGTGGGAAATATCTTTTTTATGATTGCATGCATATCATGTACACTGTAGAAAACTTATAGAGGTTTTCTTAGTTAATTTGTAAGTTGCAATAACATGTAAGGAATAGACACATGGATGGTGCTATGTGTATGTATAGGACTATTCAACAAGTGTAGGATCCAAATGGCATGTGCAAGCCACATGAGTCATAACAACAATCATGTGCTTTAATCCATGATGTACCGGAGCGCAGCTGCAGTGAGACACAATTTGTATTTTCTATTGTATCATTTACCAGCCGACAAGAGGTTAACAACCAGTTTTGCTGTCTTGCTATAAAGTATGTATGAGATACCATTTATTATTTTATTCATTTACAGGTTATAGGGATTTTATTACATTTATTATCCTATATGTATACATCCATTTATTACCCTATATGTTTACGACAGCTGCACTCACTTTATTAAATAAAACAAAAGTGCTTGGTGATATAAGTAAAAAGAAAAATATTAAACTATATATTACCTATAGTATATTACAATTATAATAGAATATTAAAAAGAATTATTGACATTTGTTAATTATTTGATGTTTTCTAGTTTTGACTTATTCTAGAACTAAAAGATATTATTTTATGATTAAAATATTCTGTTATTAAGTCTTAACACATTCTATTCAGTTTGGGGTGGTTCAGGGTGGAGCATGGGTGGGCCTAGGGGGTGGGGTGTAATGTTCGGTTTCAGGGTGTGGTGCGCGGCGCAACGCGCTGCCTGTAAACTGTACCTAGCTTGGTATTGTGTAGTCTAGTGCACTAGAACTGCATAAATCAATATTATCTCCCGGGTCGGGAGAGCTCGCTCGCGGCGGCGCAACAGTGAACTATTTACTTACCCGGTGCACAGCCATGTGTTGTACATTCCAATACAGAGAGGATTTGCTAGGTATTGATGCAATTTATGCAACAAATAAATATTTGTGTGTAGGAAGTTCGGCTATTATAAAGCCTTGCCTTACCTTCCATTCGAGGTCACTTAGTACGAACGCACTTAGACAAACCGTAAAAAGACATAAACCTTGACGACGTGTGTCGCTCCAGCGGTCATCTTATGATTAATCACAGAGAATGCAACCACAGCCTTAACCACAAACATTAACACAATAATAATCACCTTGTGGACCGGACATCGCCGCTATAGTTTTTGGGTAGTAAATCAGATGTGATTTTTGTGACTTCGTCAAAGATGTCGTTTACTTCGGGCATCCCTCCTGGCACGGCCCAATCCATAGTGAATACTTAAGTTGTTTCCAAAGGTCGAACCAAGAAAGATGTAAAGTTTCCTATCACCGAGCGGTATTTCTGGGCCCCACTGGAATCACAACTATCACTTAATTTCGAATACCTAGTTATATAAAATGACCGAGCTGCGGCGAGACGTCAAACGAGTCCGACTGAATAAATTTGACTGGTGCGCAGACTGCGCGAGTGCGCAGATTAGTAGAAGACGTGTGCGGTGCGCCCTGCCGCCGCCGCCCCTGACCGCGCCGTTCCGTTTGACTAGAGTGTTAGTCAATAAATAACTTTTTTACAACTTAAACACTTGTCTTTTTAGATATTGTTGGTTTTCAATTATTGTCTTGCCTTTTAATTATTTAATTTGTAGACGAAAATAACAGGCTTATAAGATAACAATAGGGAATATTTTACGTAGGCAAAACCAAAATATAAGTGTAATTTTAAATAGTAGTAATGCGAATCAAACTACGTTGTTTACGTTAGGCCAAGACATGAGTACAAGCATACCTATGCTTCAACACCTCAATATGTTTTACACTCAAGGCGTAAATATTCTGGAAGTGGACGTCCGGGCCGCCCCCACGTTTTACTCTGGGGGGGTAGATAAAACTGCACGCACTCTAGATAGCGACGACTACTTACATTTACATTTTAGGTCACATAGCGGTGATAGTGAGACTGACCGACTCATGGAACACTTCCAGATGGCTGTAGATCTTGTGCAGGGTACAGGTACTCTAAGCGGTTGTCATCCTACTTGGTAATTTTAATGTCATGTTGTACAAACTTATTAAGTCTTTTTAAATCTTTTGATTTGTTTAATATTTTCCTTGACCCGAGTAACATCCACCTCGGCAACTTGTATAGATAATATTTTTTGTAAGTGTGATTATTTACATAAAGAAATTGTAAACAGATTACCATCTGATCACAGTGGGCTAACAGTCAACTTTAATACTTCAAAAACTGTGCCAACTAAGGAAATTATATTCAGACAGATAACAAACAAAAAAAATTGAATCATGAAATAACAATTCAAAACATCAATTATGCAGCCCATTACAAGACAAGGAATGCCCTATGCCCACTTAATATCCATCATAAAAATGCAGTTCGACAAAATGTTCCCTCTAAAACGTAAAAATATCCAGTGTAAATTATTCTGTCATCATCTCCAGCACTTTGCTGTCGACCTTCACAGGTGAAAGAATGTCCTTCGGACTTTAGGTTTAAACATACAAACCCCCAGGCAGTAATAAAGGAGTTTAAAGATATCAAAGAAACGTCCAGTGAAGATTTTTAGGGAATGTCTGTTAGAGTGTACAGGTCTTTTATAGAGACTATAGCGCCTTACTTAACTTTCATTTTTAATAAAAGTGTAGATCAAGGGGCTTTCCCGGATTTAATGAAACATAGTAAAGTAGTTCCATTACTTAAATCAGGTGATAGTACAGAACGTAATAACTATAGGCCGCTCTCTATTTTGCCAGTGCTCAGTAAAGTGTTTGAAAAGTTGATACTTACTCAAATACTGCGTCACGAATTCTATTTTCCATGACCAACAATACGGGTTCACCAAGGGACTTTGCACTATAGACGCAGGAGTATCGCTTAGAAAACAAGTTTTCAACTCGTGGGAAAAATCACAGGATGCCATCGGAATATTTTGCGATCTTTCGAAGGCTTTTGATTGTGTTGAGCACGAGACACTATTGCTATACCTTCTAGAAAGACTACTTACAGTACAAGTAAACAGAGTAAACTCACAGGGTGCTAGCGTATCTATGTTCGTACCGCAGGGTTCAATATTGGGTCCATTCTTATTTTTGGTTTATGTGAATGAACTGTCCCATTTATTCCAAAGTGAACCGCATATGGTATTATTCGCTGATGACACATCATTGATTTTTAACTTAAATAGACGATCAAATAATTATGACGAAGTGAATAATGCCTTAATGAAAGTTCATAATTGGTTCACAAAAGTTACAACTTAGTACATAACGATAAAAAGACGAAATGCATTAGATTTATTTTGCCAAATGTTAAAAGTAACGTATGCGATGATATATTAAATGGTCAGAAAATGGAATTTGTAAAGGACACTACATTCCTGGGGATTACTGTAGACGACAAGCTGCAATGGGGGCCCCACATTAGATCTCTAGCAGGAGAATTGAGCTCGGCAGCTTATGCTGTCTGGAAGATCCGTCAGCTAATCGACGTGGGCACGGCACGACTAGTGTACTTTAGCTACTTTCACAGCATCATGTCGTATGGAATTCATTGGGACAGGCATCCGACATTGAGTCTATCTTTAGCTTACAAAAGCGTGCCGTCATAAAAGTTTAAGGAGATCAACATTATGACCATGTTAAAATATTTATGAAAACATTATGTATGTTAGAAAAAACCTACAGCTATTTGTAAAAGTATCTGGCAAACATGACTATCTTACTAGACATAGAAATAGATTTCAGTCAGCCTTTATTTATATTAGCAAAAGTGCATAAGTCGTTCATGGGATTATGTGCTAAATGTTATAATAAAATCCCAGGTGAAATACAAAATCTTAATGAAAGCAAATTTAAATTATGTATAAAGAAAGCTTTATGTAGGAAAGCATACTACAAACTAAATGATTATATAGAAGATAAAAATGCTTGGAGCGTGGCTGGTTCTACTGCACAGGATAAAGATTGTTAATGTTAAGAGGCATTTTGATCTGAATTATTAAATTATTCACCATATTGTAAATTGTTAATGAACTGGATTTTTGTAAATGTGAGAGCCCTGTAACTTATTATAATTGAGTTAGACTCATAGCATATTGGTACTTGTGTCAGTTGGGAGTTGTCATGCTCACTCAGGAGTCTCATTGGCACTGGATCGCTCGATTCCCTATAATATGGTTAAGTTGGGCGGTGCTGGTGTACGTGTCATGTTCGTGAACAGACGCCGCCTATTGGGACTGGTCAACTCGAGAGTGTCTAAAGTTGCTGTCCTTGAGGTTCATTTTTTTCTGATCCTTTGGTTAAACATTGGTGTTACACTGTTCTCACATAATATAACTATCTAAACTATGTAACAATACATTGTGAAAAGTGATTGAAAAAGAGTAACCATGGAATTTCTTGGTCGTTCTTCTCCATAGGAATCTACACTTTGGAACGAGCAAATAGCTTCACTAGAGGACAGACGGACAGACTGACATATATAAACTTAAACCTTATGATATCTTTTTTGCTTGACGTTCAAAAGAGCCTGTTGTGGTCTACTTGAAATAAAGAATTTGATTTGATTTGATTTGATTTGTCCATCACGCCCACTGGTTTGGCTCTGGTAGGACTGACCACGCGGGGAGATCTGTCCACGACATTGCCCTTGCTTGTGGCCTGACCCAATTGGTTACGGTTCCCGCGTGAACCCTAGATGTCGAGGTATAGAGGACGATATCATCACATGACTTCTCCCGCCCAGGGCCGAGTGGGAGGGATGTCAGACTTTTACTGGCTCAAAACACCCCGTTCCTTCTCCTGCTCTAAGGCGAGTACGCGTCATTGCGCTTACCCTGCAATCTCGGCTGAACATCAGCTGGTCTCGGCTGAAGATATGGGCATGTCATTTTCAGCATTATCAAGGGAGGTGAACAAGAAGTATGTTGATAATGTAGATCACCTAAGTAGCATCCACCAAAAAATGCGCTTTACTTATGAGCTGGACACAGGCAAATCGTTGTCATTCTTTAACGGTAAAATAGCCGCGAGATTTGATGGGTCCTTATCATTCTGTGTATACCGAAAGCCAACTCATACTGATCGGTACTTACATGCAACGTCACATCACCACCCCCGACACTTACAATCCGTGATGACATCACTTAAGAACAGAGCTTATGACCTCTGTGACCTTGAACATTTTAGGGCCAGAGCACGTTCAAGAGGCACTGAAAAAGAACGGATATAACATATTGTTGATGGGCGACTATTGTGACCGCTGAATAGGGGGAGACATCCAAACGTGAGCAGACAACTTGCCTTCATGCCGAACCGTACATCAAGGGTGTGACAAACAAAGATCAGATCCGTCCTTAGAAATTTTTCCATCCCTATTAGATCAACAGTAGCTGTAGTAGTCCCTACATTGGGCAAACGAAGCGGACCATTGGTGAGAGGCTCAAAGAACATACAATGACTCCACGGTTGGTGCGGTGGCTGGGCAACTGGCAGCCGTGGAACTTATCGCGAGCTCGATTTCCGCACGGAACAATATTTTATGTGATCCACAAATTGTTTTTCCAGGTCTGGGTGTCAAGTGTATGCGAAATTTTATGTTTGTAACCGCACCCGAAAAGTTAAACGTTTTTTTAAAAAACAAAACCATATCGCGCCTTTATTATATTATGACCTATCTTTACTGACTGCAGATCCGCGCTTACGGTGGCCGGAGATCATCTCCCTATCCCCGACATCCGGAGGCACGCCCCAGCCGCCACAGTAGGGGTACTGTGGCGGCTGGGGCGTGTAGAGGATAGTTCCCTCACGCGTTCCACCTCCTTCTTTGCGAGCATAACTGGTTCGGAGAGGACACGAGGAGAGGGCACGGCAGCTTCGGTAGATTCCTGTTTCGGATCCAGCGGTGAAGCACCTGCGTCATTGTCAGGCGGATGGTGAGGACGCCATGGCGTCTCATACTCATACTCAATACTTTATTAGCATTCTATATGTTATACAGGTGGTATTTTTATAAAGTCGAACAATACCTATATATAATAAAACTAAATACATAATGACATGCTACATTCATATATTATAGTGTTGTTTGGAATTTTTTTTATTGTTCAATAGGGTATGATTTCGAGGTGGTCCCATATTCACCAGGTCAGAATCTGATGAAGGAAATCCAGAAAAATCGAGGGAAACTTTTAAAAATTATAGGGGCAAGTAGTTCTTTTGTATGATATTTAAGTAGGTCTTTTACAACACTATAACCTGACGAAGGTCGACCAGATGTTGGAGCTGGAAGACAGTCGAGGGATCTCCTTGGCTATTTGGAGTAGTTGCCTTATGTTTGGGCTTGAATGATTCGTATTGGTGAGCACTTTGCACCAGGCTTGGTCGTAACTGTCATTAACGGTCTGATGATGAGAACGAAGGACAGCTCACTCCAAATTCATTTATATTGATGAAAACTTTGTACCTATATGGATTATAACTACTGAAGGTCTGCAGTTTACAGTTTACAATTTACCTGATGATGGAGACCATTGACAGTCGAGGGAATTCCTCAACGGTTTAAAGCACCGTTTTCTGACTAACTCAGGACTACCATCAGATACCGCGTTTTTCGGTCTCAAGCAGCCGTCGTCCTCTCATTCGAGAAGCATCTTTATTTTCTCTGCCTATCACTTAGAATGGTGAAATAAAATAATTTTTGACAAAAAATGCTACTTAACAAGCAACAACAGTATTAGAAAAATATATTGATCGGTACCTACTAATCATCAAACGAATAATAGGCACATAAAAAGTCAAAAAAAAAAAAAAAAAAGTCAAAAATCATTTATTCCAATTAGACCTTTACAGGCACTTTTGAACGTCAAACAAAATTTAAAATAAAAAATAGTGTCAGTCTGTCGGTCAGTCCTCTTAGTGAAGCTATTTGCTCGTTCCAAAGTGTAGATTCCGATGGAGAAGAACGAGCAAGAAACTCCATGGTTACTCTTTTTAAATCAGTTTCACATACAGATTCCTTTTACAAACAGTTGGTTTAATTATGTGAGAACAGTGTAACACTAATATTTATTCAAATATAAAAATAAAGTAACCTTAAGGACAATAGGCAGTCTGGAGCTGACCAGTCCCAACTGACGGCGCTCGTTCACGAGCATGACACGTACACCAGCATCGCCCAACTCAACCATATTATAGGGAATTAAGCGATCCAGTGCCCATGCCACCGCCAGTGTGACCTTTCAGTGAGCATGACAACTCCAAGCTGTTATAAGGACCGACATTCTGCTAGTCTAACCAATTATAATAGGTTACAGGGTACTCACATTTACAAATTTATCAAGTTATAGTTATACAATATAATGCAATTTCACTAAAATGAAGAAGTCCCGTTCAAGCAAAATCCATTGGAACGTTATTTATTTTGGTGTACGTTTGCTATCCTGTGGAGCAGGACCAGCATGTCTCCAAGCATCTTTATCTACAATGTAATCATTCAGTGTGTAGTATGCTTTTCTACATAAAGTTTTCTTTACACATAATTTAAAATTTCTTTCATTTAATTGTTGTATTTCGCCTGGGATTTTGTTATAACATTTAACACAGAATCCCATGAACGACTTATGTACCTTTGCCAATCTAAATAATGGCTGACATAATCTATCTCTATGTCTAGTTTGATAATTATGTCTATCTGACACCTTATCGAATATTTTTAAGTTTTTCCTAACATACATAATGTTTTCATAAATAAACTGACATGGCACGGTCATAATATTGATCTCTCTAAACTTTTCTCTAAGAGACTCACGACGCTTTAGATTGTAAATAGCTCTGATGGCACGCTTTTGCAAGACAAAGATAGACTCAATGTCAGCAGCCTGTCCCCACAACAAGATGCCATACGACATAATGCTATGAAAGTAGCTGAAGTACACCAGTCTTGCAGTGTCCACATCTGTTAGCTGTCGGATCTTCCAGACAGCAAATGCTGCAGAGCTCAACCGTCCTGCCAGAGATGTGATATGGGGCCCCCATTGTAGTTTGTCATCTATGGTTATACCCAGAAAAGTAGTTTGTTTTACAAATTCCAATTTATTACCGTTTAATAATATGTCACATTCGTTACTTTTAACATTTGGCAAACTGAATCGTATACATTTAGTCTTTTTGTCGTTTAGGACTAAATTATTAATTGTAAACCAATTATGAACCTTCGTTATAGCATTATTTACGTCGTCATAATTATCTGTCCGTCTATTTATTTTAAAAATCAACGATGTGTCATCAGCAAATAATACCATTCCCGGTTCACGTTGAAATAAATGAGGTAAATCATTTATGTACACTAAAAACAGGAAAGGACCTAATATTGAGCCCTGTGGTACCCCCATAGATATGCTAGTACCCTGGGAGTTCACTTTATTTACTTGTACTTTGAACTGCCTATCCTGCAGGTATGATTTTAATAAATTGAGAGATACCCCTCGAATGCCATAGTGTTCCAACTTCAGCAACAGTGTCGTGTGTTCAACGCAATCAAAAGCTTTAGACAGGTCACAAAATATCCCAATAGCGTCGTTTGACTTTTCCCATGAGGCAAAAACATGCTTAAGTAGAGATACACCGGCGTCAGTTGTGCATCGACCCTTGGTAAACCCATATTGTTGGTCATGAAAGATGGAATTTATGTTAAAGTGTCGTAGCATCTGAGAAAGCATTAGCTTTTCAAACACTTTACTAAGCACTGGTAAAATTGATACCGGCCTATAATTATTGGGATCATTGTCATCGCCAGATTTAAACAACGGAACTACCTTGCTAAGTTTCATCAAATTTGGAAAAACACCCTGATCTACACTTTTATTAAAAATTACAGCTAAGTAAGGAGCTATAGCTTCTATAAAAGACCTACACACCACAACAGACATTCCCCATAGATCCTCTGTAGACTTAACTTTTATGTCTTTAAACGCCTTTATTACTGATTGCGGGTCCGTGTACTGAAATCGGAAGCCAGAACGGCATTCTTTAACATTTCTTTTAAGAAGACTAATAGAAAGTGCCGGAGATGATTCTAAGTCTTTCGTAGTTTTAATGGGGATATTCTTGAAAAAAAATTCGAATTCTTGGGCAACTTCTTGATTAGCATTAACTCGTCCATTATCCGTATTTAAATTAAATTCCGTGTTATGCAATTTATTTCTGCCTGTCTCGTTATTAATTACCTTCCACGTAGCTTTTGTTTTATTTTCAGCATTTTTAATCTTATTGCCAATATAAAGTGATTTAGCTTGCTTACAGACTGTTTTAAATATTTTTGCATATTTGGACACATGCTTGCTGAAGGCTTCACTAGTATCAAATGGTTTCATACCATATAGCTCAAATAACCTTTCCCTACTTCTACGAATACCTGGGGTAGCCCAGTCACAGAATACAAATTTACACTCAATAGTTTTTCTTTTTAAGGGGAATATTTTATCAAACTGGGTTTTAATCACGGACAGTAGATTGTCATATATCTCACTTGGACCTTCATAATCATGTGATGGGCTGCATAATTTATGTTTCAAATTGTTATTTAATAACTCAACCCTTTTATTTGTGATTTGCCTAAACATTATTTCCTTTTTTGGCACCTTTGTGATGTTGTTAAGGTTCATTGTTAACCCACTGTGGTCTGATGGTAAGGTATTTATTATATCCTTATGTAAATAATTACAGTTACAAAATATATTATCTATGCATGTAGCCGAGGTGGATGTTACTCGGGTGGGCTCAAGGAAAACATTAGACAAATCAAAAGATTTAAAAAGACTTACCAAATTAACACAATTAGAATTGTTTTCTAAGAGATCAATATTAAAATCGCCACATACTATTGTGAATTTACTGTTTGAACACGCTTTCTGCAAAACTTGTTCCATGACTGAGTTAAAAATGTTTAAGTTCTGTAAGTTAGGAGGTCTATAAACGCATATTACAACATGCCTATCCAGCTCCACACAGGACAATTCAATTGTATGCTCAATGGAAAGTGAAGTAATATCTTGTCTTTCTTTATATTTAATTGAGTTTTTTAATAATATTAAACTACCACCATGAATCATTGCTTGACGGCTAAAGAAACTACCAACACAATAATTTTTAAAACTCATAAATTCTGCCTGATACTTCTTCATCCAATGCTCTGTTATACAAACTATGTCAAATTTAAATTTTTCTAAAAATAATTCCAATTCTAGTAACTTGGATGAAATGCCCTGAATATTTTGACTGAGGAGTGTAAAATTTCCTCGTTTGTTTTTAGAATATAATTTATTGCGAGAAGATACCTTTTGATAACTTGTAGCATTAGAATTTAAAAGGTTTTCTTCCGTTGTCTTAAAATTTAATTTAAAAAGTTATCTGGAGTGCTACCCACATTTGTCACTAAATGTTGAGTCTCCATCGTACTATTATATGTACAGTCTATCACTACATTATTAGAGTATCTAAATAATGCAGTATCGTCACTTAAACTACATGCTAAGTTAATAATATTTGCTAGAAGGCTAGCAAGTAAAACTTTACATTTTCTAGGAATGGACAAAGATTTCCTAGTCAATTTAAAACCACTAACAAATTTGTTAGTATCAAAAAATAACATATTGTCACTATGACAAGTCAAATTAAATATCATATTGTTTATGCTATTTATTCTTTGATTTTCAGACACTGACAGAGTGTCTGAATATGGGAAAGCACATAAAACTATCTTTCCCAAATCCAGCTTTAATAAGGTGTTGATACCATCAAGAATGTCCTTTTTTCTAACACCTGTACTGTCACCCATCAGTAAAACAACAGGCTGATGTCTTGTGATATGTCCCTGGGCTATTTTGTTGATAAGTATATCTTCACACTATTACTGTTTTCCTTGGTAGCTTAAGGTCTAATTTGCCGAGATTTCACAAACCTTTAAACTTCTGTCAAGAATCCAAATAATAAATAATTCATATACATATAATGAAAACTAGGCAAGACAGACCTTACGCTACAATACATTATTTTTAACCGACTTCAAAAAAGGAGGAGGTTCTCAATTCGACGCGTATTTTTTTTTTTTTTTTATCTATGTACACCGATTACTCGAAGACGCCTGGACCGATTTGCAAAATTCTTTTTTTATTCGATAGGGTATACTTGCCATTTGGTCCCATTGTCATGAGGTCAGGATCTGATGATGGAATCCTGGAGAAACCGAGGGGAACTTTCGAAAATTGTAGGGGCGAGTAGTGTTTTTGTATGATGTTTAAGTAGGCCTTTATCAACACTACAACTTGATGAAGGTCGAAGTCGACCAGATGTTGGAGCTGGAAGACAGTCGAGGGATCTCCTTGACTATTTGAAGTAGTTGCCTTGTGTTTGGGCTTGAATGATTCGTATTGACGAGCACTTTGCAGCAGGCTTGGTTGTAACTGTCATTAAGGGTCTGATGATGAGAACGAAGGACAGCTCAAGGAACTCCTGAACGGTTTACAGTAACTACTTCGTATTTGAACTTAATTCATTTATATTGATGAAAACTTTGTACCTGTATGTATTATAACAACTGAAGGTTTGCAGTTTACCTGATGATGGAGACCATTGACCGACGAGGGAATTCCGGATGGAACCGAGAGACAGTCGAGAGAACTCCTCAACGATTCATAGCAGCTTCCTTGTGTTTGAGCTTAATTAATTCGTTTTGATAAGAACTTTACATCTAGATGGATTGTGACTGTCATCAGGGATCTGATGATGAAGACGAAGGACAGTCTAGGGAACTCCTCAACGGTTTACAGTAGCTACCTCGTGTTTGGACTTAATTTATATTGTTAAGAACTTTCCTGGAGAGATGGCCTGTGTTCCAGTAGTGGGAACATTTAAATGGCTGATAATGATGATGATGATGATGAGAACTTTCCCATTTCTTGAGATCTATTTTTTTTAACGAGCGGCTCCTTTCGTTGGCCTAGGTACACAAAGCTACTTAAAAAGTATATACAATTCAATATGTTAATTTATATTTAAAATGTTACTGTAGTTTACAGAAGAACTTGTAACAGATACTAAAAAGTAAAAAATAAAAAAAACTACGTTTAAACTTTACGTTCTACGTTTTAAACTTACGTACGCGAAGCTAATACTTTTAATATTAATAATAAAACACTATCAATTCTATGTGCTACCTATTCATAGATTTGAAGTCGGTGCCAAGCCCTAAACAGAATAAAACTAAATGAGAATTAAGACTGTTTAATTGCTGAAAGACGAAATTTCCACAACTAACAACGCAGCCATCTACTACTACTTTTAACAACCAAGTACGAGAAAACTTTCATAATTCATCCAAATATCTTTCTAAGCTATATACAGTTTCGCCGGTAACGCAACCATATAGACTTCTGATTCTACGCTTACGCCATCAAGTTAGAAAATCGGTACTACATTTCTTAAATCCTAACAAATAAATTCACACGCGCCCGGCGAGTGTAGGTACTCATGTAATCATGCTTATTATATTGTGTATTAGGCTTGGCACCGACTTCAAACCTATGAATAGGTAGCACATAGAATTGATAGTGTTTTATTATTAATTTTAAAAGTATTAGCTTCGCGTACGTAAGAGTGCTATTAGAATATCAATTTTAATTACTTATTTGACACTTTTTTGTTTTTAAAGTCGGTTTTTTTTTATATGTGATAAGAGGTATGATATGTTATACTGTTACTTGTAAATAAATTTCAGGACCCACCATTGAACTTGGCACCCATTTAGATTCCACTTCTTTTGTCGTTGAAGTCAATTAACAACCAAGGCATTAATATCATATTATTGAACTTGGCTCCCATTTCACATTTATGTTTTTGATTGGATATCATTACTTTTTGTAGGTTAGTACATAATCCTCGTAACATCGTGAGTCCTTATAAAAGAACAAATTCAAAACTAAAAGTAGACTATAAATATAAAACAATAGAATTAGTTAATGTAGTTTCCTACGTTTACGGGGTATACTTAATTTTCATCTCAGTGTTATTTTCTATATTATCTAAATCTGTATTCATCTAACTATCATAAATTATCATAGTTAGATGAATACACTCTCAATAAACTGCACAAATAACTTTGTAATTCCATATAATTGTATAGGATTACTGGGATGCTGGACCGAAATACCGAAATGTTTTAATTTTTCTGTTATGTATACACTACTAGAAACTACTTGTATTCCAAATTCGAACTCTCTAGATAACCCAGTTGGTTAGAATTTTGACCTATATAGGTCAGTCAGTCAGTCAGTCAGTCAATAAGGATAAAAATAAGGATTTTTGGACATTAATATCTAAACAACAGTTTGAGATAAGCTTATGAAATTTAGAATACACAGTTATCTCGCAAGTTTCAATATATGAGCCAAATTTGATACGTTTATGTGAAATAGTTTTTGATCTATGAGGGGGTCAAAGGTGGCTTGAAATTTTAGATTATGATAGATTGTAGAAAGTGTTTTAATTTGCTTATTCGTTTATATATAGTCGTTTTTGGTTTATCTTTGATAGTTTTGGGTAAGTTATAAATTTTTAATGACATAATTAGCGGACCGGAAGAGTGTATTTATAAATGGGATGTAAGTAGGTAGATTTATATATTCTTATTTTTTTTTTATTTTTTTTTATATGTAATAGGTCGGCAAACGAGCAGACGGATTACCTGATGGTAAGCAATCAGCGCCGCCCATGGACACTCGCAACGCAGGTGTTACGAGTGCGTTGCCGACCTTTAAGAGATTAGGGATTTGGAGATTTAGGGATTGAGGAGGGAATGGGGAAGGGGAAGGATTGGGCCTCCGGTAACCTCACTCACACGGCGAAACACAACGCAGTGGTTATTTCACGCCGGTTTTCTGTGAGGCCGTGGTATCACTCCGGTCGAGCATCTTATGTCGAAGGCTTTATTTGTTTGAGTATCTTGTCGAGTTGTATAGAATTTAGGGAGATGTCGGACGAATTTGCATATTCGTAGAATATATAAACAGGTAAGTGTGAAAGTTTTGTGTTTTTGAAGTGCGGATGAGTTTATTTTGCAAGGTTAAAATGGTGTGTGAATCGCTCAGAATACAGAACAAACTAGAATCCGCGTTCACTCATAATTACATGTCGTCAAATGTGTCCAAATACAATACGTCAATCCCCCCGCCAGCCGCACTTCCCACCCGCGTAGTGTTGCCGACAGTGGAAGAATTCCCTTGGTTTGGGGTAAATATACACAACAAATAAAAAAAGCTTCAATAAGAACAAAGGTTTTATTGCGTTCCCTTTTGCTGGTTTAGTTTTTTTAATGTCTTTAGACTCGGAACTAAAGATTAGAAGTCTACTTACTTTACTTAGTTCCTGAGATTAGCGCATTCTAGCAAACAAACAAACAAACTCTTGAGCATTATAATTGGTATAGATATATCTTAGTAGGATATGTTGTTTTCAAACCACCTTTGTCATAAATATATCTCTTCAAAGTGAATTGAGCAAACTATGCTCTGGCTAGATGGTTTCCAAAATTAATCTAACCGTGCCCTTTGTATGATTTGTATTTATTTTTTTGTCAGGGAAACTAATATGACATAGGCTCCATAATGGACAAAAATATAACCCACCACAAATAAATAAGTGGGTAAAATTTTCACCAAGAATGACAACACTCACAAAATGGCGGCATCATTTTCATAGAAAAATAAATCGATTCAAAAAATTCAATAATTAATTAAATATACTATTGCAGTCGATGCTTGCAGATGAAATGTAATCTTATCCACTTTTTTCGTAATTTCAGTCGCATTTTTACTCGTAGTAATAACACAAGACGGCATAATGAAATTAAAATTGATATTCGTAAATACGTCACGACATGCCACTTGCCAAAATTGACTAATCGTAGAAATTTCATACTATTCTAGTTGAGAATGGTTTTAGTTGCTTCTGTTTGAAGCGCGATGACGCCTTCTGTTGTTCTGTATTCTGAGGTGAATCGGTACTATTTCCCCATAATTATGATGCCATAATTAAGCTACGCTTGGGCGTAGGCATAATATGTAACAAGTGCTGTTTGTAAGTTGGTGGATTATTTATTTCGTGTAAGGCGTAAGAAAATTTTGAAAGTTATGATCGAATTTTTGTATGTGCGTTTTCCAATTTACATGTGTATCTATTACTAAACCAAGGAGTGTCAATTTGTTAACTTGTTCTAGTTATCGGTGTTTTTTGATGGGGGTGGAAAGAAATTAATTTTGTTTATGAGAAGTTTATTTTCAAGTTATGGTTTTCCATCCAGTTGAGTGTTGAATTTAGAAGAGAATGTAGTTTTCCGTATATATTATCAATTTTTTGGCACAAATTGAGTATCGGTTAATTGTTTCAGGAAGTTCATTAATGAGGCATCCTATGACCCTCCCTTGACGGATAGAGGCGTTAACTGATTTACGGTTTGATCTGATCTTCTGTATTTCCTTATAAAAATATTCTGTTTCTATAATTTGTTCTATATCTTTTAAGTAGAACTCGAACCATTTGAAGACGCTCCTCAAAGAGTGGTCTTACCGCTGCTCTAACAGCGAGCCCGGCCTTCGGTTGCTTCCGGCCGGCAGACGTTGCTTCCACTCTGGCTTGAGATCGCGCCGGAGCGCGTGTGAGCGCCTTCGCCACCATATCCCCTGGCCGTGATCGTGCAATAGCCGCGGATTATGCGAACAGCCATGACCCTAATGAAAAATACAAACTGACGCTGACTTGGGGACGGTTGAAATAAATTACAGTTTTTTTTATTTGATTTTACACTCATAATGCTATACATTGATCTTAAATAACATTGCCCTACATGCATCTCCACCATGCCACCACCACAGGATGTGGAGGAGTCCCAAAAGTTTGCGCCTGTCTATGACGCGGCGCGGGGGCCACGCTTGGTCAGTGCATGGCGAACTCATTGGTTCTCTCCTTAAAGACTGGGTAGATAATTGTGACGGCGATCTCACGTTGCACCGACGCAGGTGCCTAATGACGGAATACTTTTTGCAGTATGAGTATTGTGGAAGTGTGTTGCAATGGGGGTGGCTACAAACTATTAGGATATTCATATATTATAGTGTGGGGAGCCATGCTTCCGCACGAATGGGTCGGTTAGACCGGAGTGATACCGTGGCCTCACAGAAAACCGGCGTGAAGCAATACATAAAGAAAGCGAAAGGGCGACAATGCACTTGTAGTTATGTACTTCTTTAGTAGGTACTATGAGTATCCATGGGTGTCGCTGATTGCTAAGAAATCAGCTCGTTTGCCGACTTATGAAAAAATATAGTAACTAAGCTTTTTTGTGAACTCCTGATTAAAGCCTTATTTATGTCTAAAGAAATACCCAGAAACATCATCTTGTTACAAATTCCAACGTTTAACATCATCTGCAAACATTAACATTTTTGGTAAATTTAGAAAAGACATGACAAGTAATAATAAACTAAAACGAGAAACGGACCCAATATATGAACTGGTGTTGAACGTCTATTTTCATCGAAGAACCCTGTGATTAAGAACCGTTTACACGTACGCTTAGCTGTCGATCTTCTAAATATACTTAATTTTAAAAGCCGGAGTGCAATGTTTCTAATATTGTAATGATCCAAATACAGTAAGTGTCAGCGCAATCAAACGCTTTTCGCCCCAAACATCAACGTCGTCAGCTGTACAACGACCGTCATTAAGTCATTGAGCCCAATACGAGTTGGTGATTGAAATAAACCAAGCGATACGTACATGAGCGGCTGCGCTCTAGGTGTGTTGCTTGTTGCAATATTAACGTGATACCGTGTAAGATAATTGTTCAGCCGGTGTTGCGGGATAAGCGCAATGAAGCACTGCGACCTCGGCCCAGAGCAGGAGAAGGAACGGGAGCGTTTTAGTCTGTAAGAGTCTGACACTCCCTCCCGGAGAAGTCATTTGATGATTTTCCCCTCACAAAAAAAACCGTGTAAGATAATTGGTTGTTTCATCGGGGGTAATTTATTACATGGATCTTGTGAGCTCAAGAATAAATTTCTGTGCGTTTCGAAATAAGTGCCTTCAATTTAGAGCACAAACATGGGACTCGCATTGTTTGTAGTCAATTTCCGTTGTGCGTGTCGACTGGGCTACGTAAAGTGGTGTAGGCGCACCGGAGTCGGAGTCCAAAACTACGTTTTTGAGCATAGTTCGTTAATATTTGGATAGAGCTTAGAGTCTTATCCTTTTAACGTTTTAATTAAATAAGGAGCAAATAAAGAACTGTATAGTTTGGTTTAAAATAATAAAAAAGAACTTCATGCCTCAATTGTTCCAGTGAAACGCAGTTTTAATACACATAACACCATTTATTATGACAGATTACAACATAAGGAAAGCATTGATACATACGTACATACAATGTCTTAGCGTTAACAATAATAATACAAAGGAGGAAGGTGACGCCTGAAGTAGTCGCTGCGGCGCACACGTAGGTACTCGCATGGGAACATGCTCTATGCAGCATCCTGCAAACGTTGGCTACCGCCACTACTTGTACTACTAGCAATGGTATTTGTCAATACTCGATGGCGGCGACGTAAACTTATGTTTGGCAAATTACACAGCGGCTCTAGCAGTCGCTTACGGGAATAAAAATTGACAAATTTATGTTGTCGTTATCGTGTATCGACAAATTTAAATACTATTGTACTGTTTTATGCAGTCACCATCACGTGGCCGAATTGTCGGCTCCATACATTCTCGAGTACCTACAAAGTAAAGCTGCAAGCGACTACCTCAGTAGTGTAGTTAAAATATCAAGAAATTTAGTGGTACCCACCAGTGGTGAAATAAAGTAGGTTACTTTACAATCCCTAGTCAAACTCGTGTTTAGCGATAGTTAATAAAACACACGATCCACTTCACGAGATGATCGCTTACTAGACGTACCTCGCCACGTACCAAATGGTATTCAAGCGCCTGTCCACTGCCGCCGACTTTAATTACCTATCTCTACAATGACATTGCTCTAATGTGTGTTCTGTCTAAACATTTGATCGATTCATACATTTTGGATGAAGATAAGTAATTGAAATCGGCAGTTAGAATATATTTAGATATTATAATTATGTTTCAAGTTCCTAGCATCTGTTCTCTCTGTAAACTATCGCTTAAATGCCATTATGGGCAGGTATAGTGACCCAATACTGTTCCCCACTTACACACACCATCGTTGACAACGAGCGCACTGTAAAGTAAGTACATAACTTGATATAAACTCATGTTCTAAGGTACCTAAGTAGTAGGTAGCTATAGCAGTTTACCACTAAATTCCAAGAGTCGCATAGTTTAGTGCCGTTGTACAATATCATTACATGGAACTGGCAGCTGCAGCCGGTCCCGCTTTAATTGGCCCTGTCTGATCTCCCGCTACGTGTGCGTGTATTCTGCTAGCTGGCGACAATCTGCTGCAGCAATCCCTAACTAACACCTAAGATACAGGCTCGGCCTAGTTGAAGTGTTATTGGTCATTTGAATTGTGTTCAAGTGCAGTACTGTACCCACCATTCATTAAAATCCACTTGTAAATCATTTGCTAGTCAATAAAGCATTTTTTATTATTATTTAATAATTGAACACTCCATTGCAGGTGCACCTGCTATACCTACGTATATTTAGATATACGTCAGTTGACAGCATCATGTAACACGATAACTTAGTATATGATTGTGGTATATTAATTTGATATGTTGAACAAAATGCTACATATGAACCTAAGTTGTGACGTCACCCCTTAGTAAACGTAAATTATAATGAATGTAACGAGCAGTCACGTGACTGCCTGCACACACAGGGCACAATTAAAGTAGGATGCTACAGTTAAGTACAAAGATAATTTACCACTAAAGAATATAAAAACAACGTGGTCACAATATACAATAATTACATGGCAGGTTACTGTAATTACATAGTTATCCATAAATAGCAGGTAGTTACACAGTGCTACAGTAGACAGCGGCGTTAAAGTATACATAGTAATTGTATAATTGATGGCGATTACAATTGGTTTCTTGTAACTACAATAATTTCTTCAAAAACTGGAGTCTGGCCAACGAAAGTTGAATTTAATCTGGATTACAGCTAGGACACCTAGCTGTAAGCCAGATTGATAGTGGTTGTGATTGATCATGGTGTTGTTATCGTAAAGTTTTTACATTGCGACTTTTTCAAATATCTTCTCTGATGAATGTGTAGCCTTTGATTTACAAAGTTGATTTTATATAACACCATGACAAGTGCCAAGCCTGAGATAATGTATTTTATAGCGACTACTATTTTCACAATAACAACGTGTTTTTATATTTTATCAGCCTTTACATATATGATGACAAGAAAAACAGTGTTCATATTTTAATAATTTTGCAAATGTTATTAGTTAATAAATGTAGCGGCTCTAGTTCAGGCTTAACATTAGTTGGCCAGACTCTGGCCGTGTACATTGTACAATCTGTACCTACACATATTTGGTATACAAGTACATAGATATCGATTGACTTGGATATTGAGCGAGTGATAGTTAAAGGGTATGGTTCTTTATAACACAGCTACAATCGCCACTGTTTTTATATCTGCACTAGGCTGTACCTGTATTCTCAATACTACCAGCTGGTCTTACAAACAGTTGGAGCGACCTCCTGAGGCAATTGTTGTATATGGTGATGTTGGTTCGACATAGAGATTAGGCCCTTGGCGTACAACGCGCTTCGTGCGCTGCTCCCTCACGAACATAACCTAAGCGCTTAACTTATAGATAGCTAATTCATAACATAGAGCCAAGTCTTCAGAAATATTAAATAGTATTATGTATATCGTAATATGCTACTAGTAACGACGTCAAAATGTCTTAAATCACTACCTAACAATACAAAGAGAAGAACACATGGATCGTATGACGACTCTGACAAAATGTACCGGCCGAGTCGGGCCGCGCCAGGCTGCTCCTCGCTAGGCTACGCTGGGCTTCTGCTCAGAATGACTTTCTGTATCGAATCTATCGGGAAGGCCTGGCGAAGCGACAGGTGGTGGGAGCGAACTGCTGCGAGACATTTCGCTGGGCGGCAGACTTAGGTACCTACGTAAGCTTATTCGAGATGGTTACAAGTGACACCATAATATTACAAATATAATGAAATACAATGAAAGCCTAACATTTAGAGGCACACAGAGATGTGTCGGCGACGAGCACGCTAGCAGGAACCTCTCTGTGTCCACTGACGGAGGAGTGCAGCAGGGTTGAAAAGGAGGAGCAGGCAGAAGGCCGAAGCCGGGCGCGCAGTCACCAATGCCTGGGGTTGCTAGGCGTCCGGATTAGTCAGATCATAATTAGGTTTTTTGATATCCTGTCCGCACACATTTTACAGAGCCCGGTTTGATTGTCTTTTGTTAGTTTATTTATAATTCAAATTTTGCGAGGCTCAGGACTGGCGCTACGAACTCGCGCTATCGAACGAGTCCCGATAGGACGATAGCACTAGTGCAACAGATACACACATACAATCCTCAACGATCTACGGACAAACTAGCAGTGCTAGCTAGCTAGTCTGTCCGGCTGTAAGTATGGCAACCCAGCAACCGTAATTGTGACTGTAGCGTGCTGTTCTGCTGTCGCGGGAAGTAAAGTTAAGCGTCACTTGTTAGTAACAGCGTCGCATTCAGACCGACACAACACCTATACTTAAATATAAATACATACCTATATATAATCGTAACAATAAGTACAGGTACGTTGAACTTTGTTCAATACGAAAATGTTAGTATGGGGAGTATGGCGTGTTCGAATTGTGTGGTGGGCAGGCCTAGGGTTACAGGACTCGTCTCATGTATCGTGACACATTCACAATCATTGCCACAACCATTCAACATTAGTTTAAAATAGTATAGAAATTAAGTACATACTTATACATCAAGCTGTGGGACATTACACGTTAGCAACTGAAGAGGATTCGATTCATACTTTTAAAATTAAAACGTTTTCGAGTCGCTAATTTTGTAAAATATAAATTTCCGAATGTAGTTTAGTACAGTGAATGTAATTTGTAAAGTGACATTAATACATATACTTATATACAGGTACAATGAAACGTCGAATCTTTTAGAATAACCGACGCTCCTTTGGTATTAGATCTAATTATCTAATCTTATATTACATTAATAATAAAACAAGTTCGTTTAGATGCATCACAGTAAACAATGAAGGGTAACTACGGGCTCCTGTAGCAATATGTCAGAGGCCGCACACAGCACAGTCACGATTTATTTGTACGATCGATGGCCGGCGCCGAGTTGTTCGAAGCCGATTGCACACGAGGGAGGGGTAGCGGGTCGGGGGGAGTGCAGGCGGATTGTGGACTCGGTTACAGCAAGCAGAGCTCGTCGGGTAACGAAGCAAACTACACATTGAGAGAAGCATATCGCTACGGATGCATGGAACTACGATACCTAACACCGTCCTACTAGCTGCCGTTCCTGAAGATTCCACTCGTGAACCACACGGTAACTGTTCAACCTGAGTATGTGTTCGTGGTGCTTGGCTGCCGATGGCGCTCTTAGCTGCCGATGGCGCTCTTGGCTACCGATGGCGCTCTTGGCTACCGATGGATCACTTGCCTGCCGATGAAGCAAATGGCTGCCCATGGCACACTTGGCGGCAGGTGACACACTTGGCTGCCGATGGAGCACTTGGCTGCCGATGGAGCACTTGGCTGCCGATGCAGCACTTGGCTGCCAATGGAGCACTTGGCTGCCGATGGCGCTCTTGGCTGCCGATGCAGCACTTGGCTGCCAATTGAGCACTTGGCTGCCGATGGCGCTCTTGGCTGCCCGTGGAGCACTTAGTTGCCGATGGCGCTCTTGGCTGCCGATGGCACGCTTGGCGGCCGATGGCACTCTTGGCTGCCGATGGCGCTCTTGGCTGCCGATGGCACGCTTGGCGGCCGATGGCACTCTTGGCTGCCGATGGCGCTCTTGGCTGCCGATGGCACTCTTGGCTGCCGATGGCGCTCTTGGCTGCCGATGGCACTCTTGGCTGCCGATGGCGTTCTTAGCTGCCGATGGCGCTCTTGGCTGCCGATGGCGCTTTGGGTTGCCGATGGAGCACTTGGCTACTGATGGAGCACATGGCTGCCGATGGCGCTCTTGGCTGCCGATGGCGCTCTTGGCTGCCGATGGCGCTCTTGGCTGCCGATGGCGCTCTTGGCTGCCGATGGCGCTCTTGGCTGCCGATGGCACGCTTGGCTACCGACGCGTTTAGCTACTGACCTACTATTAGCTGCTGATCTGAGTGACGGAAACTCTTAGCAACTAACGCACTGAAGTATTGCCACTGAAACTTCCGAAGCGCCATCTCTCTACCCTGCGGGAACCATCACTGCGGCCGGTGTAGGTGGGCGACTACCACAACAAACACAACGTGCCGGGAACCGCACTACACCTATTAAACATTCAGATTTGGTAAAACAGTAATCGTATACATTAATATGATATTTGGCTACTATTTTGGTGGTAATGTGAAGTACCCGTACAACAGAGCGCCTCGCCCCGCGGCCTCAACCGCTCAATGTGCCTCAACGAGACGTGCTGCTAGGTTGGGGCGTGGCGGGGCTCGTGCGACTGTCCCTACCTTATTCTTAGACATAGTACATCAATAGCTTATCTAAAATAGTCAGTCCTGTAGCCAGGACTCTATATACATATACAATATAAATCTCACGCTAAAACACAAAGAAGAACCTAAAATGTAAGATAATGTAAGTAGTCACAGATGTATAATAATTTAATCAGTTCTTAGAAAATATTGAGATTAATAGTTCCTACAGCTCAGTCAGCCGACACAATGCCTTGGAATTGTAGAGCTTTCAGTACACCATGCCTTACACATGAAAACTGCATCAAACCCCGCTGGCACGCTGGCACGTTAACGGCTGCAGACACTAGATGGTCAAGCAGTAAGTAGTTAGCACGCCAATGCTGAATACCTACAGTATTCGGTATTGGCACGTTTAGTGTTTGTTGCCGCCGCGTTGCAGGCGTGCCAGCATCCTAGGTTCAATACAAAAACGTTTGAACCCCTTCATAAAGGTTACACCCCGCGAGGTAAAAACTTTTAGTCTTAACCTCCAAAAAGCACCAAATATTTGACTGAAAAACTTAGTCGTCAAAGAAAACGACTCACCTAGACCATAGGTCTCCGTCCGCCTCTAAGGGAACAGTGTATTAAAGCTAAGGTGACCAAGACGTTGACGGCGGGCGGCGGCCCCGGCCCCGCGTGGCGGCCGGCGGGCCCAGGCGGACTCCTAATGCAACACAATCATAATATCTTAAACCTCACTATGAGTTCCTATAAGCTCGATTTTATAAATTTTCTTTGAAGTAAGTAGTTGTGTGGCGTGACAGCATTATGCAAGAGTTATACTAAACGTCGAATATAACTTTGGTTAGCAGGCTCCTGCACCGAGGGTAAGCGCGCCTGCCAGGATTGGTTACAAATGGGCGGAGGGGAGGGTCCTGGGTACAGCACCTTATTAAAATAAAACTGTGAAATTCCAATTGAGACTTTTACCGAAATACCTAATCTAAATTTCAACCAATGGAGTTCCGTGGTTTTCAATTTCGAGAAAAGATAATAAGAAAACATTCAACTAGTTGTTGATGAACTGGTCAAGTATACGTCTTCTCGCTTACGACTGTATACACACAACCGCACTCCTTAACTAGGAAATGAAAAAGTTTAACTCTGGCTGCTGCAGGGAGCAGGTCGCAGTGAGGGGGCCGCGCCGCGCGACGTGGCGCTCGTTGCGGCGGGGCGACGGCTCCACGAGCACTGCGCTACTTGTATGTCCGAGTGTCAGTTCCAGGGCGGGCCACTAGAGGCCGCCAGTGTCATGAAGAGCGCCGCGTGCTGGCTGGCGGTGCACCGCGCGGCATCCTTCAGTCTTAATGGTGGGAGTCCTTATCCAGGGAATATCCAGTCCGGTGCCGACACTCAGGTCGCGTCTCATTGTCACACTCAATCTCCGATAAGTGCATGTTGCTTTAATGAAGCCTTAAGTAGTAATACTGACATCTAATGGGTGAATTAAGTAACTGGTGGACAGATTGGAAGCACGAGAAGACGCCAATTCAATAAACATTTATAATTTAACATAACTAATTGTAAAATTCCGCTTCACTAAAGCACAGCGAGCACTTGTGTCGCAGCTCAAGAATTCCAACTCGGTATGTGTTCCAAAAGTTAACCATCAGAGGTCGGCATTATGTATGAAACAGCAGAGAAATAGCAGCAGTTGATGACAGACGGCTTGAGCAATGCCTTCTCGTACTTCTTCCGCCCCTTCTGCGCTGTGTCCATCATGTCTTGGGCGGCGCCCAACTCCAGCTTTCCAACAATACGTCTTGGTGGCATTGTTCAGCCAGCCGTGTACTCAACATGGTGCTGTCAAGTCAGGGAGAGGTGCGTCAATCCGGGGAGAGTCAAGTCCGAATGTTTAAGCGCCGTGAGTGTCGTCGTGTGCCGGTGTGCCGGCGGGGCTGTAGTCATACATGGCGGTCATTGGGTTCTCAATGACATTCACCACGGCCGCGTTCAACTTGTTTTGCTTGCGACGGAAGAGGAAGTCCGCCAAGCTGGCAGCGCGGCGCGGGCCATTGCCCTCTAGGAGGGCCTCGATCTCACCGCTGCTGCGCGACTCAGCCACGCCCCGCTTTACGTCGCTCAACGAGAAGTTTTTCTTGGTCTCGTTAATGAGGAATGTTTGGTCGAAGTCTGTTGAATATGCCTTCGAGTTGAGCAGTGACGCAATGGTGGGCATGCCGGCGTGGTCCGCCAGCGACAGCGGCCGCTCCAAGCGGCGCAGAACGCGCGCGCGCACCGCCTCGGCGATGCTCTCGCGGGACGACGCGCCGCCGCCCGTGCCGTTCGCCAGCTTGGGGCTGCTTATGTCGTTGCTCTCTGTAAAATTTAACATTTATTTAAACACTTAGAAAAAAATAAAATAAAAAAATTAAAAAATTGTGTATTGGTCGTAAAACGGCACTAAAACTACATTAGTAAATCTCTCAATGTTCAGTAAACTTTAACTAGGTGCAAACCTGTGGTCCAGGTTTTACATGCTGACATATTCAAAATCTTATAAAACTATTACTCCTGTAATAAAGCTTCAAATGAATATTACTTCAGTTATAATTACCCTTGGGGATGGATGCCCTGGGTGAGGGTCCCCCATCTTCATCGGTGTGTCCCTCCGAGAGGGTCTCCAGAGGTCGGTGCTCAGGCCGGCCGCCGCTCTGGTTGCCGCACTCCTGGCTCGTGCCGGAGGTTGACGGCTGCGGGTTCTAGAACACAGCGCGCACCCAGTCAGCACAATCAGACTGTATCTATTTAATGTTTACGGAAGAGCTAATAATGGCATTTTTAACAAAAACTTCGTTTTGCAATTAGGGCGACACGACATTACAGTTTTTTGACGCACTCCTAGTAATGTTTTGGCAACTGTTACAATGAATTCAATTTTTCTCGAAGAAGAATAAGATAATTTAAATCCACTATGAAAGTAGTGGCTAAGTCAAAGTTACATACTGAGACTACTATTTAGAAGTTGCTCGCTAAACTTGAGCTGAGAGGCTCGGTACAGAGCGTGGCAACACCACAACGGGTCGTCCAGCTAAAAATATCGCGGCCATCAATTCCAGCGATGAAACCTTCGACGTTCTCAACAAAATCTCCAGATGGCGAATTTTAATAAAGATTAGGCTTTAAAGCCTTATTAAGTTCAACTAGTGCAACCGACCATTCAAATCTCCGAAATGATCTGGAGGCGTTATTGGGAAAGAGAAAAGGGGGGAGGGAGGTTTAGTCAGTATGACTCTGATACTCGCCACACCCTGGACGGGAAAAGTCATTTGATGATTTTCCCAAACGTCACTGACAACACAGTAACCAAACATCACTAAATAATGTTTGTTTGTTATGTATGCGAGACCGTACGAAGCCAATCGAATCGATTGCAGCCGTAAAACTCAGTAATTAACAATAACGAATGTAATTAAAATTAAAGAAATAGATTGCCACTACCTACTCCAAAAATATGTCAGAGTGGTGTAATAAATACTTACGCTGTAGATGTCGAGCGTGCCCGGCGCGACGGTCTCCCCGATGCCCTCCAGGAAGTAGGTGACCATGTTACCCTTGCCCTTCACGTCGATGGTGCCCCGGCAGCGCAGCCGGTAGCCGCGCGTGGCCAAGATCTCATACACCTCCTCGGTCACCTGCGCACCACCACTACAGCTCCACAATGTGACCGCGCGCAGCACGCGCTAGGCGCTAACAATGCACACGAGTTCACGCGCAAGCATCAACGGAGCCAACTTCGCAATACGCTCAGTCGCGGAGCAACTACAGCTCGCTCACTTACAGTTGCACTAGGAGCCACCTTACAGTACTAACATCATAACAATATTATACATATTCATTAATCTATTTGTTCCAATTAAGAAGAACTCTACAATTGATCTCAAGTGATTGTTTACGTGGAACTTTTTCAGAAACATCGTAGATAAACTCTGATTTATAGTATAATTAACAGTTCAAACAATAGTCAAGTATAAGTAACTAAATAAAGATTTAATGTCATTGACTAAACAAAGTTGGAGTCTCTCGTAACACGTGATCAATTGTAAAGTAACTGCAGAACATAAGATATACACTTGTGTGTATTGGTGTTGGACTAGTGATGGACTAGCGAGCGCACCTGGATGTGGTCGAGCAGACCCGTGGAGTCCATGCGCGACGCCACGTTCACGGCATTGCCCCAGATGTCGTACTGGGGCTTGCGGGCTCCGATCACGCCTGCCACCACCGGCCCGATGTTGATGCCTGCAGAACGACATGGGCCTCGTTCCTCACTTATTCTTCAGTATTATATTGATGCATTTATCGCAAGCAGTGCACATTACAAGAAGATTCGCGCTACATATTGTTCGCTGTCGACTTAACTACGACTGATGCACAGCAGTGGCGCATTGCTCACTGGAACAGGGTCTTACCGATCCTAATTCGGAAGCTGTTGAACGAATGTTCGTTGACATACTGCAGCTGCTCGCGCAGGCGGAGCGCGTAGTCAGCCATAGCAGTCACGTGCCGGAAGCCGCGGAGGTCACGCGTGGCTGCCGTCAGCCCTGCGGACATGTTATGTGCAGCACTACAGTAAACCCTTAATTTGTATACTTCACGAAGTGGCGAGACGCAGCACGGACTGAGCTCCAGCGGCAGGCGCTAGATACCTACCTGATGCAGCCATGTACGTGGCACCAGTGCTCTTGATCTTCTCAATGTATTTAAACTGGTCCTCGGCAAGGATTTCGTCGAAGTCGGCGATAATCTCGTTAAGAAGGCGCAAGCACTCTACGCCCTCATTGTTGCCCTCCAGCTCTACGTAGAATTCGGAGAAGTTTGGAATGGATGCGAACATAACGCACACCGACTCGCATTGCTCGTGGTACAGCTCCTGAAACACAGCACGGGTCGCATGAGACGTGCGCCCGCCGGCACCTGGCGCTGGTGTCGCTGGAGTCCTCCAGCCAGGTCGCTGCACTCACATCGATATTCTTGTCGCTGCAGAGGAAGTGCTGCGCCACGTGCTCGGGCAGGATGTTGGCCAGCAGCTTACGGTTGTACGCCTCCAGGTGCTCCATCTCCTCCTTCTCATCTGTAGATCATAACGAGACACTCGCTCAGGTACAGACATGTACTATCGTGTAGGTGTCACGATATCTGACTACATCGGGAATGATGGCGACTACTTCTGGGGATTTTCTTTACTTTATAAATGGACAGTAAATCATTGCACATTACGAGAGCAGGAATATGTATGTACCGTTGGCCTGCAGTTTCCAGATGAAGTCGAGCCGGTATGTGCTCTCGGTCTGATGCGAGTGCAGGAGGAGGGCCACCGTGGCACCCAGTGCAATCACGACGTTGGTCCACTGCTGGTTCCAGTCGAGCCCGCAGCGGTGTCTGTGGACCACATTATTGCAAATGACTGCTAATAATACTCATCACGCTACGTACGACCAGTAGGAGCCGAGCAGCGGGCGAACTGTACGTTATGTCGCATAGTTGGATTATACAAGTGATTAGTTGACAATATATCACTTTTTCCAAGTTACATATATGTGCATTCTAAGATTTATTTAGTCATCACATGGTACACGCTGAAGGAAAATATTGAAAGGAACCTGGAATTATAATTTCTTGTTATAAGTTTTAAATCACCAATCCACTTTGAACCAGAGCATAGTCATTAATGCTCATTCCTACTCCGCGCAAGAAAAAACCGTCGTTCAGCTGTCTGTGTGGACTTGTATGCTGTTGCTGTGCTGTGTGCTTGATAACGTTACATAATTATGTGAAAACTTTCTAAATATAGGTGTGTGTTTGTTATGTCACTTTAAGAACATATTTATCTTCATATAGCTCCTTTTAAATAGTTCTTCATTTTTGGCGAAATTAACAAATTTACAATTTCATTACAGTTACCAAATTATACGTTGGTATTGAGTTGTTGTTGCTCGGCGTCGGATTCGGGAAACGGATGTTCGATTGTGCCAAAGTTTATGCAGCGGCGTACTTACTGGTAGTCATGGAAGTGCTGCTTGAAGATCATGTGCTCGTGGATCGTGATGGTGGCGTACGCGGTGCACGTGAACGACAGCAGCAGCAGCTTCACCACGGTGATGAGGATCTGGTGCACGGCGCACAGGAACATCGCCAGCAGCGTCAGCTGCAGGTAGTGCTGCGACACACGACACACGTTACCCACGGCCGGCTCCACTGCTGGCGCTCACTCGTGGAGCAGCTGCCTCGGTAATTACCTCGTTCATGTCATGCGGGCAGTGGTGGAAGTCGCCCTGCCGAGTCTCGTTGGCCAGGAACTCCAGCTTGCTCTGCGCATCGAATAGGCCTTGCACCTGCACACACTTTCAATAACTACACACTTTAGTATACATTGAAATCGATATCTTTATAAATTAATTCAATTTTGATTTCATTTCATTCGTAAGTATAGAACAATTTCCTCTTCATGAACCAGAGCTCTGCTCGGTCAGTCTTCAAATTGTTTAATTTTTATTGTAACTTTAAGTCTATATTTATCTTCATATAGCTCCTTTTAAATAGGTCTTCGTATTTGTCTACAATTTGACGACTGACCGAGCAGAGCTCTGGTTCACTAAGAAGCCAAGCTGTTTACGACGCTTTCCGGACGCAGTGACCGGCAACTTGTCGAGACGCCTTCGGGTCATTCGACTTGCCGAACCCCGATACCGAGGTAGAAAAGTAGCTGGGTTTGTATTATAAGCGACATCTTTGGGCTTCTTAGTGAGCCAGATCTCTAAGCTTGCTTTTTATACACTACACTTTAATTCAGACAAAATGAGGCTGACATTGACGTAATAAGTGGTAATTTTCCCTGTAGTCACATTCACTATGGAACATATTGTTATTGATGTTTTAAATACAATCAAAACGTTAAGTGTTGAACATTAATAGCAAGTAGGTACTGACCATGACGACCTGGATCTGGATGATGAAGGCGGTGACTACGATGAAGGACACCATCTGCGCCAGCGTGCGGTTGTTGTGCACGCGCTCCGACAGGCGGCGCAGGCGCGGGCTCGAGTGCTGCCGACATGCCGGGGACTACTTAGTGCATGGAAACGTTACTCGCATCACTTTGTACTACTTACGAAAACCTCGCCTTCTACTTTTAGAACGTTATAGTCTTGTAATAATTTTCTAAGGCACTCACCTCGAAGTCCAGGCAGAGAACCAAGTACGTAAACGAGGAGATGATGATGCCAGATGTAGCGATGGTGATAATGCTGATCGGCATCCTGGCAGGCAAACACAGGCATGTTAAGTCACGTCAAATTATACAACTTTCTAATTTTTCTTCCCATGTTTACTGGACAAACTTAAAAATTCATCTGATTAGGTGGAAAATAAATGGTGTGAGTGGAGTCTTACAGGTTGTAAGTGACGGCCTGGATCGCGACGCTGGCGAAGTAGATCGCTAGGGTGCAGATGAAGTACACCTTCATCATACGGTCGCGCTCGCCAGTGTACTGCAACGAGAGCGCATTGTAAGTAATGTAAGCTAGCAGGTGGCACGTGTGGGGGGAGGGGGGGGGGAGGTTTGTACCTTGCGTTCCAGCTTGTTGTCGCGGAAGGTGAGCGTGCAGGGCCGGCAGTGCTCGGCGCGCAGCCGGTCCGTGGAGCGAGCGTCTATTGCCTTCATCAAGTACTCGTTCACCTCGTCCTCTGGCTTCTTGTTCTCATTGCCGGCATCTACTCCGATCCTACGGATCAAGGATATGCTCAGGAAAGCTGCGCTTTTATGACGGGTTTGGTATTTGGCTTTTCTTTATACTAATATTTAATATGGTGTCGTAACACTGAGGGCCCAACATAAGCGACGAGTCCGATAATATAATTATTCTCCATAATGAATGGATAGAAATAGAAAATAATTAACTGTCAATGAACGAAACATATTTTATTATTCAAAGGGAATGGCTGCAAAACACATTTGAACAAAAATAAAACATTTAAAACTAATAGTCATCGCCTTCAAAGTGGCATGTGGTGGAGCATCAGAGGAGCGGGCACTCACTTGGAGGAGTGCTTGCCGTGCTGCGAGCCGTGGCCCATGACGCGCATCTCCTTCGACACGTTGCCGTTCAGCGAGAAGGAGTGCTGCGGCTTCTTGTCCTGCGCACAACATACACCATATATATTCCATTCATAAATAACAGAGCAAACTGTCCTATTTCCAACAGATAAATATTATTCTGTAAAACTTTTTAAACTGTTACGAATATATCTAGCAAAAACGTGTTGTCCTGGTTCCTCAATTTTCTCTGAGACCAGGTACTGACCACACGGCTGGTGTCGTCGGGTACGATCAGGTAGGTCTCGATGTTGTGGTCCTTCAAGTAGGCATTGCGCAGGCCACCGTGGCCAGGCTCCACCTTGTAGTCGTCGCCCAGGCAGCGCAGCGTCTCCTTCGTGATGTGTACGCGTCTGTACAGAGAACATGCGTGTATTGTAAATGACCGCGCCAACATGAGGCGGCACTCTCAGGCGATACTCACCCGGCGACACCGCCGCTCTCCATGTAGTTAGCGAGGGTGACGTCGTTGGACCAGACATCGAACTGCCACTTGCGGAGGCCGAGCACGACGCAGTGCACGCGGCCGGTGTGGATGCCGACGCGCATGTTCACATTGACGGCCATTACCTCTCGCACCAGCCTGTGACGAGTCATCAGAACAAGTGAGCCAGGCTCGAAGGGCGAGTGTAGCAAACAGAGTGGCTCGCGAGACTATACTAACGCGATGGCATCGATCATGTCGAGTCCCATTTCGACGCAGCACTTGGCGTGGTCGTCGCGCGCCTCGGGCAGACCAGACACGCAGTAGTAGCAGTCGCCCAGCAGCTTGATGCGCAGGCAGTGGTGTTCTGCTGCCAGCCGGTCGAAACTAAACACCGACGTCAAATAAAACAAGGTCAGTGAGCGAAACATGTCGTATCAAGGTGGGGCAAGGAAGGCCATTCAGTCGAGTAAGAGACGGAAGAAGAGTAACCTAACCTAACGTTATTTATAGTGTGAAGAGTTCCACGCACTATAACTCCACTACACACTCTCTATGTGCTCTATATGTCACTTATCGATGGAATGTATTGCATGGTTCAGTCATTTAAAGTGAAAAATTAGCAGGTAGTATACTCAGGTGTACGACCTCACCTGGTAAAGGTAATGATAAATATGACATGAGATTATTTAATCTGATGTTAGTGCTAGTAACGTGTCCGTAGTGGGTGATCTAATTCTCATCCCATATGTGAGATGGAAGTGTCGTAAAACATTTATACTGTTGCGGCATCGTATACGTATGTGTGAGAAATATTCGAGTGATCACATTTGAGCATAGCTCGGAGTACACGGGCGGATCCGGGCGGCATGCTACTGTCATCACCATCTGCTTTGCTTTAGGGCCTCAAACGAGAGAAGAGTGAGCCCTAGGAAGTGAGGTGTGCAGTAGACGCGCAGTGCTAACGTAAGCGCTGTGATATAGCGGTGGAAATAAATCTTATCGTGCACGTGTCTCGTCACCAGGGGCTCGTAAATCCATGCTCTGCGTTATTGCACCTTTTACGGTGCGCCCGTTGAGGTCCCACCGCCGACAGCGTCGAGTAATGAACTTGGCCGGAGGGGAGGCAGGAGTGAGAGAAGCCCTGCACCCTCCTCACCCCGATTACTAATCTTAAGGTCTACAACAGTAAAACCGATAATTGCTGGATTTGCTCGGCCCTGAATGGCGAGCAGAGAGGGGACTTTGGTGACCATGTTCTTATCACGTAGGTACTTGTTAATACAAATAGATTCGAAGTTTAATAGAATCAGAGATGAAGTACAAGATTATACGGTATTTTGGTGTACGTTTGGTATATCTCCCAAAAGTATGAATAACAGTAACTATTATAATCTTTACATAAATAACCCGTTTTTATGTCAAAAGCTGCTGAAATATTATTGAAATCTATACTAATATTATAAAGAGGTAAAATTGTATGTTTGTAAGTTTGTATGTAGGGGGTAATATTTGAAACCGCTGGTCGGATTGCCAAAATTCTTTCACTGATAGATAGCTACAATATTCTTAAGTGCTATAGGCTATAAAACATTACGCTACGATTAAATGGAGCCGAGCAGCGGGTGAAACCGCGCGAGAATAGCTCGTGACAGACAGTTTGTCAATGAGCAGACGAAGATCATCTAGTAGCAAGAGACCAGCGTCACCGATGGACACCCGCTACACAAGACGAGTAACAGTGCCAGACTACGTTCTATATTTCACAACAATTTCAAGGGCTTGTGTACTAACTGTTGAAAACTTAGTTTGAGATGTGCTACTGTAGAAATAAATCATTTAAAGTCACTTTAGCGCAAAGCACGCTTGTCCAAAGCTGAATGCTAGCCAGCCTGTAATATTCAAGTCTATCTCAAGTATATTATCTATTAGCAGGCAATGTTATTGTAATTGGCCAATGACGTGTGGAATGAGAAGGACGCGGCCGCACGTCATGTGGTCGCCGTGTGCTCGCCTTGCACGTGTCACCGACAGACACGCCGCAAATTAACAGATCTCTAATTAGGTAACGTAAACCGATCATTGTCATCCACGACGAGCTAAGCACATACTTGTGTACATGTGTACGCGTTACACTAATATGTAACTAGATGGCAGTAACGTCTATGTTCCGGAGCAACGTGCGGAGACAATGTGTGAGCGTACATACATTGGAGGCTCGCTGCCGAGCCCAGCAGCCGGGCTCCCGGCTCGGGGCGTGCGGCGCCTTCCTTCGCCCAATTAATCTCTTGGCACAAAGCAAAGTGATTAACTCGCGCCTATTATCCGTAGCGCGTAGGCCCGCAATTTGTAACACTAGCTGTGGCGTCGAGTTCGCAGCCCTTATTGCCGGCGACCCCTGATATTATCACCTGTATCTGACGAAGGTTAACATTTAGGGGTCAAGGGGTACGCTTTGGAACATACTTTACACCTCATATATATATTATTATACAGCGCGATGTAGCTAGTGACGCACGAGTGCTCTGGCACATCTTGAGACTGACTTAGATTAGTAAAAGAAGTGTAACCCGCACGGGTTACAATTTCAAATTCCTTTGCATTGCCACTGACACATCTTCCGCTTTAATATTTATTTATATAGCTAATACCAGTGTTCCCCGAGGGCTTGTTGGTGATGCAGTGTTCAGTTGAGGCTTTTTCACATTCACTTACTTGAAGAATTGCTACGTTTACGACAACAACCCAGTTTTTGTTCATGTGACCGTAATTTGTTGTAACAGGGAAATAATGACTTTAAACTCACTTTGTCAACAAAGCACTACAATACACAGTCCAATGACTTAATTGGATGTTAAGTATGCTCCATTTTATATGTATACTATACATTTATACGATATCATCAGTCGAATAGTTGCATCTCAAAAATGGGCTTGATGAAAGTATTTGCGCTAATAGGCTGATGCCAATACTTGATGTACAGACATGATGCTTAACACCAATAGCAAGCTGTTAATTATCCTCCTTTATCAATGTAGTAAATAAAAAAATACTGACCGAGCGAAGAGCTCGTTCAGCAGGCGCACCAGCTCCTCAGCAGTGCACTGGTCGGATAGGGAAGTGAAGCCGCAGATGTCAGCGAACAGGATGCTGCAACACACAAACATGTCATATAATTTATATATTGGCAACAAAACTCAGTGCTCTCTATTCTAACGTTTTGAAATAAAGTGGTGACGGTAAAGTAAGCCATTGAGACGTCTAATTGGAAATATTTTATTCCACAAGAACATTGATTAACGTCGTCGCAACGTTAGACATTACGAAAACTGCACGTTATCAAAATGTACGAAAGAAAATGTACTGTGTGTATGTACTTTTTGACTGCAATAGATCTATTTTAATATTGAGATTTGCCCTTAAATAAAATAACAAATTTGTTTTAGCGTCCGGATCTATAGTTTTAAACTAGTTTCATTACAAGGTCACTCACAGATTTCCACATTTACAATTGCAATTAAAGGCAGCCGTGAACGAGCCACTAATCTGAGCCAATAATCGCAAAAAACCGTTTTCAAATTGTGAAGTGCACGTTCTGGACATTGACGGTCGGCCTCGGATGACGTCCATTCGGAATGCGTTTCATTCCGTTTGCAATTCCAAGGCTAGAAGACGTCCATTCCATTGCCATCCCATTAACACATCCAAGTTATGTTTTTGAAATAATTCGTCAACTGCACTTCGTTTGAGGAACGCATCGTCAATAAACTGCCTTTACACAATTTTGATTCACTAATTTTCAATAGACTTGTTGACCTGAACTGCGATGCGTGCAAACTGACCTGAGATGCGTGATCGTGCATGTCCCACAATTACTGTATCACACTCAGTTTACATTTAAGAAGTGTCCGCAAATGGCGGCTGCACATCGTATCTGTAATTTGTCCAGTAATCCTTGCTCCGAGCCGCGAGGTTGGATTACTCACAGACTCGCCACAAAGCTGCAATTTGCTGCACATCGAATCTCATTCAGTACTGAATATAACTTTTGCTGTAAAATTAAATTAAGTCTGCATTACTTTGATAAATATAAGTATGATTCGAGGCTATTGACGGATTTGTGTTTGATAAATAAAAAAATGCTTTAATAGTTTTAAAAGAAGTATTCAATCAATTCTAAATTCATATTTCATTTCATCTCAACATAAAATATATGTAACAAAAGTGTTCGCTGTTTCGTGTGGTGAGGGCAAGGTATCAGTAAGTACATTGTTACTCTCCCTCCTCCCGCGGGTGTCATAAAAGACTGCACAACATGCAACTGAGGGCAGTCAGCAGCGCTCTTCGATAAACCTGAACCTTTTAAACACCGGTCACTAGCCCTTGCATGCGTTAACATCATGGAAAACTCCACTCATTTAGAGGAGGTGCAGATAACCACGTCTTTCTAGCAGTTTAAAAATATTTCCATAAATGAACAAAACACTCTAAACCTTTTCTACGGCAGTGTAGTATAATTATTACTCATTTCGTAATTATACAATTATTGATGGAGCATAACGACTTTCAAGAACAAATCTCCAGCTCATAAAACGTTGTGTTATACATTCACGTTACGCAGTGGAGTAGCATGCACAGCGGGCGACGCGAGGTCCATTAGTGACCTGGCTGTAGACGTCGGATGACGTCACGTGACATGAGTATTGTGTTGTCAGCTATTTATAAAAAGAATATTAAAAATTTCGGCTTATTGCCTAAGTTATGCTAAAGGTCATTCAGCGATAATTTGAATTTAGCGTCAAATGACACAAATCTTGCTCCGTTTCCGTCATCAGTACAACAGCCTTTTTTACTTTGCTCCGAAGAATGCATGCATTACCATTGCTGTTTTGTTTTAGTCCACAAAAGTAATTTTACGAATTCAATTTACACAGTACCAATCGCTGCAGGTTTGCAGCAACGCATGTCTACGGAGCACGTAGCTACGTAGCATTGACTACGCCGCACGTAGCTGAGTGCTACGAAGGTACAGATATAAGTATGTATTTTGGTGCACAATTTATGGCCCTGTAAAAGATGGTCGAAACTGTTTTATCTTTATGAAAGTGAAACATGAGTATAGTACGAATATATGAGGACACTACTTTCGCTCGGTGTAACATGGCGATGTAACTTCATCTGATACCGTGAGATCCGTTTGGGTGATCTGCGGTACTGACTAAGTCACGTTTTCACGGCTCATTCAAGAAATATAACCTAAGCTGACATTAAACCTCTATACAATATTTTGTCACTGTTTTTCTCTTTTTGTTTATATTTAAAAAGGCGGGCAGATATTTCTTCTATTAGGTTTATTAAAATTAGCGCAGTTTCTGTTATTATGCTAGATAAAATGAAATGGATCTAGAATAAAAGTGATTCTTGTTTGTACAAAATATCCCACACGTGTACATACGTTGTAAAAGGCTGCTTTGTTACTACGTAGCACAGCGTAGCGCTTTACGTAGCAACGCGTAGACACTGTGCTACGGGAGCTTTATTTTATGTGACGTCCTACATTTAATTTGAAACTAGACGGCGACTTTATACCTATAGTCAGAATTTTAATTCGCTTCCTGATTTGACATGACCTACTGTCATTTTGTAAAATAATGAAATAGTGTAGTGATGAACACAAAAATCGATAAACAATCAGGGAATTAGTTTCAGGAAGGCATTAAAAAATTACGGCTACCGAAAGGTCTAAATACGCATCCCATGTTGTCAAAGAAGAGGAAAAAATTAATAAGCTAGATATGTTAATTGACAATAAATATCACAGACACAGTTCATAATAAATGTTACAGAAAGTAACAGCGATAGCGATAGCGATGACGGCGACAATTTATAAAATGTCTGTTTTATTTGTCATGTTCCGTCATGATCACATTTTTTATTAATTTCACACACAATTACGAAAGAAAAGTCTCAGTTCGTAATTAATTGTCAAAACTAAATTATCGGTTCACAAATATTTTATTTCCTGATAAACTTAGTTTACGAGAGTAAATTTATAAACCACTCACTCACTATTTAGTACGTGTCATAACGTTGCAACACTGAAATTGTCAAATCTGGAATGGAATTAAAATTCCGAGTATAGTTAACGATTTTATTTAGAATTTATCTAAATTTATTTAGAATTTCTTGATTTAGAATTTATAAACATGAAATTATAAATAAAATTAACAAATAATTTGATGATTTTCCCCTCACAACAAAGGCTGACTGACGCAAACAATTTTTAAATATACTTGTTAGTCTATCTTGGCTTATGATATGTATTTAAGGTAACACCAATATTGGGGAAAGTGGAATTATTTTAGCAGCTGTAGTAGTGCAGTGCAATATTCAATTATATACCAATATACAGTTAATGATCTGTCACGGACTGTGCAATACATACACTGAAACACTTCACACGAAACAGCATACCATGTATTCAATTTCTAAAAGAGAGTGTAGATGGCGTTAGCTGTTCAAACTTGACGATTATTTGTGAATCGTCACAAAACTGGATGCAAATAGTAAAGAAGTACACAAAACAAATTAGTTGTTTTGTGTATCATCACTTGTAAAACCATTTCAACAAAAGCTGAGGCGATAATGACTTTATTTGTTGCTAGATGACACTATCACTTACATACAATTAATGGCAAATAATATTTTTGTGAAAACTGATAAGAACAACATAAAAAGAAGGTTACGCTTGCTTACGCTTCATTCACCTCCTGAGAATTGAGAATGTGCAACTGAATGATGACATGAATCTATGATGATATGTTTAGAAAAAAGGGGAATGCTCATAGATTACTAAATTTTACAATAGTTACCGTGTTTTAAAAACGGGTATTGAATATTATTTACAGCTGTGTTACTTGATTACTGTTTTGACAAGACCTACGACAAGTTTTTCTTTAACTGGGTTTAACTGTATCGATGATAACGGCACTCATGTCTTCTTTTCTTTTCGGTTTGGAATTTGATAATAAGTGAAAAGCAAGTAATTGTTTTAACATTGTGTTAACTGTCCAGTTTTTTTTATTGGTGAGTATTTTGAGCTTATTTGTAGAATCGTGTGTACTCATCCGACCCAACCCCCCCCCCCCCCCTATAGCCGTTGTTCACTGGCTCCATTAACACGCCTAATTACTCGCAGCCGTTGCCAAACTATACACTGGCATCGAAGCAAGGCTCTCACTGGTCGCGCTGGCGTCGGCCAGTAACTAGATTATATGTAAATTAGTTAAAACAATCGACATCGGTATTTATCTGTGGCTGACTAAAAACTGTTTTTATAGAAACAGAAGATGGCGGCACGTGGCATGTTATTCTAACTTCAAAGTAACTGAATGTAGTTTGTGCACAGGGTGGTTTTTAGTCAGTAAGGGCCTGACACTCCCGCTCGCCCCTCGCCTATCATAAATGTCTCGTGTGCAGTCTCGTGGTCGATTCTTACGGCACCCACGGCAAGTGTAAGGTAGTCCCATAAACTGTATCCCCACGCAGCACAATTTGAATGAATACTGTCGTACCTTAGATAATTTATTAATTCTGATGTATTTAAAAACGTACGTTAGGTACGTAATTCTATGATGGCTGCAGCCGTGACATCGGGTAAATCGTTTCGTATCGTATTACAAAAGGAACAGAATGTTGCACACGAACAAATGAATAACAATTTGTGATGATTGATTAATCAATATTCGATATTAAAGGGAAGTGATCGACAGTGGACAAGTGGACATCCATGGGGCGATTGATGTGGTCGCCGCGAGTGCACGCTCGGCCGGCTCGGGCAGCGAGAGGGAGCCACAGAGCCACTACTGCAGTCGTTGCATGCCACACTCTGTGTATTGTATTTTGGGCAAATTTCCGATAATATCCTCATATGATGTACTTCGGCTTTGTTCTCAAATATCCACAATGACTCCCATTTTGTGTCTCAAGACGTTACATTTTCTTGTATGATATATCCTATATATATCCTGTTTCTTATGTAATATTCTCGTGCCAAAATGTTAGTTTTACCTTACTCCCCCGAAACGGCTTTACTGATTTTCACCAAATGTGTGCATGTCTGAGAATCGGCTACGGGCTAATTTTTATACCCTAACAATACTTAGTTCAGTTGTAGCGTACCCTAAACATTAATTTCGAAATAATTTATTTCGCAAAACAATGTTTTCCAGGTCAGCTATTAAGTATAGATTATATTATTACATTACAACTATTTTATATTGCCACTAGTCTAAAACATGCATCAGCCTATACAGTTCACATATTGAACTCACGAGTTCTACGAGGAAAATTGTGTATAAATAATATTTGACTAGTGTTCCGATCATTTGTTGTAACATCGAGTAATGTATGCTTAGGTATTTTTAAGTACAATTGTATCGTAATGGTGTATTAAGTATTAAGTGACATACCTGACGTTCTCATAACGCTGGATGTAGATCTTGTGGAACTGTTCCTGGCGCGGCTGGCTGGCGATGTCGGCCTTCATCTCCATGGCGACGTGGCGCGGCAGTACTGACAGCAGCAGGCGCTCCTACACACACACACACAGCTGTAGCTAGAGCTGGCAGTCGGGCAGTAAGTCAACGCGCCCCGCTGCTTCAAGTATGATTTAAACCGCAGACGGCTGGTGTCAGTGTAACATAAGCTCAAGTATACAACTATCCGGAGGCTACATTATTTTTTTAACCCCGAGTTTATCTTCTCAGTTACACTTACTAGTTGTAGGAATTTCGCTAGATATTAAAATACTTGTGACATTTTTGTTCTGATCATTCTGGATTTTGTAATTAGCTCGAGATACGGTGCCGTCTCTTTGTTACGCCGAGGCTGACGGATACACGACGATTTTGATCATATTCTCTTTGAAATTTTATCATCCTCACCTGTTTTAAGTAACATCTGAAGTTTGAACGAAATAAGCGAAATATTGTGCAAACAACGGGCGGGATATCGAGGGTTCAACGAGAAACGATCACGAACAAAGCGGATCAACGCGTACACGTCAGACGCAAGTGGCACGCGGCTCGTCACAACGCCACGAACAATATTATTATACCTGTGATTACTAATATGTATCGGCAGTACTGAGCGAAACTGCGATGTTTCAATTTGTATGTCACCATTATCATTTTCAGGCACTACACTATCATTTTGTTTACACTAACGATCGCTTGTTAAAAAAGACTCGCCATACTTGTTTACAAGACATTGTCCAATAACTTTAGTAGTTAATAACTTGAGCAATAATTATGAAAGCATAGTATTTAATGTGTTTGGTCACGAGTATGGTTATACAACACTAATACGTTGAAAGATTTAATCTAATAACAGCTATACATATATACATAGGCATCCAATTATTACTATTATGAGCCCCGGGATATTGTTGTATGTAGATCCAAGACAAATGCCGGCACTGATAGCAGACACTCGCCACAAAGCCTTCAATAAACTAATGACGTGTGAGTCCGCTTGCCTCTCTATATAACGCGCGGTCGGATGTACCGCGCCTCACCGTCTCCAACAGTAAGCGCTTCTGTCGCCGGATTATCAGATCACGATAATATCAATGAATCAAATTCAATTTAAGATCATTGATGTATTGAAACACTGAAATAATTTCACTCGACTGGATCATACGAACCATTGTTGATAACTATTGAATTTAAACAAGTTAGCGGATACAGAGATAAAAGCTACCGTTGCGTTGTTGGAAGCAATCACATGTATACTAACTCGGTGTAATGCTTAGTACGACCGCGCCGCGGCGGTGCAAATCTTGTTGAATATTAAAAAGTGTTTAGTAGCGGTACAATTAACTACCATTGTCACAGGCATTTCAAACAAAAACCGAAAGTCATTGAATGACGGGCGGCGGGCGCGGCGGGCCGGCGGGCTGTCGGGCCGGCAAATATTGGTCCGCGACCCGCAGCCTTTGACTCCGCCACACATTTGCATTAACGCTGCCTTTACACTTAATTTGTATACTTTTGTCACCGACAAACATCTGTGGCGCGCATTCATTACCTGGACCGTTCCACGTGATTTCATCACGAATTTAATTACTGACTTACAGATCGATACCCATCATTTTTTAAAGTCCTTTATGCCTTGACTGGTATGCCTTTCCAGTGTGACGGTAGCGCATTAAATCTGCCAACTATCTAGGCATCATTGATATGAAGAGATGAATAAACATGTTAAGCAACGCTCATTACTTCTACGAATGAACGTACGAGTTCGTCCATCAGTAGAGCAGCTGTACTATATACCGACCTGCTGCTGGTTCTCGCGCTGGGTGACGAGGCGCGCCTCCACGCAGTCCCGCGTCTCGAGGAAGGCGCGGCGCTGCGCCAGCTCGCGCGGGTTGTGCGTCATGATGCCCGCCAGGTTGCATGCAATCAGCGTCGCCACCGTGCAGTAGATTTGCTGGGGACATCACTCCAATGTACTCGGGCATTCAAACAAAAACAGTGTATCTTCTCTAGCACCGGTAGTACATCAGTAGCTTACCTTACCTATCAGATCGAATTTTGTGATACTGACCGATCTATGAGACCTGACATTGTTATTGTAACGAAGTCAACTGTATTTATCATATTGTATTTATCATATGTATTATCATTAGTACCGCGGTTGTACTTTCAATTTCAGACCTCCGGTACAAGCTATAGCTAAATGATGCACCAAAATCGGTTGAATTTAAATTGCTGTCGCAACTTTCACAAGGGGTATATACTTGATCTATTTGCCACCCTTAGCTCCAGGGAGCGCAGGAGAACAAAACTTAAACTTTTTCAATAAGTTTTATTTGCAATTTTTGTGTGCATTATTATCGTGGAATCTGTATCAAGAACATATGGTACCCAATACAAATAAATGGAGTTTCTTGCTCGTTCTTCTCCATTCGGAACGAGAACCTAACTTCACTGACGAACAGACTGACAGACTACTATTCTATTTTGACGTTTCAAAAGTACCTATTTATGGTTTAGTTGGAATAAATGATTTGAATTTGATTTGATAAAAAATAATGGTGGCCACAAAATACTTACGTGCACTTCGGCATGCTCGTCGAGGATGAGGTGAGCGCCGATGTTGACGATGCTGAGAGCCAGGCCGGCCACGGTGGCCTCGTGCAGCCGCACCGGCAGCGTCGCGTACGTCACGTACGTGAACAGCGCGCACGAGCCCGTGCTGATGCTGAGGGCACTGCGCACAATGTTTTAATTCAGTCTACTTACATTTACTCGCTCCTACTTTATCCTATGATCCGAAATCTAATAGTCGCGTGAATTATTGTGTTGTAAGTAGGTACGTATATTAATTTGATGTGTAGACGGTAATAAATTGCGAACCTGTTTCGACATAGGTTGCTTTTAGATTTATGATAATACGAGCATATCCATATGTAAAACATATATACAAGATTATAATATGGCTATTGTTGGCTGACCAAGGCACCTTCAGGGAGTCGGGAGCGCCACATTACCGAGAACGACCACTTTCCGGCTCTCGTAAACGCGGCCCGTGTGGCGGTGGCGCCCAGCGCCCGCAGCGTCGTTAAAAATGAAACAATAACACCTTTAACGACTGGCAAATTTGCCCGAATATTGGCCGAGTAATGCACTAGCCGATAACGCCGCGCCATAAAAGTGTTCACCGACAATAAAGGCGGCGATAAACCGGCGCGACTCGCTTTCATCTGGACTGGTATAAACATGTCTCCCACCGCACTTGTAAACTTCGTTTAAAACGGATTCACAAAGTCTCAAACATTTGAAACAGTTTTGAAAATGTGCTACAAACAAATGGACCCTTGCGCTGTGGTTTGTTTGAGGTGAACTTTAGTCCGAGTGGGAAGTTTTAATTTCAATAGAACACAAGTTGCGTGGCGCCGCCCGCCGTTGTGCGGCTTGCGGCCGCGACCGACTACTCGGTGACACTCCATCGCACTTGTGTTTGCCCTGGTAGTTGTAATGCGAGCGCCCATTCCAGTCGCATTGTTAAATGACCTCGGTCACAGTGGAGAGCAAACAACCGTAGGGTTACTTGTACAGAGCTCGACTCCTTAACTTGACTGAATTGTTGCGAGTACCCTTTTTGGCCTCTTTTAGTGTTCTAGGAAACATGTAAATAAATGAGGGATTAGACTTACCGCAGGACAGCAGTGCCAGCCAGGGCGAGCTCCACCAGCAGGAAGGTGACGAGCACCACATAGGAGATGGTGAGCAGGTAGATCTCGTTCATGGCCGGGCGGGTCAGGCACGCCAGCAGGCCTACGGCAACAGGAACAAGTCACTCGGCTTTACTATTTATTATTCTTGTCTACATAGAACCACTCTATGAATGGTCCTCCCTCAACACATACGGTAATACAACCCGCCACAGCGCGTATGCTGAACAATTACTTCAGATATCAAATTCTCCGGCAGCGCCGCTAGACGGGACCGCTCGCTTAGTTCGACGATAATGCTGCACTACAAGTTCATGCATGATTACATGTCGTCTCACAGATTGATGCGTAATCCCATAAGTCCTTAATGGACAGCAATCGACATCGATTTCGACGGATTTGTAGTAGCTATCATCGGAGAACGGATTATGGGAATTACTAATTGTGCATATTATAGCGCGATCATCTTTCAACAAAAGGTAGCGTGTCCTGTACGGTGGTGTTTCTTAAATATGTACACCAATTATGGCAGGCCTATCTATTCCAAGCTGAAGGAGGAAACTTAACTGCACAATCAACATAAGGCCATTAGCTTCAAACGCAGGAAATCCATTAACTACAATAATATCAATAATTAGCAATCTGTGTGTGACAGCTAATTATGTGAGTATTAGCAGGTATAAGGTAAGGTGTCTATGTATGTACAATAGGTAGGTAGGTACAAGTACTCACAGGCGTAGACCAGGGCAGTGAGTCCGAGCACAATGATGTTGACGATGTGCGCGACGCGCTCCTTCTCGTAGTACACGTGGAACTGCGTCGCGTTGATCGCCGCCAGCTCCTCGTAGTACCGGGAGGTGGTCACGTTCACGTATCGGTTGGGGTCATGGTATCGGCTGCAAGCACACGGCACGTCAGCCACACGCTACTACATTTTGAATGCTCTCTCACGGAACATTCAATTTCATTAAAACGACATGGAAATATTTTATTTAAACATCTATCACACTTACTATATAAACATCTTATCGTTACGATAACAACAAGCTAATTATGTTTGTGTATTATAATTAAAACTGCTGAAGCTGTCATCTTTCAAGCGAGTTGTATACGAACAGCTTCTTAGAGAGTAACAGCAATAACTATACACTGTGAATTATAACGATGGATAGCATCGGTACGCGGCGCCAAGGAGAGAGACCAGTTGATGTTACTAGGAGCGCAGGAATATGTAAGCGATGGACGAAAGCGTCAGGTGCGGGGGAGCAGCTCGTTGGCTACTTGCGTGCTGTGTGTGTGTGTGCATAGTGGTCCACGGCTGGCGGCGGCTCCCAGGCGGCGGGGCCTGTGCTACTGCAGGCAGTGTAACGTGTGGCTAGTGCTTTGTTCTACTTCAACAGTTCAGTGAGGTTAGTACAGAGTTGCACGGTGTACTACTGTTTTAAATGCACTGTTGGCGCAGCAGATGGGAAACTGGCTGCTGTGCAGTGTGAAGTGGGTTACATTCTTATCATTCATCATCTATTCTATTCACGAACCTACTTTTTGTTTGATCCACAAATTGTTATTGCGGTTCTTGGTAGCTTGCGTATGTGCATTTGTATTTGTAAAAGTATCCACGTCACACGAGTGAATCCTGATGTTTGGTTTTTAGTTTTATGTTTATTTTGTTAGATCGGACATGAAGGAGAAAGATTATAGGCGTGTGAGAACTTAAAAGAAATATTACGGCGAGGCTGGAACTCGAACCTAGAACCGTGCGTAGCGGAAGAAAATGTAAAATATAGCAATAAAATAAATGGCGATCACGTACTTGAAGTCGTCGACGTAGGTGATGTTGAGCATTGGCTGGTACTTGCTGAGGAGGCTCTGCGCGATGAGCAGCGTGCGCACCTGCACCACCATCAGGCCCACGGCCACGGCCAGCAGCAGGCCCAGCAGGTGCGTCATGTTGGTCTGGTTCATGCGTAGGAAGTAGCGCTGGTACAGCATCTCCACCTGCACAAACGTGGCACATTATCCTTCTTCTGGTCTTACTCACCATGGACCAAGCCAAGCCAATCTAGTTTTTCACATATAATTTGACGTGTAAAAGTGCCGTTTTAAGGCCTATTTGCAAAAATAAATTCATTGTTTCATTGTTTCATTGTTTCAATGGCCGACTCGACCGGTGTGATACCACGACCTCCCAATCTTAACCCCCAAATCCCCTAATCTTAAATCCCTAATAACCTACAAAAGGTCAGCAACGCACTTGTAGTAACTCCTTTCGTATTACAAGTGTCCGTGAGCGGCGTAAATACGTCTGCTAGTTGTCATCCATAGTTGACATCCATTGGCTCGCGATCTTTCTGTTTTTTTTTGTTTTGAAAAACGCCGGCTACATAAAGTAAAACTTTGCCTGCCTGGTTCCTCTAAATGACAAGAAATGCTTCGCGAAGCCCGCGTTCAAGAATCGTTGCAGCATTTAATAACCAGCGTTGAAACATATTTATAGAGTTTATTTTAATGTAACTAACTCGGGGAACTCGCATTAATATTAACTGTTATATGGTAAAGTTCATATATAGCAGATTGTATGGAAAAGCACCGGCGCGTCTAGTTTACATGAGATTTCTCTATATTTTCTCACTTTTTCTTAGCAAAAACTATCCAATCCAGTCTAGCCGTTTTTGAGTTTCAGCGAGACTAACAGGAATTATTTTTAATAAATATATCTAGATATAAGCCATGCTTGTGCATTCATATTATCATGTAGATATAATTACGGAGCAGACCGTTGTACCAATAAGCACGCATATGTATACATAATGTATGTACATAGGTATAGCACGGTGCGGACGTCCCAATTCATAATTGCGTTATACGCCTCAATAATTGCATCGCGCGTTCCGAAGCTTCCAATATATTCGGAGCCGCGCACCTTTATCGCATTAGCATGTAATTTGAAAATTTCCGACAAATACACTTTGTTGGTGGAAGCCAACGGGATAATTAAGCGCGTGGTGGTCGGTGGCGGCCGCGACCGGCGCCCTACCAACACACGACAGCTCGCGCGCCCCCGCGTCCGCGCCCCCGCGTCCGCGCCCCGCCGCCGCTCACTCGGATCTCATTAAAACGCATTGTGTGCTGCCACCGTCAGCCAGCGCTAATAAATACATTGACATCGCGACACGTGTGTTCTAACAGCATCTGATTCATTTGTAGAGTTATTCCCGTCTCCCACATCCTACCATTGAGTTTCGTCAGCTCAAATTTTCAGTAGTCAAGCCTGCAATGGATGTACGTCTGTATAACGTTACTGAAGTTGGTTACACTGGTCGTGGCAGACACTGGTTACTGGTACGTACTGATGCTGGCAGTTGGAATCAATGAACATTGTTATATCATTGATTGCTGTATATAAATGAGTGACTTGTGTTCAGATCGCTCTATATGTGTGTAGGGGTCTAAAATTTGACAAAATCGGCTTACCGCTGCTTAAATTTAATGTATAACATTACTGTGTTTTCGTGTTACTGGTCAGAGAGGTGCTGACGTCACACTGTCGAGCGAACAACTGGGCAGAACAGGGCGCAGGTTCAGTGCACGGCTCGTACAAAGGAGTAAACATTGTAATTATCGGTATCGAAGGCGGGGGCCCGCGACCGAGCCGTCATTATAACTTAGCTTCAAACTCAAATATAATGAGCGACAACTTGAACGTCACTTGGCGTATTCAATTAATACGAGTTTGAGTACAGCACGAGCTTCAGATAATACTGGAAATTTCATTGATGTTATTTTGTTTACATTTTTATTTGACGGGTGTTATAGCACAATCTGTTAAATATATTGTACTAATTCTTTACGCGCGTATTTACCAGCGCATTTTATAATGCAACCCGTGCATACGTATTTTTACTGAGAAACTCTCTAATTAATGTCCCAGCGACGTTCCACTGACATTGTTCTTCTGTGGGTTACGAGAGAGTCTCACGTCGCACGAACATATCTATCGGCTATGAATTCATATTATGATACAGATTTTATATTTCTAATTATAATAATAATTAGTAATGTTCAAATTGCCTATTTACTTTTAAAGCAAGCTTAGTGACTAAAGCTCATTCTTTTTCCTAGTGAAAAGAGGATTTTAGCCATCAGTAAGCAATTATGGGACGGAAATGTAATGCACTTATATTCTACTATTACGTTTGATGGAACATTGATTGGACTTAAGACTCATCTTCTCAACATCGTCGTCTTAATGTTTCATTCGAGCCTGCGGTCAGTACGCGTGCTTGTAATCATCAAACTAACAATAATGTACGTTAGTTCTTTTTATTAGGTACCATTACAACTTATTAATAAACCCTTCAGTGAGAAATTTTCTTGATAACTCTAATAAGCAGAAATGTGCTGCAGTTTACTGTACAGTATTCAAATAATTGACTTGGAAAATCCAATGATTTGTCACAAATTTTTCTTTCAACTTATCCCCGGCGCCGGTTGGCTCCGTAAGCTTAGTCAAGAGTTAATGTTGAACATAGATCAACGTTGTAACTGTTTGCTCGTCATTTGTCTCCGAGCCCTCAGACACTCACAGTACAGTAATTAATTTGTCAAGATCATTATCTTAATACTTCGGGTCGCTGTTCGGTTGGCGGGAGATTTTTATGCCGTTTTGTAAGATAAAAGCTAACGACGTCTTTGAACTTTGGATGGACCAAAAATCAATATTTGTGCGGTGTGCGGTAAGTATCGTTAAAGTCAAAATCATTTATTCTTACTAAACTATAAACAGGCACTTTGAGACGTCAAAATAGAATAATAGCCTGTCAGTCTGTTCGTCTGTGATGCTAGGGTGCTCGATCCAAAGTGAAGTGTAGATTCCAGTGGAGAAGAGAGAGAAACAAAACCCAACATTACTCTTAAATAAATATCCATGTTCAATAAGCTTATGAATGCGTTATTTCTTACACATTGTTGTACCAATAGATATAAAAATGCATATTATACATACAAAATATCGGTAAGTTAGTTTCAGGTTAAAATAAACTTATAACTGGAGAATTAATTTTACGCAGCTAGAGCAGCAAGGGGTTCAGCAGAGTGCCTTGAGTGGGTGCGGAAGGTAAAAGTCACGTGTAAGCAAGCCTGCCCTGGCCGGGTAACACTAACATCGCAGTTAGCCTTTATTAGATGGCTGCGGATCAATATCTGTGGTGATAGTCAAATCAACATTAAATGTTACCGGCAGAGTAAACCGATATTGAAATGTAAACTTGAATAGTTGGCTGAGGTTTGCAACACTAATTACAGTTAGAGCCACGAGCCGCGATTGAGGGAACTTCTGTTTAGATTATTGTAACATTTGCGTTCCCTCCTGCGGGAGTATCGATAAACAGTTGCTTTGTGGTGTACCGAGTGCGGATGTGAGTCGACTTCAAGCTGATTATAGAAGTTAAACTTGAACCAAAGTCAAAATGTTCCCTGACTTATGTTAACCGATTAGTAGCCAATGTTTGTGATTAGATATATCTTACACACTTCGTATATATGTATATGTAGGTACGGAGCACGGAGTTAAGTTCGAGTAGGTGCTCCACCGAGTGGCACTCTATTGGACAAATAAGCTTGTGTTTGTGTGAATCTCATGTTTCACGTAACTAACGAGTCACACATTAAGTCGGAATCATGACATGCTATTACGACATCATTTAGCCAGTTAACTAGGCATTATTTCAGTGCTTACAGCCGCCACGTGTTATTACGTATTATAGAATGCGATTCCGGGACGACTCCGATGTGAATATGGCACGACGCATATTTTAAGTGTGGGAGAGCCATGCTTCGGCACGAATGGGTCGGCTCGACCGGAGAGATACCACGGCCTCACAGAAAACCGGCGTGAAATAACCACTGCGTTGTGTTTCGCCGTGTGAGTGAGGTTACCGGAGGCCCAATCCTTCCCCTTCCCAATCCTTCCTCAATCCCTAAATCTCCAAATCCCTTATCCCTAAAAGGTCGGCAACGCACTCGTAACTTCTCCGTTGCGAGTGTCCATGGGCGGCGCTGATTGCTTACCATCAGTAAATCAGTCTGCTCGTTTGCCGACCTATTACATAAAAAAAAAACACGGCACGACACCGACACGACACCGTTACTTGTTGGAACAGAATGAAGGAGGCGCGCGATATGGTAAAGCGGCAATCCTTGTTTATTTTCCGTATAAATCGTCGCTGGCGTAAAAAATCATCTCATATGTATTTAATTTTGCTTTCAGCCTTTATCAAATTTTTGACGAGAAAAATATGAATTCTAATATGTTCTGGTTGAGATAAATCAAATAATGAGATCGTGTGTTGAAATTGCATAAAGGTAAATAATTGAGTATTAGGACATCATTATCTCCGATCAACTCAAGTAATGTCTCACTGTACAACTTGAGTCCACCCAACAAAACAGTAAAATACTTTTAGGAATCAATGTTGTAAGGTGAACCGGGATCTTTTATCTTTAAGACTCGCTGGCCAACCGTTTATCACTTGTTTTTTACGAGATTTGTAGGAATAAAAATGTTTTGAGCTAGAAATCCCTCAATCCCTCAATCCCTCAATCCCTCAATCCTGAGCCAACGTCACCAACAACCTGAAAGCATCAGAAACAAGCGACGAACGTGGTATAAACACTCCAAGACGCGCTTCCAAAACAAATTTAGTAAAAAAGTCGTTCCCGCGCAGTAAACCGCCACAAAATGATATAAAAATATTCGCGCGACGTAAAATGTACAGCATCAAGTCGAAGTAATCCAAGTGTCTGCCATCTTGGCTTTATGTACACAATTTGTTCGCTCATTTACTTGAGCATTATTAAATGTACATCATAAACTGGTGCAAAGCTGTTGTTTTTCCTCCAAAAATTAATAACTCGTGGGACGGTCTGTCGCTTGTGATTTTTGTTGTTTTAATATGACGGCAGGGCGCGGTGGAGGTGGCATTACGACACACTCGTGT